TACAATTTTATTGGTCTGATTATTGGCCCCAGGGGTAATACTCAGAAGAGAATGGAGAGGGAGACAGGTGCTAAAATTGTAATTCGGGGTAAAGGGTCTGTGAAAGAAGGTAGGCATCAGCAAAAGAAGGATTTGAAATATGACCCTTCAGAAAACGAGGACTTGCATGTTTTAGTAGAGGCCGAGACTCAGGATGCTCTTGAAGCTGCTGCTGGTATGGTGGAGAAGCTTCTGCAACCTGTTGACGAGGTGTTGAACGAACACAAGAGGCAACAACTCAGGGAACTTGCCACCTTGAATGGGACAATAAGGGATGAAGAATTCTGTAGACAGTGTGGTGAGCCAGGACATAGACAGTATGCATGTCCATCTCGTACCAATACCTTTAAGAGTGATGTTCTTTGCAAGATTTGTGGTGATGGTGGACACCCTACTATTGATTGCCCGGTGAAGGGTACTACTGGGAAGAAAATGGATGATGAATATCAGAACTTCTTGGCAGAGTTAGGAGGAACTGTCCCTGAATCATCTCTCAAACAGAGTGCTACCTTGGCTCTTGGTCCTGGAAGTTCGGGAAGTAATCCTCCATGGGCTAACAATGCAGGGAATGGTGCAAGTGCACATCCTGGCTTAGGGTCAACTCCGTCCAAACCCCCATCCAAAGAATATGATGAAACAAATCTGTACATTGGGTTCTTACCTCCGATGCTTGATGACGATGGTTTGATTAATCTTTTCTCATCCTTTGGTGAAATTGTGATGGCAAAAGTAATCAAGGACCGTGTGACTGGGCTGAGCAAAACCTATGGTTTTGTGAAGTACGCTGATGTACAGATGGCTAATACTGCTGTTCAGGCAATGAATGGCTATCGATTCGAAGGCCGAACACTCGCTGTCAGGATTGCAGGAAAAATGCCACCGCCTGCTGCACCTCCGGGACCTCCAGCCCCTCAAGCACCAACTCAGGGTTATCCTCCCTCAAACCAGCCTCCCGGTGCCTATCCTTCTCAACAGTATGCAACTGGTGGTCAACTGCCAAATCCTCCTGTAGGTTATTCAACAGCTCCAGTTCCTTGGGGTCCGCCTGTTCCCTCCTATTCTCCTTATGCTCCTCCCCCTCCTCCTCCTGGTTCTTACCATCCTGTCCATGGTCAACATATGCCTCCTTATGGAATGCAATACCCACCACCACCACCTCCTCATGTGGCACAAGCACCTCCACCTGGCACTACCCAAAACCCATCTTCTAGTGAACCCCAGCAGAGCTTTCCACCAGGAGTACAAGCTGATGGTGGTGCTGCTACGTCATCTGTACCACCAAATGTCTATGGTAGCACGGCGATGCCTGGACAGCCTCCGTATATGAGTTATCCATCTTATTACAATGCTGTTCCACCACCACCTCCAGCACCGGCCTCATCTACTGATCATTCCCAAAATATGGGTAACATGCCATGGGCCAACAATCCTCCTGTCTCAACGCCTGATCACTCACAGGGACTTGTTAATGCACCTTGGGCACCTAATCCTCCTATGCCCCCCTCTGTTGGTTATTCACAGAACGCACCCTGGGCTCCAAAACCTCCAGTTCAGCCACCTGCAGAGAATCCATCCAGTGTTGGAGATTCCGAGTATGAGAAGTTCATGGCTGAGATGAAGTAGCATGTGTGTTCTGAGGATATACTCCTTAGTGGAGAGGTAAGATGTCCTCATTTGATGTCTTTGTTTGTTCTCCCTAATGATTTTGAAATTAATTTTGGAACTGAATAAAGTGGCTTTCAACGTATGATAAAACTTTTCTTCCTCAATTTTTCCAACGTTTTCAAAATTTTAATTCCCAAATGTCATTTTTTAGACTTCCAATTGCAGATGAACAATGTCCTGCTATAGCATGTTTTGTGATTACCTTGAAAACTATCCTGCTTATGTGATTTCTCTGTTCCTAATTTTATCACATGATAACTAATTGCTGTAACTCATAAGCTAATTATTGATGTGTTTGTGAGCAATCCCACAGCTAAAGGTGCATCTGTCCTGGTATTCGATTCTGAAACATAAAATTGGGGAGTTGGATGTTCGAATTTTGTCAGTCTACTCTGTTTGCTCTATGTTTATTCACTAACTCATTATGTGTTTTCTGTTTCATATGGAAACATTTATTTATTTATTTTTTTTTTTCACTTTTCAGTTTTTCCATTTGACAAGATCTAAACTGCCACTAGCGTAGATTCCAAAAGATTGTCTCTCTCTTATTGTATACAGCTCATTAACACGAATCTTTGTTTTGTTGATATTGTTAATTTTGTCAGGTGTGATGTTTCTTGGAGCTCTTGTACCCTGATTTCTTACATCTTTCTTGTTGGCAGTTTGGGACTCACCTCTTAACCCTTGCTATGCTGTTGTAAAATATGCAGAGATTCAGGCTGGAAGCTCCCATTTCAGACAATTGCGTTTCCAGAAGGCCATAAGATTTTTATTTATGTTACTGATAATAATTGCTGCTCTTTTGTAGGACTATATATGTCTGGGGTTCTTGTTTCATTTCATAATACTCATATTTACCGGTGATCAATGTGTTAAGTCTGTCTTCAGCTCTCTTTTACTCACAATTTCTTCTGTGTACTGTTTCCATTTGGAACTTAAAACTTTTGGTGGTACTGTAGTGCAAAAAATATCTATTATCTTTTGTGATGCAAGATACAGTCCTCCCTCTTGCTCTTGAGGGCAAGGTTATCTCTTGTTGTTTGTCTGGTCTCTTGTGTGCATAGGGAATTCATCATTTCTTTCAGGAACCTGAAGACAACAGGGTATGTTGAATAACACTGGACATATTGATGCCGATACTTGATCGTTGTTTCTGGCTAGTGATCCAGATTAACTTAAATAACCTTTATGTACTGATATAATAATATTTCTCAAGCTTTCCATGTGGCAGGTGTGATTTCTGGCTAGTGATCCAGATTAACTTAAATAACGATGTTCTTGTCCTCAGGCTTCTCTCTTATCTATATCTCAATATCTGTCTTAATGATTGCATGTGTTCCAATGTCTGCATGTTTAGGAGTCGGCATTACGTAGCATATGTTGGTTGTAAGAATTTGAATTAGTTAGGAGTCGATAGAATTATAATTAACTGTCTCAAGATCGTTGCGTATCTAACTATTTGTGCATGAAGAAAGAAGCTGCATCTTGAATTTTGTTTGATTGTATGTGTGTAAAGCGTTGACTCAGGGAACATTCTGTGAAGTGTTTGCTTACATTAACCATTTTGGAAAGTGGTGTGGTGTATCATTAACTAGGGATGTTGGCATGGATCGTATTCGAGGAGGTTGACAATTTGGCAAATCGGGATCCCTTGTCTAAGCTATAACAAGATTCAACTTAAGTTGGAATAGCTCTGTTCACTATATTCATCGGAGTTCATGTATATACGGATTGATGTAATATTAACATGGTAGAAACTCTTTAAAAAAAAAAAAAAACAAGAATACCAATTGGTTATTTATGTGTTGTTTTAGTCATCACTCAATCCAACGACAATTATCATAATCATATGATAAACAAAAAACAATTCCCCTATGTTATCTAGCACAGTAAGTCCCACAATAATGGCAAGCAATTGAATCAGCAGAAGCCAAATGTGGTGTTTGAATTAAAGAATTTAGAGAGAAGAAAAAATAATGAATAGAAGGATTTAGTTTTTTTTACTTTGTATTGAGTAATTAACTTAATATACTACAATTTTGTTTTGATTTTTGAACACTTTATGTTTTGATATATTTGCTGATCGTTTTGAGTTTTGATGTTACCAAACTTTAGATTGTATCTTATTTATAATAGTTAATGCTTTGTTAACGTTTCTGCTACATTACTAATAAAAACTAGACTCGGACCCGCGCTACAGCGCGGGGGAAAATTACCGGATTTTTAATCTTTTGTACGTTGTGAGATAATTTATTTGTGTTTGCTTTACTTTATTTTGATTATTAATTAAATTCTATCATTTTTAGATTGTATTTTTTGTGTTGGTTTCAAATATGTTCAAAATTATTTAAATTGTATGATTTTAGTTGGATTGTTAATTTTAGAACAATATGTGACATATATATATGTATAAATATTATACTATGAATCATTTTTAAAGTTTAGGGATTGACCCGCGGTACACCGCATAATCATAAATACATGATTTTAACTTGGACCTTTCATGCAGTTTTGTAAAATTGCAAATCTCTAGAATAAACAAATAAAGAGCCAATGATTTCTTATTTCTTATCGTGTTAAAATGTAAAATCTGTGTTTATGTTACAATTTTCTGGTAGCAGAAACTTATTTATATAGATAATATTTTCTTAGAGTTAGGTTAGCGTTGAAAAAAAGATTAGCTTTATAATCAAGCCAGAAATTCGAAACTATTGCCAAATAAATATATTAAAGATGGTTGAAAATGAATTATCCCGTAATTGTTGTGAAGATCATAGTTAATATAGGAGAAAACTATACATCTAAATATTAATATAAGATATTTAAGGAACATTTTGTTTTGAAATATTATGGATAATTTGATAAATATTTTATATTTAATTCATATTTCTGATTTTTAGGTTAATTTGTTAAAGCAATATACAAAATCATACATTAATGTATTTTTCCTTAAACAAATTAAGATTAATGTACTTTCCAAAACCGATATTGATGGTTTAATTTGTTAGATTTCGAAATAATATATATGGAAAGTGGTATTTAATATCTTTAAATTTTTAATAAGATCCAATTGAAAAATTTCGGGTTAATTTTTTAAAAAAACCCGACCCAAGAAACTTTTGTACTTCTCTTTACTGTAGTAGGGATATAGAGTTGGACTAATATGCAAAAGCAAAATCGTAGGTCCAACTATGCAATTACGTCATAATTTCCTTTTGCAAATCTGATTGGTCGCTGGTGCCATCTTCCGTCTTCGCTCCGCCGTTTGATTTCCGTTAATATTTTATTGACATTAAAAAAAAAAAAACTCGAATTTGAGATAATAATCTTCCGAGCTAAGCTATTCAGCGATTTCGAAATGGAGAAAAGTTATGATGATGATGATTCTAGTTTTCCTCATCCCGGCGGTGGCGACGGTGGATTGAGCAGCCCCTTTTTCTTGGATCATGCTGGCGAAGTTTTGCTTTCTCGGAATCAAGATGGTTTGTCCTGGAAATTTTTGGATTCTTCAGATTGTGTAAGTTTCATGCGAGTGTGTTCGTTGACTTGTCATCTATCACATTTTTTGATTAAGTGTCGTGTTTGTGTGTGTGTTGTTATGTTACTGATTGATTTGTTGACAGGAGGGAACGACTTGTTTAGGAATTATAAATTCTGAAGATTGCAAAACTGAGATCAAATTCTCTGATATTTATGCTGTGGAGTTTGCTAACTATGGCTTGGTGCATAGTCCAAAGTCAGGCCTTAGACATGCCAAAGAATGTTTCCGGGAACGCTTGTTACATACTCAAGAGGTTTTGTTTTGACTCGCTTCCCCTATTGTTTGTTTCTTTTGCTCCTCGAGATTTACAGTGTAGTGAGTCTCTGCTTTGATGTTAGATGTATCGGTTCACTGTGCACGGATTTCAAAGTTCACCAAAGGAGCCTTGTCTTTGGAAACTTGCGGCATTTACTTTTGGGCATATGGATTTGCAGACGTGCCAGAGTTGGATGGATCAATTGAATTACTCTTTGATCAAGGAAGTGGATAGACCAAGAAATCTTTTGGTAAACCTTATCTTGTTAGGCTGTTAGCACTTTTTTGGTCCTATATTTGATGAATGCTTTGACAGGATTACTTTGCCACTTCTTTAGGTATTCGTCCATCCAAGAAGTGGCAAAGGAAATGGCTCCAAGGTCTGGGAAACTGTTTCCAAGATCTTCATCCGCGCTAAAGTTAATACCAAGGTCTGTTTTGGATTTCATCCCTAGCAGAATGGTCATTTAGTATCTGTTTCTGTGAAAGTTGTTATAGGTATGACAAAAGGCACACGGAATTTGATTCTTCGGCTAACTGATTTAATTTGTGCTATAGTAGAGCATTTAGGGCCTAGGGGAAACTGTTATTTATAATGTAATGTAATTGCTTCATTTTGGTTTATCAAGGTCAGTATTTTTGGTTGATTATCCTCTAGTCATACTCTTTTGCAGTAAATGAGCGCATGAAAAGTATATATATATTTCACGTTAGTAGATATTGCAACATGACTTTTCCACAATATCTGCCATTCAAGATGTTTTTAGGCTGTAATCAAATGTGACACTCTGTTTCTACTTTCTATATTTATTGTATGCATAATTCCTTGTGATACTATAGCTCACCCACATAGAGAAGAAATACACATGAATGTTTTCAATTCCAAATGGTATGAATGTTCTCCTTTTCCATGTTATGGTCCTTAGTTCGATATTCTTGATTTACCATTTAAATAGGTGATTGTAACAGAGCGAGCAGGACATGCATTTGATGTAATGACATCCATCCAAAATAAAGAGCTCCATTCATATGATGGCATCATAGCTGTTGTAAGTTGTAAACCTCTTTTTTTCTTTTTTCTTTTTAATGTTTGATTGACCCAAAGTTCTTCTTCTGACAATGATTGTAGTGATTTACTCGCTCAGTGCATTTTTGAAATATGTTTGTGATATGAAATAACCTTCAATTTATAATTTATGAGTAAAGTTATGGTTAGGGAAACTTGATGAAGGTTTTCCACTCCTGTCTGTTGTCACATTTTCTTCCTTATAAAGCTTACTTGTAGATCATATATCTGCTTTTCATCATATGATTTGTTGTTAATTTTATATCTTGAAAAAAAACCTATGTTCAGGGTGGGGATGGTTTCTTTAATGAAATTATTAATGGATATCTTTTGTCGAGACTTAAAGTCCCTCTTCCACCAAGTCCTTCAGATATTTTCAATTCTGTTCAAAGTAGAGGTAGCTCCTCAGTTCAAGAACAAGGAGATGCAGTTCATGGGACTGACCAAAAGGAACACTATCCTCTTCTTCCTGATTCAGTTCAAGAGGTCATGAATTTCAGTATGTAACTGATCACCTTTATCTCATTTTTGTTGAAGCACTGGGACTATTAACGAGTTGTAATCTCTGGGTGTTATTGTTTACCTACAGGGACAGTCAATGGCTCATGTGAAGGTCAGTGGGCTTAGTTCTCTACAAGACATCCAATTACATTGCCTGCTTCCGGTTGTTTTCTTTTCACCCTGACTTGTTAAATCGCTTTCTCTTGTTCTTTTTTGTTGGCAATTTCGCAGGAATTGAAGATCCCAATCATCCCTTCAGTGGTGGAAGGCCAAGATTTGGCCTCATCCCGGCAGGTTCAACTGATGCAATAGTGATATGGTAGGGTCTTTTGAGTTTTATCATCATATATTCGTAGTCATCCTTCCACTATTAAAGATTTTCATGTGCCATTAATGAGAAGATGTTTCACTTGTATCAGTAATAAATTGTAGTTACTTACCAAATGACTAAAAATGCACGTGGTCTCTCTACTGTCTGGTTTCTGTTTTTCTACTCCATACAAATTTTGAAAGATTTGGTGTATCTCATAAACTCAAGTTTGTAAAAATAGCTTTTGATAAGCTTAAACTTTTAAACTACTGTTTATGCGTTCGTGTTACAGCACCACAGGAGCTCGTGATCCTGTAACATCTGCGCTGCATATCATTCTAGGCAGAAAGATCTTCCTTGATGCAATGCAAGTTGTGCGGTGGAAAACGGCTTCAACCTCGACTATTGAACCTTTTATTCGTTATGCAGCCTCGTTTGCTGGGTAATGACTAAACTCTTTTAGTGAGATGTTTTATCATGTAGTAAGGAATGGCAGATTCTATTAAGTTATAAAGCTCTAGTTGTCATCCTTCACTTACCAGCCCCAAGCCTTATCTTTTTATTGTTAGTGGCATCCCCTTTTGTCTAATAAAATAACCTGTGATGTGAAGATTGATTGCTTCGATCTCTAACATGGTTTTTGTACAATTGATTAGTTCAGATACGGGTTTTATGGAGATGTCATTTCAGAAAGTGAAAAATACCGGTGGATGGGTCCCAAACGCTATGATTATGTTGGAACTAAGATATTCTTGAAGCACAGGTACATTCCTAACCAATTTACACTGCCAAGATATGTGCTATACGTTAGTGGAATCTCTGATAAATGATCTATGTTATATTTTTTCCAAGCATACCATTATTGTTTGAGTTGTTGGTTTATATGTTAATGCAAGATCATATGAGGCAGAGGTGATGTTTGAAGAAGCAGATCCAGACAATGGTAAAGCAACCACACACACGCGGAGTAAGACGTGGCCATTTCGAAATACCACAAGACCAGAGAAAATACCATGTCGTGCAAAATGCAGCATTTGTAACAGTAAGGCTGAGGATGAAAATATTATACGCACAACACCTATCTCGTATCCAGAAAAAACAAGATGGTGTAGAACAAAAGGGAGGTTTCTGAGTATAGGCGCTGCAGTGATGTCAAACAGAAATGAAAGAGCACCTGATGGTCTTGTCGTGGATGCACACCTCTCAGACGGTTTCCTTCATCTCATACTCATAAAAGATTGTTCTCGTCCCAAGTACTTATGGTAATGTCTGGTTTTTTTTTCCTATAGTCATTCATTTTATGAGTAAGGCTTATTAATACCCGAGATTCTAATGGGTTACAGGCACCTCACCGAGCTTGCAAAAAGAGGTGGAGAACCTTTAAACTTCGAGTTTGTGGAGTATCATAAGGTTGTAAAACATTCTCCTTTTTAAAGATTCATAACGTGTTGGGTTCTGATCAAAATGTATCCGGTAATGCAGACTCGAGCTTTCACGTTTACATCAATTGGGGAAGAGAGTGTGTGGAATTTGGACGGAGAGATCTTTGAGGCTCACCATTTATCAGCTCAAGTCTTGCGTGGCCTTATACCTCTGTTCGCATCTGGTCCAGAGATATAACAACATGCATGTGAATGTGGTCCTATATGGACCGTTGTGCATAGTGCAAGTGATAAAGCTATATGAGACTGGAAACTAGAAAAGTATAATAGTGAACGTGGCAATTTTACCAAGAAAAGAACTTAGCAAACATATTGTAGTATCCAAAAAAATTCAAGATGTAATGCTACCCTATGATCTCATTATTTATGTTGTGCAGTCAGCAATGGATGAGTAACATAAGTTTTTTCTTTTCTTTTATTAATTAGACATCATGTATTATGTTTTATCCATATACAAAAATAAACAAGAATCCTAATATTTGGAGTGCAACCATCTCTCCTTCACAGTTATGTAACAGCTAAGATGAGATAACTTGCAAATGGATCAAAACAAGATTATATTTCTCCTCTGTAGCCACCAGAGCCAAAATAGTCTTTTCTAGAATTAGATATGGCCACACTCTTTTGGTGCTCAAGTTTTGGACAGTCTCCAATACGATGTCCAAGACCACCACAATACGCACAACCCATGACACCACTTGCATTAGCAATGGTCTCTGCTTCTTCCATTGGATCATTCAGCTCAGCAAGGACAGGTGGAATCCTCTGTTTAGCTTCTTGCAACAAGTGTTTCAAATCGAGCAGCGTGGTTTCGCTTTGATTCTTGTTTATAAACGTGGTTGCTATCCCAGTTTTACCACACCGACCTGTTCGTCCTATCCTATGCACATAGTTCTCAATCTCTGCTGGCATGTCATAGTTAATCACATGTTTTATATCAGGGAAATCTAGACCCTTAGAAGCAACATCAGTCGCGACCAAGACATCTTTTTCCCCAGCTTTAAACGAAGATATTGCGTACTCTCTGTCTTCTTGATCTTTTCCTCCATGGATGGCCACTGCTTCCACTCCTTTCAGTAACAAGTACTCGTGAATATGATCAACATCAGCTTTGTTCTCACAGAATATTAAAACTGGTGGAGAGGTTTTCTGTAGACACTCGAGGAGGTAAACAATCTTTGCTTCTTGTTTGACATATTCCACCTCCTGGATCACATCAAGATTCGCAGCTCCAGCTCTTCCTACATTAACAGTCACAGGTTTCACCAGAGCACTTCTGGCAAAGATTTGAATCTTTGTGGGCATAGTGGCAGAAAACAAAAGTGTTTGACGTTGAGACTTAAAGTGGTCAAAGATTTCCCTGATGTCATCTTCGAAACCCAAATCAACCAACCTATCTGCCTCATCTAGAGTCAGGTACCTGCAAGCATCTAAGCTCATCTTTTTCTTGGCGAGCATATCCTTTAACCTCCCAGGGGTTGCAACAACAATGTGAACCCCTCTCTTGACAACCTCCAACTGTGATCTCATATCAACTCCTCCAATACACAACAATGACCTCAATGTTGGGTATCCAGCCTTGACCAAAGGAGCCACAAACTGCTCAATCACTTCATAAGTCTGGCTAGCAAGCTCTCTAGAAGGGCAAACAATAAGGCCAATGGGGCCTTCTCTAGGAGCAATAGGCATCATCATCTCTTCTTGGAGAGCGATCATGATCATGGGAAGCACGAAAGCCAAAGTCTTTCCTGAACCCGTAAAAGCTATCCCAATCATATCTCTCCCAGACAAAACCACAGGAAGACCCTGAACTTGAATTGGAGTAGGCTGCACAATCCCTTTCTCCTTGAGCGTATCGAGAACAGGTCTAGGAAACTTCATATCCTCAAAGTTCTTGATAGGTGGAGGAACATCATCACCATTAACAATAATATGCAATTGCTTCCTAAGCAAATCTCTCTGTTTACTAGACAAGCTCCTAATATCTAGAGGAGGTTTCCACCCAGTTAACAGAGGCTCTGTATAAGTAATACCTCTGGCAAGTTCACGAACAGACATAAGCGTCTTCTTATCAGATAAATGTTCCATCATCTCTTTCTCTTGTAAGATGATTTGCTCAGTACCACTAACCTCGGGTACATCTCGCTTAAGCTGAGTTGCTTGAACGAGTAAACTGGGTTTGGCTTCAACACGCTTTTCCTTGTCAGCTTCTTCTTCATCCTCTTCCAATTCCGAAGCTTTTCTCTTCCGCCGGAGTATCATATTCTTTGTTTCCATCGCTCGGCGCTCCACTACGGAAACATACTCAACGTAACTATCATCTTCTTCCATGATTCAAGATCCAAATTCTTCTAATTCCTTATTCAAAACGTCTCACGAGAATCGAAACCTAGTACAGAGCTATAAATCAACAATTCTTTTTTTGGCACAACTTCGGTCTGAAGTCTAAACTGCAGCACCCTTATATAGAGAGTTACTGACCCGACCGGAGGTTTTTTTTTTAGGTCGGCCGGCTATCGGGTTTAGACGTCTTGGGCCTATTAATGGGCCTGTCAGCTATTAATGAGTTTATTTATTTGGCCTATTAAGGTGAGTTTTTAAGTTTTTTTTTTGTAAACAAAATTAGTGTTAATCATATCATTTAACTCCTATATATTTACGATTTTTTACTCAAACAGTGTTCTATAATCTGAATCTCACTCCAAACTTTATATTTGTGTGTATAAACCATCACCATCAATATTCTAAAATCTAAAATATATTCCAAATTTTGAGAGTGTTCGTCGTATTTTCATTGTCTAACTTTCGTCGCATGAATATATATATATATGGTATACAACACTTGCGTAGCTGGAGAGAATTGAATAGTCGGTTTGTATCACTAAGACCACTTTATATATTTTTCACATTCATAGTATGCATTGTTCATTGAACTGTTTAAAAAAATGAAATTTAAATAGACACACATTAACACAAACCCATATCATAGGAACGACAAAAAGACGTGAGGACAAGATCGATAGATCATAGATCATGCGAGCAACTAAGTTCAATATTTAATTTATTTTTAAAGCTCGTTTAATTAGGTTCTATATTTTTCATGGTGTAAACTGTAAAGTAATAAAATATGTACATTATTTAACTAAATGGACTAAAGAGTTGTACATATATATATATATATATATATTGATTGGTTATTTGACAGCCATATATATATATACATATTCTTATTCTTAAGACTAGATCCGATCATAACGCTCGATAAGATTTTTCACTCACTAGCCTAGTGAAAGCTTTGAGTGACAAAAAAAAAAGCTAGTGAAAGATTTATATTTGTTATTTTTTCCGAATGGCATGATACCGTACCAAGTAGGCAAGTATATATACTTTTGAAAGGGAGGTCTATTGTTTTGTTGCATTAAGCATGCAAAACAAACAATACAATTTAGATTTGTCTATACATATATTTTATAAAAGCAAATATAATCTAGCATTTTAATGTGAATAATATATAAGTGTAAAGAATAAACACATGAGCATGGGTATCATTTTTTTCCTTCTATGTTTTGGTTTTGTTCGTGCGTGTATATTTTTATTATCAACCACATTTTATTATAAGTAACATGAGACGGTTTCGAAATAATGTTGTCATCTTTGAAATATTTGTATCACCCTACATGTCTTTTAATTTGTTGCATTAAGCATACAATATGAGTCCATGACGATCTTTCACGATTGATAAGTTCATGTTGCTTTTTTAAGTAGGTTTTTTTGTTAAGAATTATTTGTCATATAAATGATATAAGTTCATCTTGTTTAAAATGGAACAACATCAAGCCATGATGTGATGCGGTATCTATTCTTTTCTATTTAGAACAACAATATATTACATTATTAAAAATTTTTAATTTTCAATGAATTGATTCATATACTGTATCATCATATATGTGAAAAGGTATTTCAAAAATATGTGATTTATGTTCTCAAAATTTTATATATATTTTTAGAATATATTCTCTCTTACCTCTATTTACGGTATTATAAACATGATATTATATCATATATTAGTTTCGAAAACAGAGATTGACATTTTCTAAATCTGAAAAAATACTGGTTGGCAAGTTGTCCCTTCATAAGAATTGTTGAGGAACGCAAAAACTTTCAAAACAATATATGTATACAAACACAATATTTTCTCTTGAACACGATTAAATTATATTAAAGGGATAAAAAACCTTATGAACTTCATAATTTTTTTTTGATAAATTATCTAAGACAAGGCCCTCTTCTCTCAAGTGCTATTAATGAATAACAAAAGTGAATCTTCAAAAATAATAATCATGAGTCATGCATGACCAAGTTTTCTTAATTTTGTCTTTTTTTTTTTTTGGTATCAAAGTACTAAGTATTAATATAAGAAGGTCCATAAGATTCTGTGGAATGTCTGTGGAATTGGGAGCACGAAGCCACGAACTTTGTTGTGCTTCTTCGTCTTCAAGATGTCATTTTGACGAAGCCACGACTTCTGTCACAGCTTAAAGTTACATCTTTTACATATATGATCAGGTTGGTCCAATTTTATGATTTTTTTCATGTTTGTTAGATATTGTGATCATGCTTCGCTTGATGGGTTTCTTGTTCACACGCCATTGTTCTGGTAAAGTTCGAAACTTTATGAGCTCAAATCATTAAATTCGTGTTTTGAAACTGATTCTTAGTTGCAAAATTCGTCTTCATGATTCATCGTCCAGCTTTCTAATATCTAAATTGACTTTGGAATGTTTAGATTTTTAATTTGGAGAACATCGATTACGAATATCAAAGCATCTCTTGTTTGATTTATGTTCTGTTTGTATATATTATAACTTGTAGTAAAGATGATCAAAATTCGTTTTGGTTTGGCTCAAGGATCTTCATTTCAGTTATGATGTAGTGAATGACTTTGTCTCCAAATGGGTTTGTGACGCAGGTTGCTATTGTCTCACTTGGTTAGAGGAAATGTAAGTGATGACTAGAAAAATCTTTGCACTGAGCGCCCCTGACGGTTTAGAGGCTCCACAAGAAGGTGCTTGGACTTTCTAGGAAATAGGAATAGAATAAAAATGGACTCTTTTTTCAAAAAATCATTTCTGGATACCAAGCCGGTGGTTGGCCAGCTTTCTAAGAAGGATAGCTCTGATCATGCCTCTCCTTCTCAACCGCTGACCATTGCTATAGCTATTAGTGGGAGCAGTAAAAGCAAGAATGTTGTTAAGTGGGCGCTCAACAAGTTTGGTTCTGACAAGAATGTCGTTTTCAAGTTGATTCACGTCCATCCAAAGCTTACTTCTCTACCTACACCTTGTAAGTTCTGAAAGATTTCTTCTCCACCTGAGATTTTATATATATATGAGCCAGCCTGATACCAGTTTCTGTTTCTTTCCTAAGCGGGAAACACAGTCCCTATCTCTGAGGCACCAGAGGATGTGGCGGCTACTTATAGACAAAATGTGATGCAGGAGACGAAAGAAACTCTTCTTAAACCTTTCAAGAAAATGTGCGAGCGGAAGAAGGTTTTTTTTGTTTGTTTTACTTGATCTTCTTTTGTCAGATAACTTATAGCTAAAGATCGATGAAACTCAAATCAATCTGCTTAACAAAGGTTGCAGTGGAACTTCAAGTCCTCGAATCAAATAGAGTTGCAATGGCGATAACTAAAGAGGTTAATGAGCATTTGATCAGCAACCTTGTCATTGGACGTTCATCACATGGTAACTTGTCAAGGTATGGCCTGAAACTTTATCACTTCCGTTATATTATCTGATCACACAAAGTTTTCTCACTGAAGATATGCGTTGAAACAATTTCAGGTATCATGATATTACTGCAGAACTATCAGCTTTTGTGTCAAACTTATGCACAGTATATGTTGTCTCAAAAGGAGCCTATATTCTATCAAAAGATAGAGTATCGTCAGACACGGAGAGGCATGAAACTTTAAGAGATTCCGGTAATGAGAGAACGGACTCCTCCAGCTGGTCTTCTGGTTCAGGACCAAACTCAGGTTCAAAGCTTCACCAATCTTTTACCAGACACTGATGTGTGATTCATGACTCTTATATGAATATTTCTTTGGTTTTCTTTTGTGCATTCTTTAGATGTAATGTCAAACGCACTCAAATCTAACCCTCATTCTCTGTCCAACAAGAGATTGCAACATCTCCCGACAATAATAAGAGGAGTTTCTGTTCCTATGGAAACTAGTTCTGCTAATTCAGATGATACTAGAAGTATGTCTTCAGATGTTGCCGAGGGTGTAAGCAAGAGAAGTAGCCCTGAAACATCGCATAGTGTTTCTTGGAATCCTCGGTTGAGAGATTTTGATGACAGAAAAGATGCTATGAATTCTTTGTCTATGTCTAGCAACCATGGATACGGCAATGTTACTCCAGGTGGAGATCATTATTTCTCAGACGACCAGGTAAACTAAGTTTTGATAAGATTGTTATTAAACCTCTCATGAAATCGAAAGCATTTGGGAATGATATGTGTTTTCATTGATTTCAGGAAACCCTCAAAGAAATTACAAAGTTGAGAGCTGAACTTAGACACGCTCAAGAACTATATGCAGTGGCTCAAGTAGAAACCTTGGATGCTTCCCGAAAGGTCAGCTTGATGAATCTTTATAAAAAATGGTTAACTTGTATTTGATAAAGCTTCTTTATCTACTGGTTTGTGTGTCTAATAATTCTTCCCACTTTATGGTTTCAGCTAAATGAGCTTAAGTTTGAAGAGCTAAAGCTAATGGAGCACGAAACGAAGGGATTAGCAGAAGAGGAAACACAGACGTTTGAGCAGAAAAGAAGGGAAGAGAGAGAAGCTTCGCAAAGAAGAGAAGTCGAGATGAAAGCAACCCTTGAAGCCAAAGCGAAGGAGAAACTTGAAGAAGTTTCCCTTGTGGCTCCTAAGCTGCAATACCAAGAGTTCACTTGGGAAGAAATCGTCACCGCAACTTCATCATTCTCTGAAGATCTAAAGATTGGAATGGGAGCTTACGGAGCTGTTTACAAATGCAATCTTCATCATACAACTGCTGCTGTCAAAGTTTTGCATTCCGCTGAGAGTAGTCTATCTAAGCAATTTGATCAAGAGGTACCCAATCAAAGTTTCTCTTGCTTGAAAGTTTTCTCTGTTTTTTTATATAAAAAAAGGTGACATTCTAACTCGCGGTTTAATCTCTCATAGCTCGAAATATTGAGCAAGATCAGGCACCCGCACTTGGTTCTCCTTCTAGGAGCATGTTCTGAACGCGGCGCACTAGTCTATGAGTACATGGAAAATGGTAGCTTGGAAGATAGACTGTTCCAAGTCAACAATAGTCAACCAATCCCGTGGTTTGTGCGGTTCAGAATCGCTTGGGAAGTGGCATCAGCGCTTGTTTTCCTCCATAAATCAAAACCGACACCAATCATCCACCGTGATCTTAAACCAGCCAACATCTTGCTTGATCGCAACTTTGTCAGCAAAGTAGGAGATGTGGGACTCTCCACAATGATCCAAGTTGACCCATTGTTAACCCAATTCACAATGTACAAACAGACAAGCCCTGTTGGAACATTATGCTACATCGATCCCGAATATCAACGAACCGGACGGATATCACCAAAATCAGACGTCTATGCTTTAGGAATGATCATCCTACAGCTTCTAACCGGTCAACAGGCTATGGCACTGACATACACAGTAGAGATAGCCATGGAGAACAACGATGACGAGGAGTTAATACAGATTCTTGATCATAAAGCTGGTAACTGGCCAATGGAAGAAACCAGGCAATTAGCCGCTTTAGCCCTCTGTTGTACAGAGCTCCGGGCAAAAGACAGGCCTGATCTGAAAGATCAGATTCTTCCAGCATTGGAGAGCTTGAAGAAAGAAGCTGATAAAGCAAGAAACTCGATATCCGCTGCCCCGAGTCAACCTCCAAGCCATTTCCTCTGCCCACTACTAAAGGTAATAACTTGTTCATAACGTCATCTGTTAACTTGCGAGAGAAGTCAGGTTGGTTGGTTTAAAAATGAAGAATGTTGTTATGTTGGCAGGATGTGATGAAGGAGCCATGTATTGCGGCTGATGGGTACACTTATGACCGGAGCGCTATAGTGGAGTGGATGGAGAATAACCGGACGTCGCCGGTGACTAGTTCGCCTTTACAAAACGTGAACCTTTTGCCCAATCACACTCTTTACGCAGCCATCGTTGAATGGAGAAATAAAAACCTGTAAAGATTCGCGCTCCATTTTGGTGCCTCTCTTTGAAACTGCGTAGCGTTTTACAGCCTAGAAAAACTGCACGCTGTTCGTTCTCATAGTCGTTTTTTTATTCTCTTTTGGTTTGTACTTTGGTAAAGTGGTTGATCGTTGAATGAGTCAGAACATTTGTTGCCTTGCCAGAAGAAGTAAAACATGTGAAAAGAACTTAAATTAAATAGGTTCAAAAAATTCATTTATGTCAACGAAAATATTTTAAAACTTTAAACATCTTAAACATTGTTTAATGACTTTTCTCTTGCAAACGTGAGACACATACAAGTTTGAAGTTTGGATCACAAAACGGATCAACTATATACTTTTAATTAGCCCTTAACAAACACGTTATTGGTTTTTTATATTAAAAAAAAAACTCAAAACTTATTTCGCAATCAATGAATAATTAACAATCCTTTAATGATCAAACCCTGAATTAAGACTATATTCACGCGTAAGCGTAGCTTAGCGTGCGTGCAAGTAGTGTATCATTAGCCGTCCGAATTCTTATCTCCTCAACTATTAAAGTTTAGATTAATGTCTTATACAAAAAAAAAATAACTAACATAATATATTTTTTTAATGTCGAATCTGTCAAAATCAGAATTTGACTTGATTAATCAATTCTTTTTCATTAAAAAAAGGTAATTTGGTACTATGATTATAAGAAATTTACATTTCATACCATAGCACATTAATCATTAGAACAACGTCGATTTTAAAATAAAATTAACGAATAATAAAACTCAAATCATATAACAAAACTTTAATCTGACACTATAATCCAAATCAAACAAAATGCATTACGCCATCAAAAAGGACCCAACAACAGTAAACATCAACGCATATTCGGATCTACCGAATTGCATTTCACTTAAGATCCGAACCCGGAAACTAACAGATTCCTCTTTTTTTTTTTAATTAATTTTTGTTATTTTTATATATTTTGGGTTACTTTAATTACACGTCACCGACCACTCATGTCTTTTTGACATTTCTCCTCCACTCGCTTAAATATGAAACAGAGCACTGTTCATTTCTCACATTGAAATTAAAAATAAAATAAAAAATTCAAAGCTTTCTTCTTTCGTACGATATTCCATTGATCCAATTCGAAACAATCAAAAACATTTCTCTCCCTTTTCTCCGGATTTCGAATTTGTATTTGATTCCTTTCTCCTTTTCCCCATATTCCTCTTTCAAACATATATATATAAACCCTAGTTTTGACTCTCAAGTTTCTCAATTTCATCACAAATACCCAATTCATTTCCCAGAAGAAAACCCTAAATTTCGTATTTTTCCAATTGGGTTTTCGATTCCCGGTGATGAGGATTTATCTGATTGTCCTCGTGCTGGTTTCTGTATTTTCCTCGGCGTTCGCCGAAGATTCGATTCTCAAGTACCCTTCTGAAATCGAGAACATGCACAAGAGAGCTGCCGATGAAGATGTTGATTTGCATTGCACGACCTGGAGATTCGCGGCGGAGATGAACAATCTCGCCCCCTGGAAAACGATTCCGGTGGAGTGCGCCGATTACGTGAAGAACTACGTCATGGGTAAAGGCTACGCCACCGATCTGGAGAGAGTCTCTGAGGAAGCTTTCATCTTTGCGAGCAGCGTCGAATTCTCCGGCGATGGCAAAGATATTTGGGTTTTCGATATCGATGAGACTCTCTTGTCTAATCTTCCTTATTACATTGACCATGGCTTTGGGTATACATTTCTTATATATCTCATTTACTTGGTTCTGCTTATGTGTTCATGTGGCTCTTTTGCTAGATTTTGACAAAGGAGGACAATTTTGGTTAGAATAATAACTTGATTTGTTGATTCTGTTTTGTGTATTTTTGTAGGTTGGAGCTTTTTGATCACTCGGAGTTTGACAAATGGGTAGAGAGAGGAGTGGCACCGGCTATAGCACCAAGCTTGAAGCTTTACCAAAGAGTAATAGATTTGGGATACAAAGTTTTCTTGCTTACAGGGAGAAAAGAGAGTCACAGGCTTGTTACTGTTGAAAACCTCATCAATGCTGGTTTCCAGAACTGGGACAAGCTTATCCTCAGGTATTAAACACAACCATACTTACTCATAGAAACGATGTCGTAGCTTTTGGATTGCATGTCTAGGTCATGCAATGAGTTTGTTTGTTATGCAATGGTTAATTCTAGTTTTGATCTGTGGAGATAGTTTGAGAGAACATACCATCGTCAGTTTCATACATACTGTACATTGTGTGAGTTATCTTTTGTTTATTTCTTTGGTGTTATATGTGATGTGTAGATCTCCAGAGGAACAGCACAAAATGGCGACACTATACAAATCTGAGAAGAGAGATGAGATGGTGAAAGAGGGATACAGGATTAGAGGCAATTCAGGTGATCAATGGAGTGATTTGTTGGGTACCTCCATGTCACAACGATCCTTCAAACTTGCTAATCCTATGTACTATATCCCTTGAAGAGAGTGAAGACAAAGAGAGCTTTCTTGGACTACCTATAAAACATTACGAAAATCGTATATAGACTTACTAGAGCAATCAAAGTGTTTTTAAAGTTGGATTGCTTTCGCTTGTAAATTGTCGAGCAATTAAATGTACTAATAACAGAGAATGCTCTGTTTTATTGACTTGTTTCCATCAAAATAAGAAGATACATAATTACAGAGTAGATTTTCAAGAGACAAAACCATTGATCATTTTTGCATTCACAAAAAGGAAGACATGTTCACATTCATCAGAGAGTAACAGCAAGACCTTTCACAAAATTATATGTTAAAGGGACTGTAAGAACATGATCAAACCATTCAACATTCCCCCATATATTACCATGCCTTTCCAGCGCAATCACCGCACACCAAATTTTCTTCTCATATTTGCCACCAGGCCTATAAGAAGAGGAATCATCGTCCCACAAAAACGCAATCTTTCCACCATAATCAGCCAATATAACAGAAGAAAGCAGAGGGATTCTAGGTAGTCCTACCAAACCCATCAATGTTTTCCACCCTCTCACCTCAGTATCATACCATTTGAACTCTCTCGGACCAGCACGGTACAAAACATTATCTATCTCGCAATAAGAATCTGTAACAATAAATTTACTCACCTCTTTTCCAACATGGTCCCATCTACCTTGCTGGGAATCGTAAGCAACTACCTCTCCCTGAGTCGTCACCAAGTGGAACTTTCCATCAACACATGCGCTCTCACATTTATAAAAGTTACATTTGGTCTCGCTGCAAGGAATGGGCTCAGCATCCCAAACTTGTGTTTTTGTGTCGAACACTTGGCACGAGTTCTTGAAAGAGTTGGAATAGCCATCTTTGCATCTCCCTGCTACATATATCTTTCTGTCAAGGACGCTAGCAGAAAGTGACACTAACTTCACCCGCAAGCTTGGAGCCTCACGCCACGTGTGAGACAAGCAATCAAGAATCGAGACAGTTAAGGTTCCATCGGATCCGCCAATGTTGTAGATATCAGAACCAACAGCCACGAGACTAGAAGATTTTGCATGAGGAGGAGAGTGGGGAGTTGGGACAGTAGCAAGAACATACCCACTTGACTTATTTTTTCTACTGGTTAGGGTTCGATCAGGTTTCAGGCATAGGGTGAACCAATGTGGTTTAGGACCAGGAAAGAAACGAAAGCACACGTAGAGACAAGTCTCGTTGCTGCGGCCTAAGAGTGATCGAGCCTTGTAAAGATCCGGTGAAGCTAGGAGAGATCGAAAGCTCTTGGAGACGAGGGAGAGAGTAGGATAGTACAATCTTGAGATTCGTGCGAATATGCTCACTAGCAAATCATCGGGAAGTGACAGATTTGGGTTAGATTGCCACAGCTTCTTCTCCTTAGTCGTTGTCTTCCTCTTCTTTCCCGAGGAAGACATTGACGGCATGAGTATACGGTTTTAAGTTCGAGATAAAATATATGCGGCCCCGTGGTTTTTTTTTTTTACAATAAATAGGTAAAAGTAAAACCATTACATTTGAGTAAAGATTGGTTTATTGGTTTGGTTCAGTTTACACAGTAATGAGAATATAAACTTTTCTCCTCTTCATCTATTTCTCTTAATACAGTACAATAAACTGTGTTCCACTGAATACACTGATATCCTCAGCGCAAATAACAAGCGTTGAAAATCTCACCATATAAATATAATTGTTGATTGCGAATAGCACTAGTTTCTGTGGCGTTGAGAAGTTGCCTTGAGGTTTAAAAATTACCATCTACGATATATCGGCCAAGATAGGTTTCTGACAAGAGGAATTTACCAAATCTGTCAATTAGTATTGCTAGTTTTTTACCATATGATATCGCGACTGACTGTAATATATAATTTCCGTACATGGAACCAATAGATAATCCTAAATGAATAAGGAATAAGCAGGTATTAGTCGAAGACAAACGTCAAAGATGAGAGAGCCAATGTACACATTTTTTTAGGAAGAGGGGACAAAGTCATGCATAAACATGCTCCTCTTTCTCTTAAAACACCAAAAGTAATTTCAAATGAGACCCCCAAAGGTCTTCTCTCCCCCTTCTTTCTTTCTTCTTTCTCCCTTAAATTTAATGGGTTCTTGGGTTTTCAGTTTCGAGCTGTTCGAGAAAGTTATTACAGTTGTTCATGGTTCGGGCGTCAAGAAGGCCATGATTCCACAGTTTCACCATAAACACTCTCCAGCACCTACACAAAATACTCAGCTTTATCAACACAACCACTTTCTCTAAAACACTTGAAAAAAAACAATGGAGGAAATGAGAGTCAAGAATTACCAAATCAAGTGAGGTGTTCGAACCATGATGGGTCCATGTAATCTTGAAAATGCCTCACATGCCCATGGAATGTGACCATCTGCCAATACTCTGCAATGCATCCAAAACTAAGCGTCAAGGTAATGCTTATCATGAGTCAAAGAACATGGAAGCTAATATTATCCAATACTTCACTTGACTCAGTGCAGAAATATCCACAAGTGACTCTAAATTTTATATAATGTTAATCATCACATGTACTGAAAAGAGATATATGACATACCGCTGCTTCCTCACAAACGAGTTCCACATGTGCATTATCTGCTTCTCATCCTTAGTTACATCAACAAAATCATCGAGCATCTGAAAGAACAAAGGGTTACAGACTTACAGTTACTAATACGAAGAAATATTATTAGCTCTAGACTAATAGAGAATCAGACGAAATGTGTTGACACCGAAAACAAACTATAACACTTCAACTTAACAAATATTATATAAGCACATTGATTTGTTTCTACTGTTCCATATCAAACCATGATGCTTGCTCACATATTTCCTATCAATCTCTTACCATAATAATTTTCCTCCTATAAAACGTTTGCCCATGTCTAGTCTTCAATATTCCTTTCACTTTCACACGAAACATATATCTACCAAACTACTGAGCTTTATCTAGCACATCAGAGATAAATGACAGTAAGCTAAAGCTGTAGAAATATTAGATTCTAAAACATACCCTTCTATCTTCAAAATCTGCCACATCATCATCAACTTCATCTTCACTATCTCGGTCAGAAAGTACTTGTTCTAAAGCCATGGGCTGCGACAGTACACATAGTATAGTCAAAATCAATTACAATCTTCAAAAGCAGTTAACTAAAGAAATAGATCACCTGAGCTCGATGAGAGTGAAAAAACTGTCTCTTCTGAAGGAGGCTACGGCTGGTGGAGAAAAGAAATTGGAAAACTTAGTCACATAGTTTGAGATTAGCAAGCTACTTGTCAAAAGAACAAGGACAAATATTTCCACGCATGAATCATATGTAGTTAAATGAAAATCAAAGACAAGAGAACGACTACAGTCAAACATACTTCCTCAAGTCCGACCGTTCTATAGATAGTTTCCTCGTTTTTGCAAACTGCAACATTGTACTTCCAGCTATCGACTGCACATAATCTGGATCACCGCATGATTGCATGTCTGCAGGACTCGTGCCAGGAGGAACTCTTTGCCCTGACTCAGTACCCCCAATTCTTTCGTATTGCTTTCCAGGTGGGATTCGACTCTTCTCACTTCTAACAGAATGAGCATCTGAAAATAAAAATAAAAATGAAAACCCGTGCCAAATGATCCAATGTTGATGAATGCACATAAAAACGTAAATTACTTATAAATTACAAAACGAAGACAGGCTCTCATAGCAAAAGAAGCCGATACTACAAACCCAAGTAACCATCATTTCAGTCAACATACATACCATCAGTCTTCTCGAGCACCTCACAACCTAGTCCAAGATGAGGCCCTTGCCTTGAGCTCCGTACCTGACTCTTTTGCCTCCTCCGTCTGAACTTTTTTGAACTGTTACATATTGAAGAATTTTTATAGTCTGGAAGAGTCAAATGCTAGTGAGAAAAGTAAAGGCAACACAATAGGCCAAATAACTTACGAAAAAAAGAATGTTTGCTGCTTTGGGTCAACGTCGTCCTCATTAATCTGCGGAGATTTATTTTGCAAACATTTAATTCTTATAAACTGTGCCCAGAATAATCATCAAATCGGAAAATCTATGAAGGCGTCAAATATATCGTCGAACCAACTACTTCAAATAGGTTTGACCATCCTATATAATCCAGTACTTTATTCTACAGTCGAGCTCTGATTGCCACAAGATTTTAACAGCCACAGCGGTATCATGAAGAAATTATTCTCTTCACGTTATTAAAGACAATAGCAAGGATCATAGTGTCACAAATAGTAACAAAACATTCAACTTCCCTTATTTAACCTTAACCACTCAAATGTCAACAACGCATGGAGGATATTAGTTTTAATGAAAAATGATATTGTTATACCCTATAAGATCTACAGCAGAGAAACTAATGAACACAAATCAGACAAACCAAATGCTCACCTCGGACATCATTGGCTCTGTCTTGAGGGAGACATTTACAGCCTGATATTCTTCAGTTACCTAAAAACCAAGTGGAGCAGATTAGTGGTATCCACAAAACAAAAATTGAGTAACAGCTTGACTGAGTTTTGAAGTTACAAACCCAAAACTCGAAGTTGAAGAGATCATGGGTTGATGGCAAGTGATATCTCAGGCCCTACAACATGATTGGGAAGAAAAAAAAAGATTGCATCACTCCAAAGAGTTCACTACAGCTGTATCTTTGACTGAGGGGTATGAATGAGAATGGAAATAAAAGTCCACCTTGAAACTGGCACATTTTACTAAGCAGAATGGACAAGAAAAGTCTTCGGTTACTGCAAAATTATATATAACAGGTTAGAGAACCAAATGAAATATATACATAGGTATGAAACAGGTTAAGGATGATACAAAAGTTACCTTCAGTCCTCTGCAATTTGTTGTTATAGTATCTGTAATTGAAAACTACATTTCGTGTTCTCAACCTATGCAATGAATGTTGAGATTTAGAGTCAACATGAAGAGGTAGACATTCTATATTTTACATAACCGCTTTTAAATTGACAACTATATATATTTCATTAGAGGAGGGACAGTCACAATTCAAGAAAACTGGCAACGACAGATTTAGGGCGATAGCAGACAGGTCAATAGATTATATAGAATTAGAAATACTTATAAAAGATGAGTCAAGAAAGCTAAAAGAGAAGAAAAGGGATTGTCGACTAAACTGAAAATTACCTGATAATTTGCAACAATGACGAGGAAGAGATGTCATTATATGAAAATGAACTATAAGGAGATTTTTCTGTTGCCCCAACCTCTTCTGCAGATATGGTGACTTGCACTTGCTGCGGTGAGCTCTTCAAATAAGAAGTTAAAGATTTATAAGAATACAACTACATAACAATTCCAGGAAAATGGATACAAGAATAGCAAAGTGTGGAAAGTTACCGAGGTGAGGGGATTGCTGGGCACCTGAATCGATACACACTTTTCCTCACTCATAGACTTTAGCTGCAACAATGGACATGTTATTTTGAAAAGACTTTCATCTAAATAATTCAGAACTGAAAACTAGCAGCCCATATAATATTCAGATAAGTAATTATTTCCAATTTACTTTTTCAAATTACATGAAAGAAGTTCAATCCAGAGTCCACATTTCACTAAAGGGAACCAAGAAACACAGAACATAAGGGAAGATGAAGGCAATAGTCTTTACCTTTATGAAGCAAGGCTGCATTTCAACAAGAGATACCGAGTCTACTCTCTGTCCCAAGTCCATGTTTGGAGATTTCTGCCACGACGCATAGAGCGATTGCAGAGGTATTTTGCTCCATAAGCAATGTCCTCCTATATTGCCTGCTAGGAAAAGACGCTTATGATGATAAGAGTTTATGAAGAAAGAGAATTTCAGGAACTCTCATAACCAAGAATCCCTGATCGTTTTGTTAATAAATAGGACTGAGATTTCTCCATGCTATGACATGGAAAATTGGTATGCCTAAATAGACACACCACTTTGCACAATTAAGACGTTATATCATTGAAAAAAAGGAAATACCTGAATGAATCTTGCCTGAATCAATACCAAACTGAGAATTCTGCGCACCAGCTACAAGAAAGAAGATAATTTGATCACGTGATCTGAATACTATATGAATGTCTTAAAATAATAGTATACACCAGTTAATCTTAATCACCAAAGCTGATAAACAAGATAGCTAGTGATCCTGATTTAGACTCCAACGCGAGTCTGTTCATATCAGGGAGAAGAAAGTTGGCTTGGGCTTGACTAACTCCATCAACTCCCAGGCCACCAGTTAGGATACATGCTCGACTGAACCTATATACTGCAGAATACTATAATTTGAGAATTTTAAGTTAGCAAAGAAAAGGAAAGTAACGAGTAATAAAGATCAATACAAATTTCTGGCAGCGGTTCAAACACCTACCTCGGCGACAGGCTTAGGGGAAACGAGTCTAGCCAGTAAAATATACAGAGGGAACAATTTTTGAGTTTGTACACCAGCATCTATAGTGCCCGAGAGGAACACAGACATTTGTATTCTGCACAGCAGTAATATATTGATTACTATCCACCAGTGGGTAAAGTCTCAAAATCTTCTTCCCAAAAAATTGAAAGCATTCATGTCCGGAATGAACCATTGAGGCATAGTCTAATAATTAAACAAAAAAACACTAAAGGAGGTTCTGACAGTATACCTCCTTTTATGTTTGGCCTCAATCTTATAATGCAAACATCGCTGAAGAAACAAGGGCTACAGAGGAGAGAAGATAGACAATGATTAGGACAGCAAAGCAAATGAAGTCTAACTCAAAACTTGTAAAGCTATAATCTTTGTCTCTAGAGAAAGGTAGGTAACAAGAGAGAGAAAGAGAGGAAGTCTGACTCAAAAACTTGTAAAGTTATAATCTTTGTCTGTAGAGAAAGGTAGGTAACAAGAGAGAGAGACATACATTCCTAAGAGAACGGCGCTCAAGGATATTGTAGAGTTCAACAGGCTTGCAATAGGCAGCGAGGCTCTCTTCAGCAGCAACCTCCTCCTCTTGAGAAATACGCAGACGGGAGTCTTCATGGCACATCTGCTCTGTGCTTCTTGAACAACTGTTATTAAGATAAGATTTCCACCAAAATTATGCCTAAATAGATTTTGTCTCTTGTTAACTGAAAAGATGAAAAAGAGACATACGAAGAGGATTCACGAGTGATGAGAGGAATGCCTGGCATTCTCGCCCTACGAGAGCCTCGAGTACAACAATACCAAACCCAGAATCACCATCATCACCTGTAACAATCAGTGAATCATCATCAAAACCCATTAGCAGATATATAATTTGAACAGTGACTTCAAACAAAAATCAGCTATGGGACTAACCCAAAGCTGGGGGGGATTGAGCTAATAATAATAAGGAGGGTCGATCAAATCTAAGAACGAATTTGGGGCTTGAGATGTGAAGAAGAAGAGATTTTTGATAAGAGATCTCGAATCGAATCGAAGGAGAAAATGAAGATATAACTTAAGAAGAGAGAGAGAGAGAGGGAGAGATGGAACAGTTAAAAGCTCAAAAGAAGAACCCTAATTGTGAGAATTATCTTCACAAGACAGAGGCGACTATGACAGCTTGCGAGAGAGAGAGAGAGAGCGTTTTGGTTTGGGAGAAGTGTAAAATTTGGTTTTGTTCAGGCGAGAGAGAGAGAGAGAGAGGAGACTGTATAAATTAAATTAGTTTTTTTTCTCCTCTAAACGAAAATAACGTAAAAAAGAAACCCTGTCTTAAAACTTTTTTACCAACTCTCTCTGTCTCTGTCTCTCTCTCTCTCATGATAATTTTTTTCTTTGGTTTTTTTAATTAGATATTTTTTATAAAAAGTATAAACACTACACTTTTTTTTTTTTAATTTTGAGATAGAGATATTAGATTTTTGTATCATGAAAATTTCGTGCTAGGATTTATTAACACAAAGATATTATTGTTTGTGCAGGCTTTTTTTGGTTGAGATGAAAAAATTGGTTTACTCGATTTCCAGTGATAAATTAAAGACTAATTAAACAAACTAATTAAACAAATTGGTTTACTTTGATAATATAAACCATCTCATGAGTGATGAGAATGCGACGGGAGAAGGTTTTAAGCTTTATTAGTACCGGTTTTGGAGTTATGTTTCCGGTTTGGCGTAAGTTAGCCAATAATCTTCTGGTGGAAGAGGCGCTAACGTGGACGAGTATCCCTCCCATCATCAAAAAAGTCACACACACACATGAGTCGGAGACGGAGAGGGTTTTTACATTGATTCTAGGGTTTTACGATTACTATCTTCATACTCATTTCAGATCTCCTCTCCTCTTCTCTCGGATTCGTAAACCACTACTCTACAAGGGTCTTTTCAAAAATGTTGCCCAGATTAGCTCGACTCGTTACTCAGTCCTCAAAGCTTCGATCTTTCACCACTAACGGATCCATGTTAAATCTCTCCCGCTACGGGTACGCCACTGTTGCTCCCGAGACTGTTGATGCTCCGCCCCAGAAATATTTCCCCAGCAAATCTCCGGTATGATCCAATATCTGCTTTCATTTTATTAAAAGATCCTGTATTCACAACTAGCCACTGTGTTCGTGTAACTCTATGATCCGGAAAGTACTAATTTTAGTGATGCTAAGGTCTCATCATTATATGATTCGATGCTAAGGTCAATTTGATACCCATTTGGTACTAGTTTAATCTCTGCAAATGAGCTGAATCGGGAGCTACAGGGACTTCTGCTTCTTTGTCGTCACCATGTTGCTGTTTCATTTAGTCTTTACTTCTAAGAATTTACAACGAGGTGGTTTTGGATTCGTCCCTTTTTGCTGTTGGAGTTTCCTTTAGGATATATAGATGAATCATTTTGTGATTAGGATTCTTCAACTGTTTCTGAATATTATTAGTGCGTTTCTTTAATGAATTTGTGTTTTGCTTTATGTCTGATAGATAAACTTGGATAAGATGTTTTGGTCAAAGCCATGTTCTTTGGCTCTACCCAAAGACTCTCCTCTCAGGATTGATGAACCAGACTATGTAGGGATCCGTCGTTTCATACTTAAGATGATGATGTTCTATAGCAAACAGAGCATGTCTATCCGTGGGGCAAACGTGATTTACAAGCGGATCATTGCACAAGTTGACAAACCAGCTATCTATGATGGTACTTTATTTGGTTCTCAACACAATTGCACATTGGAGATTTGTTTAAAATTTGATTTGCAAACAGAATATGTTGTTTATATAATCTGGTTCTTGTCTCTGCTGCAGCATTCAACTTGGAGAAAACATTTAAAATAACATTTTCGCTGCTTGTCCTTCATATGTGGCTTGTTTTACGCCGCTTGAAGGAAGATGGACAGGAAGGTGTTGACCTTGGTCAATATGTCTATGAGATCTACAATCATGATGTGGAACTCAGGGTATCTAAAGCCGGGGTACGTGCTATACTGTTGTTTCCTACATAATCTTATTTTCTTAGATTCCTTAAAATTAAGATGGTCTTGATCTTTCTTGAAATTGCAGGTTAACTTGCTGTTGGCCAAGTGGATGAAGGAATTGGAGCGGATATTTTATGGAAATGTTGTTGCCTATGACGCTGCGCTACTTCCAGAAGCTAAACCAAATGAACTACAAATCAAATTATGGAGGTAAAGCTTCAATAATGTTGTGCTTCATGCATTGAACTCAGTGGAAATTACACTGGAAGGTTGTCCGGGTTGAATGTATATGTTGTAGCAGCCGTGAATGAAAGATTTTTCTCAGAACCTCTTTTTGGAATTGTATTGTAGGAACGTATTTTCTGATGATGGAACAACAACACCTGATAACACGGATTTAAAAGCAGCACAGGCATGATTTTCTCCTCTCTATCTCTCTAACAACTTTTAGGCTATGTGTAATTTTTTTTGAGACATTGCTTGTATGTTTCAGGCAATGGCAAGATATGTCCGGAGAGAACTTGGTTCTCTATCTTTAACAGGTGCATACACTAGCCTCCCTATCTCATATATTGCTTTATCAATTGCAACATACAAATCACTTTTGTTTTACTGTAAACTGAGAAGCTTTAGTTGGCATACCCCAGTCTGTGACTCTCACTTGCATTTTCAAATGGACAAGTTTTATCTTATATGGTTCTGTTTCGTAATGCACAGATAAAGAATCCATATTCTCTGGCAATTTCGCTTTCACTCCTTTGGAGAGCAAACCCCTGTGACTTGAATGAAATAGAGGAAGCTGTGGCGCTTGGCGAATCAATCTTTCATTTGTTGCTCTTTTTTCAGCGTTTATATCCAGCCAAAGAAACATACACAGAGAGGAAGATATGCTGGTTGTTAGCATCTAGATGATCATGAAAACATTATGAAAGTTAATAAGATAACTGGAATAGAGCATTTGATGCCATTGGTACTTTAATTCACTAATGCTCAAAGTAATTGCACTTCCCTGCGTTTCAACATGTATTATTTTTACAGGTTATTCTAGTTTTCCATCTTTTCGTTGGGTCTTTGAGGTAAGACAAATATAAGGTGGTTAGCGCAAGAAATGATTTGTACCAATTGAAAGGAGATTTTTAAGTTCGTGACTTGTAAGTGTGACCAGTGAAATTGTAGAACACGTTCGACAAATGATTTGTCGAATAAGTTCATAGTTACAGATTTAAGCTTGCGCAATAGGAGATTACAGCGAACATATGTGAAATGTATACTTTTGCTTATGTTTCAAAGATTTCAAACACATAAAGACTTGGGAGGTCTTTTCTTGTTGCTACTGTCCTTAATGACTTTGCCACATTTCATCTTTACTCGAATGTAATGTTCCATAACTTTATTCCGCATCAGGGTGATTTGTCGTGATGATATGTGCAAGATTTTGAAGATTACAAATCTATAGTATGTTTTGAATTAAGCATCTTAACCGCTGATGTGCTTCATAAGCGTGCTTGATAAAGCTCACTAGTTTGGTAGCATATGACTACTACTGTGAACAATATGGCATATGTAGCTTTCAAAGATTGGATATCTAACTCCATGATCTTAGTAATTGTGTATGGGCTTTATCTTACACTGCAATGCTATGATACATTTACTTTATAATACCCTATGAATTACTGTGACAATATGATTAGCTTGGTCAAACCTTTCTGTATAATCGGATTTATAAGATGTTCTATATGTATCCATAAATAATATATTTGACCAAACTTAGACGACGTACAACACCGTACTCTATATAACAAAACATATATAAAAGGATCAAAACATTACTTATACTCTCACAACAATTAAGAAAGAAAAGTAAGATTACAGCATACGTACGTATTGCATGTTATTGTTACACATTAACACAAACGTTGAAAATAATAAACACAAAGCGAAGAGATCGAACGGTGGATGACAATATAATGTGGAAATGGTTTGTTTACCCTTACGAATTTTAAGAAGCATGTTGTGGTTGTTGGTGATGGACTCCAATGTTGTGCTGTCCATACTTGGTATCCTGAGCTCTGCTCCCCATCTTCATCCGAGCATTCTCTATCTTCTCAGATCCTGACCCCGTCATGTGCCTATACACATTCACCATGTATTCAAATTCTTAATTTCTATAATGTAGCGTGCAGAGTAAGCTAGGTTTGAAACGTAGGTAACATTTTGTGTATCAGTCATGTAGAGTATATATACCTGTAGAGCCAAGAGAAAGCGGTAATGGCGGCTATGCCAAAGCCACCTGAGGCGAGGAATCCGGTGATGATGAGAGTGACGGTGATCACTGCCGGAACCAAGACAGGGCTGAAGATAACAAGCAGAGGAGTGGCCACAGTGAGGGCGATCACTGTTCCGGCTAGGGTTAAGCCGGAGAGGACTAGTAAGGATCCACCGGCTGTGACCGCAGTCGCTGCCTTCACCATCTGCGTCGCCTTCGGATGGGCCTGGCCAAGGGTACTACTGTCTCGACTTATCATCTCGTGATGTGTTCTTGTTTGGTCCGCCATTGATTCTTTTTACGATCGTTCCAAAGAAAAAGAAAAATAACAAAGAGAAGTAGTAATGTATTTGGAGTAGCAAGTAAGCTATCATGAGATATATGAAGGAGATGAGTGAGAGAGCTGGTGGGGGGTCACTTGAGACGTGACCACTTGTCGAGAGTGTTTTCATGCAGCCGTTGCATGTGTAAATGAAAGCAGAGATGGTCTCTTTTGCGACACGTACGTTTTGGCCGTTTTGTTTCTGAAATAGGACACTATTGGACCGGGGAATAATTCACGTGATAGACAATACAATAGTCGATCCTGGTTACATGGTCTTGGTACCACATCTTTAGAGAAGCAAAGAACAGTGGAATCAATATCCATTAGGCCTAACCAACCAAGCCCACAAATGCCTTGAGGAGAAATATAGGCTAGGCCTTGAAGGTAAAATAATGCAAAACCCGTAAAGGAAGGCATGAACTAGCCTTCCTTAAAAAAACTCCTCAAATTAGCCCTACTAAAGTTTGTGAGGCATTTTATGAGAGACGTACGTTTGTGTTATCTGACTTTGCAATTTTCTTGAGTCTATGGTGGTACGATGATGATTAGCTCTTTCCTTAAGAACACAAAGGATTCTTTTAACCTTTTTTTTTTGCTAAAGAGGAATCTTTTAACTTATTGGACCACTATAGATTGGACCACCATAAATTGGTCGTATAATTGATATTTGTCTTCTCCTTTGTAAACGGATATGCGTATTCGTGTTCAGTTTTAGAGTATGCGTATCATGTGTCTCATTGTTTAACAAGTATGCGTATCATGTGTCTCAGCATGCTAGCTGCAAAATCAAAACGACTGTAACTCTAGTTGTTTCATTAATTCGGATATACAAAGGGATCCATAATTAGAATGGTGATCTAAACCTAGACGGTAGTTTCAAATCTCGAGAGTCTTGGACCATGAATTTTGTTTGGACATTTTCTATTTTGATACTCAAAAGTCAAAACGGTGCATGCAAGAATTTCAAACTGTCATTGTCCAAAATAGGCAAGTTGCTCGCTCTATACATAATACAATAACTCTACACTTCATTGCTTAGCCGTGAAAGAAACAGAAATCGAGTAACCAAATTCAGATTAGTTTCAAATATTACGGCGAAAATATCATTTCCTACCACCCAATCTTATGATTCAGAGTGTGACCAAATGAGAATCCAAGGTAAGTGGAGACTAATTCCATGACTAATAGACACAGTCGTGCATCCACTTCAATTCCAAAATATAATTACGAATAAAGTAAGAAGTCTATTTCATTCAAAACCTCTCTACAGAAAACATTTTTAATTTGTGTCTAGGATTCGAAGAAACCTGGAAGCAGAGACTAGCTTGATAAGGCCCCCCTCACAACAAAAAGACAAAGCCTCAAATCCTTTATTGTCTTTAAATAATAGAGTTAATTAGAAAAAGGGCAGTTTTCTTAGCGTGCCCTTTCGTTTTAGGCACTTTTCCAAATCCTTTCCAAAATAGGTACTCAATGCATTGTTAAATGTCGGTTTTACCCTTAAATCAGTGACGTCTTCTTCTTTCTCTTCCTTTCTCTGTGTTCTCTGTCATCTTATCAAAAGAAAAAAATTGAAATCAAAGCTTTTCGATCATGTTCGTTCTTGGCTTCTATGTTCCAAATTCAAGTATGTATCTTCGTCTCCTTTGTCGGATTTATTAATCTGGATCCAGTTTTGCAGTGGCCTTATTCTTCTTCGATTCTTATCGGATTTAGTCTCCGGGGAAAACGACGCGTTCGAGAAGCAGCCGCAACAAAGCAAATCGAGATTAGATTTATGATTTCCTCTCAGTATGTTGGGTTTGATCTGTAATATGTTGTTCGACATAGTATGTTTCTGAAATATTTGACAATAAACTAGTTTTATGGATTCGAAACTTTATAATGATCTATGTGGGTTGATTAGTGCATGTCTTAGGGTTTAGTTTTACATCTCTAGGAACTCGTAATTCACTATCGTTAATGCATGCTTGTTCGAATGATGAAAGGGTTGATATGATGTATCTCCTCCGAATGTTTGCAGGTAATATTAAAAGCTTTACCAATACACTCAAGTCTTGATTCTTCTTCTCGCTCTATATGGTGAAGGGCAATAATGTCATAAACAGTAGATTTTTGCTGAGTTGTACATTGTTACTGTATTACGTTCCTATTTCGAAAGAAAAGAGTTCAAAAGTGCCTATTTTGATAATATTCCCTAAATAATAATTTAGAGAGTCCACTTGCACACTCCAAAGCAGCAAAAGAACTAAACAAAGTCAATATATTGAAAAAAAGGATCCTTCCTCTCTCCAACACAAGAAGCTAACTAGGAACCCTCTCACTTCCCACTTCTATATAACCTCAAATCCCAAAAACCAAAAAAATCTCACATTCAAAACCACAATTGAAAACATAAAGAAGACTCTAATATCATCTATGGCTTCTTTATATCAACAACAACAATTAGAACAAGACCAATCATCTTTAGATCTCATAACTCAACACCTTCTTACTGATTTCCCTTCATTAGAGACCTTTGTCTCCACCATCCACCACTCCACCACCTCAAGTACTCTACGCCAACGCAAGCCACCTCTTTCCACCATTGTAGTTCCTACTACTGCACCAGTGGCTCAAGAGGAGGATGATCAAAAGCATTACAGAGGCGTCAGGAGAAGACCGTGGGGTAAGTATGCAGCTGAGATCAGAGATCCAAACAAGAAAGGTGTTCGTGTCTGGTTAGGAACTTTTGACTCGGCAATAGAAGCTGCAAGAGGTTATGACAAGGCTGCTTTTAAACTACGAGGAAGTAAAGCCATTCTTAACTTCCCACTCGAAGCAGGCAAGCACAAGGACTTAGGAGACAACAACAAGACTGTGTCTTTAAAAGCAAAGAGGAAGAGACAAGTAACAGAGGATGAAAGCCACCTGAGCAACCATAAAGCTGCGAAGAGGGAAGAAGCTCAGGCTCAGGCTGATGCTTGTCCATTAACGCCGTCTAGTTGGATGGGATTTTGGGACGGAGCAGACAGTAAAGAGATGGGAATATTCTCCGTGCCTCTGTTATCTCCTTATCCATCTCTAGTATACTCTCCACTTGTGGTTAAGTAAGCTTCTGAGAGGATCAAATCAGGAAAATTCCAACATTAGGTGCCATTAGCAACTTTGGATTGTCTTAAAGCCTCTAGATTAGCTGATTGTAAAAAAAAATGCTTTGCTACAAGATTCATTCATTCTTCTTAAATGCAATTATTTCTACCTATCTTTAAACGAGTACCTTTTCCTTAAACGACAATAAAGAGGAAGTTCGAACTTACAAGACCTACTAATGAACCGTTCGAACAAAACGACTTTGGTCGCAGTCTAATTATGCAGAAAACCACAAACAAATGCACTTTGCTTTCAACCATAGAACAACAAATCTCATCAGGATCAGGTAATAAAGTGTAGATACCAACATATAGTTTGATAAAGACTGACCCACTGGTTACTCAGGATGGTCAACTAAATTCTTACAAACCGACTCCAAGGGAAGCTGGAAGCCTGGACCTATTTACAATTGAAAAAACGGATCTCATATAGACAGAAATTGTTATCCATGGCCAAAGAGCCCAACAAAGACAAGAAAACTACTTTGGAACCACCGGAATGTTCATATCCTTACAATACACTGGAACCATTTAACTAAGTGTGAAATCATGTGGGTATTTACATATATGTATACACACACGTTGTACTGAAGTACAAAGACAATGAGTCCACAGTTTAAGGAGGACCTGAACCAACAAACATCAAGAAATTGTCTAAAAGAGGCAAGTAGACAGCCACTCGTGCATCCACCTTGGAAAAATATTATTTAACTTTACCCCTAAAAGTTAAATTAAGTGTCAATTTTTCTTTCAAATTTGTCTTAAAAAAAAACCATATTTTAATCTGTGTATTAGATATGAAGAAGCCTGGAAATAGACACTAGCTTGAAGATGGTCCCTCAGGGATAAAGAAAAATCCAAAACATCCCTCCTTTCTTATCTTAAAACTATAATATTTAAAGCCCACTTGCCACACTAAAAAACAACAGTAGAACTAAACAAGTCAAAATAGTTGAAAAGGATCCTTCCTCTTTCCAAGCGAGGAAGCTAACTACGAAACCTCTCACTTGCCACTTTTATATAACCCTCCAATCTCAAAAACCAAAACCCACAATCAAAACAACAATCAAATAGAAAAAGACTCTCCAACATCATCTATGGATTCTTCTTCACATCAACAACAGCAAAAAGAACAAGACCAATCAACTTTAGATCTCATAACCCAACACCTTCTTACTGATTTCTATTCCTTCGAAACCTTTGTCTCAAACATCCATCACAGCACCACCTCCACTCTTAGCCAACGCAAGCCACCTCTTGCCACCATTGCAGTTCCTACTATTGCACCAGTGGCTCAGGAGGATGATCAAAGGCATTACAGAGGTGTGAGGCGAAGACCGTGGGGTAAGTATGCAGCTGAGATCAGAGACCCTAAAAAGAAAGGTGTTCGTGTCTGGTTAGGGACTTTTGACACAGCCATGGAAGCTGCAAGAAGTTACGACAAGGCTGCTTTCAAACTACGAGGAAGCAAAGCTATTCTTAACTTCCCACTCGAAGCAGGAAAGCACGCAGACTTAGGAGACAACAACAACAACAACAACAACAAGACTCTGTCTTTAAAAGAAAAGAGGAAGAGACAAGTACCCGAAGATGAAAGCTACCTGAGGAGCCATAAAACTGTTAAGAGAGAAGAAGCTCAGGCTCAGGTTGATGCTTGTCCATTGACGCCGTCTAGTTGGATGGGGTTTTGGGACGGAGCAGACAGTAAAGATATGGGAATATTCTCCGTGCCTCCATTACCTCCTTCTCCATCTCTTGGATACTCTCAACTCGTGCTTACTTAAGCTTTTGGATCAAACTGGTACATTAGGTGACATCCGCAACTTTGGATTACTTTCACACAAGCAAACATCAAAACGATGACAATAAACTGAGCTTGTAAATCTTAAGGGTTGTAATCATTAGTTGACTGTAATACTTTTACCATATTCATTCATTCACCTTAAATCCAGTTCTTTCTACTATTCCTTTAAATGCTCAAGATGATTGTTTTCTTATAGAACAAGAGGAAGTTCAAACTTACAGGATCATGGCAAAGAACCTTTAAACAATACGATGGCCAAGAATCCAAGACTTCGGTTGCCATCTACTCGTGCAGACACCCATAAACCAGATGCACTCACTTTGCTTCAACCCTATAAATCTCACCATAGAACCAAAAATTGCATCATTTAATAAACTAGATGGCAGCATATAGTTCGATAACAGCTGGCCCATTGGTTACTGATGATACTGAACTACATTCTTACAAACCAGCTCCAAGAAAAGCTGGACTTAACATTCAAGAGAACCAAAAGATAAGATATCTACATTCGCAAGCATGTAGTACATAAATAAATTGACTACAATTCCATGGCCAATGGAAGGGTCCTATAGAAAGAAAACTACTATGGTTCACATTCGCAATACAATGAAACTATTTTAACCAAGCAGATAACATGCTGCAAAACATCAAATCAAGTGCATCTTCGATCAAAAACCAAGTTCCATTTCAGACTCCAAATTCTCTCATTCTCTGTTGGATATCTGAAGCGGTAATTCCACATAAGAATGAATATATATATGTATGTACACACACGCGTTATGCTGAAGAAAACCATTGAACTGAAGTACAAAAGGGAAAAGGCAACAGCTTAAGGAGGTCTTGAACCTACAAACCTGTCTTTGCCAGATCATCACCAATTTCCAGAATGCAGAGATACAGAATGCCCAAGACACAGAAGTTCATTAAGTTTAAAAAACCTACACCATTCCTTTGTCACCCTCTCCACCTGATCTTCGGCTTCCAGATGTACTTTATGCTTAAGGTCAGAGGGGAATACTGGATATGAGAATGTGGTGGCATTTTAGTACTCACCCTGACTGTTAGGACGTTGATTATAAGTGACACCGCCAACTCAGAATGAGGAATTCTTCTAGATAAAAAAATTATACAGTTACACAACTTCCAGTTAAGAACGCTATTTGATACTTTCCATTGCACAATATCGTCATTACATGATACAATTGAATTGAACAAGATTTCCTTTGCTGCTAATACCATGTATCAAATACATTGGTCATAATCAACATCTTGCTACCTGTGCAATCACAGAGAAAATGAGATGATTTTATAGTGTAAACAACAACGTGACATATAAACGCCCGACTGGAAAACTGTTGCTTTACTATAAGAAACTTGAGTCCTTAGTTATCTTGTCCCAGACTCGTGATGAAAGTTTTACTGATCTAGGCATGGAAATGATCAATGATATGCTCTATGACATCTGCTCCTTCTATATGCATATCTTCATTTTTAACCTGTAAATGGCATAACATAGGCTGTTAGACTTCACATTTATACTAGAGAGTATGTGGAGATTCATTCTATCAGAATCAATTAACACTATGCTATCGGTCAAGCTTATAACAACAGAAAGATAACCATCACGAAAAGGTGCAGTTAAAACGCTTAGGAGGGAGAATAAAATGTTATATCTTCCGACACGTGAGAGATGACAGGAGAGACTGACCTGTATAACACTATGGGCAGCGAACCTCTGCCTGCTACTGTGAAAGCTAACATCAACTTTTTCCCATGACACAGAGGACAGACCTTTGATCATTTCTTCTGCAAAATCAGCAAGGCATTATGTTCTTAGATACATCATGCTGTATATTAAAACAAGAAAGCAGACGCAATACAAATGATAGACCAACATATGAATTGTTTGCACTGAACACTAAATTCTTTTACCAGCTAATGAGATCTAAGGTATAGAAAATAGAAATAAAAATCAGAGAACTGAGCAATAAGTTCTACAACAAGAATAATAAACGCCTAAACAGTCAATACATTATCAAGTGCAAGCTAACCTTCTATGTCATCTGAATGATTCTCGCCTTCTGGTATGTCCTCAGCATCACATGCCTTACAGAGTTCTTCGTAAACAATATGAGGATACTTCTCATTCAGAGAATCTTCCCACTGTTAAACAAGTAACAATACATAAATCGTATCAAAATTCTGAATCAAATGAAGTAAACCAGTCAGAGTAAGATACCTTAGGCAATTCACTATCGCGTCTAATAGATGCAGTCTTCCAGCCAACGACGTCTATTCAGATCAAGTGAAGGAAAGGAAATGTAATTTCAAATGCTAAAAAGCACATTTCTACAAGTAACACACATAAAGGATACGATCATGGCCCACATTTGAATAAGCCACTCGTCTTTGGAAGACACGCAGTGCAGATCTGCAATAGAGGAAAACGTTTTCTAGTGAGAACATCTTTGAGACATGGTTCGGTCAACTAACTTGAGACAAATGGAGCATAGGCTGGCATACATGAAATGACAATCACCGGAATCTTCCACCATGCGTCGAAGCAAGGGTGGTTTTCCCTCATCTTCATCTTTCAAGAAAAGGTGGCGGCCCGTTCTTTTAAATATCCAATGGATAATGAGGCCTGCAACTTTCTCAATGGAAGAAAACCCAAAAAGAAACGGGACCTGAAAGAAAAGAACAAAATTGTTCCAATTCCTATGAGAATAACATATAGACATAAGTGAAATGATAAAAACATATTTCCATGGTTCAAGAGAGCAAGTGTCAGTTATATCTTATATGCATTACGTTGGGGAAAGTTGGGTAAAACAAACTGCCTGGTTTAAAGTAACTTTATTAAGATAACATAGGAGTCATGCCCATTTTGTTTGTTATCTTTACATTTTTACCAGAATCATGTTACGCAATGAACTTTGTAGAAGAAAAATCATTTCATATTCAAAAAATTGTAAAGACGGTTTAGCAAAACGACTCAGTACAATAAACACACTATGAAATGCACATAAGAAGAGTTACCTGTTTATTACCCATTGAACCCAAATGTGGAGTAGCTACAGTAATAAAGTTGACAGCCTCTAGTCCACATATTGTGCCTTTAGGAGGCTTTTCACTAGTGTCTGCTAATGAGTCGTTCAAATCTTCCAGATTAGCTGGCTTGTACAATTTCCCAATTGCATATCTTGCAGCAAGCCCTCCCAAAGAATGTGCGACAAAGGAGATTTTCCGGATATTTGGCTTCTTTTGAATAATATCAAGGACCTGACCATACAATTCATTACATCAAACAGATCCAACTTGGCTAATAAAAGAGAGAGAGAAAAAAGTAAGTATGTGATGGCTTACCTCAGTTGCAAGACGTTCACCCATTACATCCACACCATCTAGAGTAAGCGCAGACACATTCTTTTCACTACCTGCTTATATAAACGGTAATATCATAAGGATCTTGAACAATTCAAGTCTAGAGTTTTATGGTTAAATTGCCATCTCAATTAATGGGAATTTCTTAAAAAGGCAACTTTCTAAAATCAACACGAACACCATTGAAGAGAGCAAGGATACTCACAATGAACAAAAACTTTGTCAGGTAGCTTTTTAACGAACTGATCAGCTCCAAACTTCCAATCATCCGTACTACAGAAACCAAATTAAGGAAATAACATTACAATTCTCTCCTTCTATATTACTTCAAACGAAATTCACAACTCCAGCCGGAGAGAGAAGAGAGAGAGAGAGAGAGCTATTGTATTAAACCTTCCCAAGATGCCATGGACCATAACGACGAGGTGATCAGCGGAAGAAGAATCAGAATTCTGACAACTCCAAACATCAAGGCTGCCATCGATAGACTCAGCGGAGCAAACACCGTTCTCCTCTTGCTTCTTCTCCATGGTATCGATCCAAGGAGTCAAACAAAAGTCGGATCAAAATTGAAATCCGAATTCGATCCGATCAGATCCCAGTTACAACCAATTTCAGGATGGTATTCTGGGTACGATACAATGAGCCAATGGGATGAGGAAAATGGTGGGAAGTTAAAATATGAGGATAAGATTTGGGAAGAGTAGAAGAAAGTGTGTACTTGCCAGAGAAGTAACCCGAAGACAGAAACAAAAAAAAACACGATAAAATACCGACTTGAGGTCGGCTTCGTCAGGGACGATACCGACTTCCCTGGGATACTATTTTACTAACTCCATCGTACGCCATTGCTATTTTTGTTTTGTTTTCTTAATTAATTAAATCGAGAAAACTGAAGCTACAGATATTTTGACTATTTTTTTTCGTTCTGGAAAAAACGAAAATATCTTTGACTTTACGGATTTATCCTAATGATAGAGATTATGTTAATTCGTTATGATCGAACTCTGCACATTGAATTGTGTTTCTCCATCCATTGTAATCTGTATTGAAGTAAGAGTTCGAATAAAAGGTGTATACGCCTTTCTTTTGCTATTGATGAGTTCATACAATGTTACTCAATTCGCACTATTGGGTTATACAACTTTTCTTGCTATAGATCAAATTGATTCAAAGCCTTTTGCATTATGATGCAGTCAAATATCCTCTTCTTCACCACATCGTACGTTCATTAACTTAACACAAGTCGCAAAATCGTTTGTTCCTAATTCTTTTTATGCTTAATTACTTGTTTCTATAAAATTCAGGTTAAGAGAATAAAATTCTCATGTTTTTACGATAAGATCAGGCAATCAATAATTAATCTTAACATGATTCAGTCAATTCATTATCAATATTTGCATTAAAGAATTGTATCGCACAAGTTCAACAATTGCAATATTATATAAATTTGTTCTGTATGAATGTATTAGATTCAGAAGCTAATTCGGTTGACATTCACTTGTAGATGCACAAAGCAACTCTCAGATCAAGTGTTGGATTAGATTAATTTTGCTTCATCATTATCACCAACTCTAATTACGTTTCTTCCCTAACTAAACCTAATTCAAATGAAAACACAAACATACAGGCTTCTACAAAACAAAATAAAGTGTACAAGGGAGATCACTCAGTAGTGGCTAGTGATTTTAGGTTCGATTCTGCCAGCAATTCTCTTCAGCTATATCAGAAGAGGGAGCTGTATATCCTCATCGTAATCTCCTTTACACCCCCAATCAATCACAACATCAATACATTTCGAAAACCATTGAAAACCAAAAACAATTCTCGAAAAAAACCCAATTGATTTGTGAAAACTCAATACCAATTAAAAATTATAGATTTGCGAAACCGAATAAAAACAAAATAAAAGGGAAAGAGAGAGGAAGGCTCAGTTCAGCGGGAGTATCGACACAGAAACGAATCAACCAATAATGGATGAAACGCCTCATTCCGGTCTGTTGAGCTTGAAATTTCCGAGTCGTCACTGCCAACTCTATCTCTCTATATATATTATCTATCAACGATCAACAAAAAATCTTTAAAAAGCTCATAAACCCTAAAACTACTAAACATCCTAAAGAAAACGATTAGAACATGAGAAGAGAGAATCCTAGATGCAACTGAACTGATGATGAATACGATCCCGGCGATTGCTTTCAATTTATAAGGGACGTCATTAGGGTTTTCCGTAGGTCTTCGGTAAAAATTCGGCAAAAGCCCATTTTCGGCCCGTTAAGAGGTTTCATAATATGTGCTGCTTTGATTATCCATCATACCCACGGATGTTTTGGTTTAAATTCGGTTCGTTTGAATTTGGTCTAATCTGGTTCAGGCTTGGAATTGAAATCTGGTTTAAAGTTTCTTCTCCTCTGTTTGTTAATTTTTCTCTTTAATTTACGGGAAAATGGACGCATTGAGAGCTTCTTACGGAGACGCTTCATCGGACTCCGACACAGATGATCTTTCTCCGGCGTGTTCCGTTTCTGCGAATTCCGGCGAGAAATCAACCGCTGAGAAGCAAGAGAATGAGTTGATTTCCTTACCTCCTCCGCCGCTTTCGCTTCTCGAATCCATTGTATCCACAGGTGATGCTCACTAACTTGTTACTCTCAATCTGATTCATACGGATAGCTCTCTCATCACTTTTTTCTTTCGTCTTTTCTTTGAATCTGAAGGTTCGGTGGATTACTTCACAACAGAGTCTGGGGTTCGAGTAAGAAACTTCCCTCACGTCGATGGCAATTACGCTTTGCACGTTTACATCCCTGGTAAATATCTCTTTTCCAGAATCTGAGCTTCTGCGTTATTCAATCTATCAATGGTCTTGCTAACTAGGATAAGTATGTTCTCTAGGATGTATTGATTAAGTGTATGATGTGTATCACTTGTTTTTGGATTCTAGTTATTATACCTCCATTGCCAAAGAAGGAGATTGTCTGCTTTTTAAAGAGGGTTGCATCAGTTGTTCCTCAACTTCATTTGGTTGAGGCTGATGTGCCACTCAGCATTCTATGCAAGGATGACCACAAGTTTGAGCGTGCATTGGGGAGAGAGTTCCATATAAGCTTGGGAAGGAGTGTTCCCCTGCGTGTTCATCAAATTAGCTCAGTGGTTTCTATGCTTAAACAAAAGCTTCAGTTTCATAAGAGGTAAAAGATCATTTCTTTTATACCATATGAACCGATTACGATGGGATTTGTGAATTGTTTTCTGTTTTGGTTTTGGACAGATACTTGATTGATTTCAATAAGTGGGAGGTTTTTGTGAATGATGACTGTACTCGCTCTTTCCTTTCTTTGGAAATCACGACTTCAGGACTATCTGAGGTAATGCTGTACAACAAAAAAGTTACCTTGAATGTGAGCTTTATGCATTCTCGGTACCTCGTGTTTGGTATTTGCACTGACGTTCATATCTTTGATTCAGATAAGCAAGCAAATCGATGCTGTTAATGAAGTTTACAAGCTTCACAATCTGCCAGAGTTCTACAAGGTCCACTTGTTATTCTATATAAAAGCTTGATTGTATGGAACTATTGTACCAACACTTTACCCATTGTGTTTGCCTCAATTTTTTCCTATAGGATCCGCGGCCGCATATATCCTTGGTCTGGGCGTTGGGTGACATTAGGAATTCCCTAAAGGGAGCTGTTGACGGGGAACTGAGAAAGCTAAGAGCTGGTGGTTGTGTGCAGAATCGTATATTCGCCACTAAGTTTTCTGGGATTGAGTGTAAGATTGGAAACAAAACACATAAAATATGTAAACTCCCAGATGAATAAGAAAATCCCAATTTCTGTGTTTGAACACCTATATCAGTTATGCATTTGTTAGTGTAACGAAATAGAAGCACAAATTGATATGTTTCTAGGGTATTCCACATTATATGTCTGCATAACTCTTACAAGAAAGGGTCTTTAGATCATAACAACAATGGTGATTTCTCGATAGCGCAACAATAGGTCTTGTAATTAGGACAATGTAGATATTAAAGTGGCTATTATATTACAAAACGTTTCCATGAAAGTCATATCATGGAACAAACTTTTTGTAACCTGGATTCCAAGAATTGTCCGAGCATGTTAATAGGCTTCTCGAGCAACCTCATCAGACTCGGGGTGGCAGCAGCGAGGATGGATGTGATGAGAATGCAGTAAAGCTTGACCTGATCAGGTGCAATGCTGGTCATGGCTGTGTTGTGCGAGAAATACATTGCCATCATACAGATCTGAAGCTGGAACCGCAATGGGAACCCGAGGGTGAGAATGTTGAGCATAGAAAGTGAAACTGAAAACCCAATTGTGTTAAAGAACACAAACATAGTGAAAGCGATTCCATTGAAGGTCCCCATGATAGATTGCCCTGCTATATGAGCTTGTTGAATTGTAGCATTTGCGCTCGTTTTGTTCTGGGATACAGCAGGTATTGAGCTATCTTGCCAAGTTCCACCTGGTGGAGTCAAGCTGGCCTGAAACGTGGCTGTGGCGACTAGTGAAGCCACCACCAGCAATGCGCTACGTGCTTCTGATGGTGAGTCTCTGTGCTTTTTGAAAGTGAAGTACTTAACAAGCTCTTTGTGACTTCCGCACTCCATTGTTGTCTCTTGGCATGTGGAGGTAGAAGTGGTTCTCTCCACATTGGTGGTACCAACGTCTCGCCCTCTTTGAGCTCCAGCTTCGATGAGTTTCTCATAGATTTCTCTATCGCCAGCTTCGCTCGGAAACATAACTAGCAAATCCAGTGCAGAGAGACCCATCTTGTTCATAGCATTCACCTCAAATGACCTTGACTCTTCTGGTATTGCCTGAACCAACACTTCCATCACCTATCAGATTTTTTAAAAGATCAGATTGTGATTCTACTCAAAGTAAAATATTTAACCGCGATATAATTTATCTTACTTGGCGATTTTTTTTCCAGGTCGCAAGATGAAGAGCAGTGTTACCTTGTTCATCTTTCTTGTACAATAAGTCAATTCGATTCTTCTCTGTGATCAAATCAACAATGGCCATGACTGCTCCAGTCTCTTGGTGCAAAACAGCAAGGTGCAAAGCAGTTTGACCTTGGACCGTCTCGTCTTCTACGCAATCAACACAGTTCGACACTAACTCTCTGATCACATCGATTTTCCCTCTCATCGTTGCTAGATGAAGTGGAGTCTTTCCATCTTTACCTTTTAACCGGCAAAACTTCTTATCAATGCCCAAAATTGCCTTCACGGTCTCTACTTGACCAGCTGCTGCTGCCGCATGAAGAGGGCTAAAACCTTCTTTGTCCAAGTCAAAGACAAAACCTGACCGCTGCCGGAGAATCTTCCCGCCGATGACATACTCTTCACGCCTAGGGTTAAAGGAGTTATGGAGAGGATCCGACACAATCTCCTTTGGTAAATGAGTCTCAAAGGCATCCATTTTGGTGATGATGCAGAAGAGAGAGAGGAGATAGGTTTGAATATACAATGAAGGTGTGTACCCATCACTACAATCGCTTGAAGTTATTCTATTACAAAACTACATTTGACATTTGACTTCGTAACATATGTAAGAATTCCTTAAATGGAACAAATGCATACATTACAAGTGTCAGTTCTTGTATATTATATCTTTGTGAGTTGTATTTGTTTAAAACCAGATATTCTGACCCGCAGACCACACCAACCGTACGAGTAGTAGAGACCAAATTCACAACAGTTTTGAGTAATAAAATAAGTTTCAGATAGTCAAAAGACCAAGTCAGATCTTAGCCGAATTGACTTATCTCTCATCAGTTTCACATGATGGAAACTTACGAAACTGTGTTTTTGTTGAAGTCAGTTTGTTAGAACAAGGATACAACAAAAGAATAGAAATCATAGACGAAAAAGCAATAAATCAAGTGAAAACTTGTGTGGTATTTGGTATACTGTTTTGTTACGAGCAAAGTCAATGGTGTAGGCGTGTAGCAAAAGGAGTATATTATCCCTAGCGTGAACAAATCAAGACAACTCCGTTTCTGCCTTTAAGCCTGACTAGTTTGCCATGCATCTTCTCCATACTGCAATTTCTCATTGAACTAAAGAAGAGACAGTTGTTGTTATTAAGCAAAAGAAAATAATAGACACTCCTGTTTCCTATAAATCACTTTAATCTCTTAAGTTTTCTCTGTGGAGGAACCCTTCTCTCGTGGAAAGTTTCACATTAACTTCCTGAACCACAATCAAAATCATATGATCCATAAAAGGGCCGTATTTGGATTGTTCAATTTCAACGTCAGATGCTAATACAGTATCAGATAGCTTCTGCTTCTAAAGACCAGGAATTGCCTCAAGGTTATACTTTTCTTCAGCTTTTGGAGTTTCGCCTTCTCGGCTCTCCTGCGTTTTTGGTTTCTTCAATGCATCTAGAGTCTGGAGATATGTATAGGATGAATTCCGAGGGTATTTGCTGCTAGGATTGCTTATTTGACTAGCAAGAAACCGACGGATGAGTCCCCTCAGAAATGGAGCCATTGTATCTGGTTCATATTCTAGGTAGTACATGATTCCTCCCATACATCCACAGAATAAAGCCACCTGGTTTCATTAATTGGAATAAAACATCACTTCCATTGCTAAAACTTAAATGGGGAAGAAAGTTGGAAATAACAACGGTGGTTTGTATTGTACCTCCGCGTTTTTAATATCGGGAAGAAGGTGACGGTTAATAAGTATCTCCCACAGAGAATCTCCTGCTCGTGGAAGAACGTATAGGGCAAGCTCAGAGCGTCTAGGTTTTTTCTCCAGCATAACTGAAAGGGCGGCTACACCACCCGCAAACCAATAAACGAGCTTGTGGTCCTTGGTTGCAACTTTTCTATGGGCACATATGAAAGCCTGGAGCAATTGGTTAACAGATAATTAGGAGTATGTATTTGGAATGGTTTTAGAAGACTATATGTGCAAAAGGATGGGACACAATCAAATGTCAAAATCAGATACCTGAAAAATGCCAACAAAAGCAGACAAGAAGGAAGTCGATCTAACAGAATCTCTGATTGCATGCCAAGATGTCCGGTAAGGAGACGCCATGAACTGAAAGTGTAGGATGGCATAAGAAAATTTAGATAATGTCTGACGAAAAAATAAACCATAAGATTCTGAATGACTTAAACGGCAGAGTTTTAGGCAAAAGCTTTACCTTTTGCAGGTGTAGAACAACATATGGGACAAATGTCAGGGAGAAGTATAATGGAAATGTTTTCTTGAATGTAGCTGACATTGCATTAGCATTTTGGGCCAGACAGTTAGTGTTTGGATGAATAGCTGAACAAGGAATGATGGAAGCAAACTCTTCCACATTCACGTCAATAGCTGAGTTTTTACTAGATATATAGTCTGACAAGGAGGCTACATCGATTGGACCACCTCTGCAGCATTCTCTTACAGCCTGATAGACAGGCCTTGCAACTGGACCAGTCTTCTGAATAAATTCTCTATATGATTTTGGCAGGGTTTCAGGACGCATTATAAAGGCATACATAACCTGCACCCACCTCATTGCAACAAAATCAGTTTGCAGATAATGATCACTACTAAATCAGATTAGAGAGAATATGCATGGTACACAAAACTTTTCTTCAACATCTGTACCACTTCCATACTAGTATTCAGAACACTAAAACAGGCAGAAAAAGAGACGAATTTCAATAACCTGAGAACATGCAAGAGAAAAAAGTAATGAATCTCCATGTCTCCAATGGCTTCCCCAAAGATGGAATTTGTTCTTTGACTTTGCGGAATTATAAGTCGCCTATTAATAAAAAGAATCATCAGACTCTCAAAATCGTACGACAAACAACACTATGACCATAGATATACCTGGCCTAATCTAGCCAAGAGGTATAGAGCAAGTGTGCGCCGCTGGTTGGAATCATCTAAAGCCAGGACAGACAAACCCGCAATTGAACCTGCTAAGACTCTGCTCCACCCTTAATCAAAGTCATAATAAGGTATATACTTTTCAAGCACTATGCACAAGGAAACAGGAGAAGCAATGAAGCATATAAAAAAAGAGATACAACAATACGAGCACAAAAATACAGTAGCCAACATAAAACAAAAAATAGACTTACGAATTCAATGGCGTCTCTTTCTTTCTCCACTTCCTCAAACAGCATCTAAGGGCGTGATACGAGCCGGTAAAGCCACCAAAAAGTAGACCAATACGACATGCCTCTTCCCTCACTATCAAATCTTTCTCCGAGACAAGTTGCTGCAACCATAGCGCATGTGTGAGTTAATCACATATTCCAAGGACTCAGGGAATTATTAAGAGAACTTGCAGGGGGACCTAAGCAAACAACTTTGTTCCACACATCCTAGACAAAAGTCAAACACCTCACAGGTGCATCTAGCAGAGAGGAACAAACATGTGTATCCCATCTGGAAAATTTAACCGTGTATTTGGAAAATAAGAACACAACATGGCAATGCTTGAAAACGAGAAGAGATGATAGAACTTATATCAAGATTCGAACACCTTAGCCTCTTCATAACAACATCTGAACCATTTTGGAACCGTCTCATATTTCTAAGTCGAAGTCAAAGACCACCATTGGCCCTAATTTCAAAAGAGTCGTATCAATCGATGAAGCAGACTCGTAGGACTCTTAAGTCTCCATAACTTAGCAAACAAAAACCATCGAAATTGCCACAAAAACAATCCCACATATATCTGAATATCCTCACCTTGAGATCAAGAAGCGACGAATAAGACTGTCCCCTAGCGAGCTTGAAAGCGCGAAGAAGGATTCCGATCCCAACTCGAACACCATAAGAGAGAAGAAAGCTCTGACATAAATTGCCGATGGCATTGGCTACACAAGAAACGTCAGCGTGATCACAAAGCTCCGCATGAGATCCACGCGCCGCTGAGCGCTGTCTAGCCTGAAGCTCGGCCATGGCATCGCGTAGCCTCTCCTCCGCCTCGCGAAGCCGGCGCACATCAGCCTCCGAGCTGTCTTGAGATAAAGGAGAAATCGGTGGAGGCGACGAAGAAGGATCCAAAACCGGCTTGGAGAACGAAGAAGGCATCGTGTGGGGGGGGATTGAGGAATTGAATTCGGAAAGCTTTCAAGCTCTTGTAGCTATGGAAATGATGCAATCATAGATAAAAAAAAATGTTGGGAGCAGTGAAGAAGAAGAAGCGATTGGGATATGATGCTATGACACGTCATTAATTTTTGATTTTTTTTGGGTCAATATTTCTTTATTTGGGAAAAATACAAAAAAATATTTTTTTTTACCATAAAACCGAAAGTGTAATAAAAAAAGCAGCCAGTATCTTGCAGGGATTAATATCCATTTTCAGCAGATATATACGTTTCTGCTAGGCATTCTGTTTTTGTTCCAAAAGATTGGATACTCCACTTAAATATATTGATATGGTCTGTGGATATGAATATGTAGATACATATACAAATAATATAAGGGGATGACAAAAAAAAATTCAGACAAATTCAAATAATATAAAAGATTGATTCAATGGTAAAAGGAGGTAAATCTCGCCACCTGGGTTCGAATAGCATTGGTCATAGAGGTTCGAGATTTAACATGGTTTTCTCCGGTTCCACAAAAGTCTTTAGATGTCAGTTTTTTTTTCATAATTAAATATCCACTATTTTGAACTAATTATATTTTTTAATTATTTTTTGTGTTTTCGGATATTTGCAGATAATCAAAATTTTAACGAATATATGATCATATGATATTAAAAATTTCTAAAGTACTAATATACATATCCTAATAAAAACAGATACATGTTCAGTTAACATAATTAATTGTTTTGTCCTAACCCAAAACTAAAACATTCATTTGGAATATTGTTGTACAGCAGTTAATTAGATTGCTCTATATATTGATAATTTTTTTGGTAACAGTCATTTTAGAAAGAAGGAAAATGACAAAACATTTTGATTTTGTTACTTAATAGAAAAATACTTTTCTCATTTTAAAACCACATTTCTAATTCATTAGATTGAACCTCTGATTGCTCTTTGATCATTCCTAAACCTAAAACCAAATTTTCTCCTCTTGATTTTTCAAACTCCCCCTAAATCAGACATATTTGATTTTTGATTAAAGCATACAAAATTTGTTGGGAGAACCATCAAAATTATTGAAACTAATATTGCACAAATACTGTAATAATCAAAATTACTCAAAAAAACTAAACCAACCAAAATTCAAAAGTCCAGACGAATGCTAATTTTTGGTTCCGATATAAACAGTTAACTAAATTTCCGGTTTGGGGGTAAGCTTAAAACTTGGTTATACCCAAAACAGTACCGAGTTAAGATTGACAACGACCACCACCGCTAAGATTAATCTAAAATCCAATGAAACGAAAGCAGCAAGAAGACGACAACGACGACGGCGTAGAGAAGAAACCCGTCTCTACTACAGTCGTCGCCACTAGCTCAAACACCATGAGCACCGACCACCTAATTTTGCAGTCATCTTCGAAACTATCACATAAACAGGACTACATCTTCCATGGAGGTAAAAAACGAATCCTTCTCCATTCTTCGTTATCCCTTTAATCAATCAATCGTTTGATTTTGTTTATGTAGGGAGACGCCATGTGAGACCGTACTACTTCGAGTTCATTTCTCATGTAAGTGTTTTCATCTTTCTTCTTTTAGCCCGCCCTAGTTTTTTTTGCTCATACCACCAGAGAGTAGTCACAGGGAGATTGAAATTGATGATATAGGTGAACAAACGATGGACAGGGAAAACGATTGTGGATTTGTTCGCCGACGAGTTTAAAGGCCGGCCTCGTGAATATTATGTAAGTAATTTGCTCTTTCTCCTCTAATCTCAAGGAATTAGTTTTGAATGCTTTAGGGATTTTATGATATGTTGATGAATATTTTAGGTTGGTGCAGTCAAAAGTGGTAGAATCAAAGTTGATGGAGAGATTGTACCAGTTTCATACATTGTGAAATCATCCCAAAAGATTACTCACTTTCTCCACAGGTTGTTCTTCTTTTAACTAACTTATGCTAATTGAATTCAGTTTTTTTTTCTTTTTTGTTTGTTGCATTGAATGTGATTCAAATTCTAAATGTGTGAAAGGTTTCAGGCATGAACCACCGGTGATGATTGATGATGTTGTGATCCTTCATCAAGAGCCTGACGTTGTTACTGTCTGCAAACCAGCTTCTGTTCCTGTGAGTGTTTCATTAGATAATTTTTCAGTTCATGTTTGTCTCTTGAGAATATGAAACGTGTTTTATTCAGAATGATTGAATTAGACTCTACGCCAAATTTATCTAGTTTTCTTCTAGTTAGTACTATTTGAAGCGTTGTGAAATACGAAATTCACATTGTTGTATAATGCTTTTACTGCTTTTATGGTGTGCGATTTATATTCTGGTAAGGATGCCGATCTTTTCCGTCTTGTGTAGGTGCATCCATGTGGTCAATACCGTAAGAACACGGTTGTTGGAATCCTTGATGCTGAGCATGATCTAGGCACTCTCTTTCGTATCCAGCCAAATATATTTTGACAAGGATGCACAGTTTTAATTTACTCTTTTAATATAATACTATATGAGTTAGCCTTGCATCATCTCACAGCTATTCACCGATTAGACCGTTTGGTTTCTGGATTGCTCATCATAGCAAGAACTGCTGCAAAAGCTGATTTTTTTAGGCAACAGGTACTGGTAGAAGTTACTTTCATTTTGCTGTCCTGTACTGTAATTCCTAAGATGCTATTGGCTCTGGAATGTCGCACTTAGTACTTATCTTGATTGTTTCAGATTGAGGGTGGACTGGTGAAGAAACGTTATATTGCAAAGGTTATTGGCGTGTTCCCAGAAGATGAGGTTTGGAATCTTTCTAACGTTATTGAGGATTGGACATTTTATAATTACCAACTTCATAAACTGGACATGAGTGATGCTCATTATGATATTAATCAACATTAGAATTGATTTGAGGCCAGTCATAATTTCCAAATTCAAAATCTACCAGCTTATCTTGAGCGAGTTATAATATTACTTTGGACTTTTGGTTTGGAAATTAAATTGAAGTAGCTGCATGACTTCGATGTGTCAGATGGTAGTCGACGCTAACATAAATTATAATGGCAGTGAAGGAAGAAGCACTGCAGAGGTAAAGCCACAATATGCCTATAAATTCAAAGCATACAATCTTCCATTAGCCACTTATAAGTAAAAATATCAGAATGTGTATATGATTTATGCAGGACGCCATTTCAAGTGGTGATGATAAGAAGGTGAAGGGGAAGCCTGCATGTACCAAGTTCACTAGAATCGCTACTAATGGGACTCATAGCCTCGTCTCGTGTGAACCTGTTACAGGACGAACTCATCAAGTAAGCAAGTGATTATACATCAGTAGATCATGCGTATTTTATCAGCCCAATATACATAAACTGTGGTCAAAACTTATAAAGCTTCGGTCTCTCTAGATCTTATTAGCCATGAGAATATTAGATTAGAGAAGTTTTCGCCTTTTTGGGTTTCTCATTTTGGTTTGTGACGTTTGTAGATTCGAGTGCATCTTCAATATACAGGGCATCCCATAGCGAATGACCCACTTTATCTCAATCAACAAATAGATAATCTTGAGACCTATATCGCAAAAAGAATCGATGCGGGTGAGAGAAAGATTGTTTCCCCAGATGACTACGTGTATTCCACTGAAGATTTCAGCATCGATCCAATGTGCACAAACTGCCCAAAGTTGATCCCACAAGGGTAAAAAAAAAAAAGAATTGCAAAAACCACCACTGTATTATTGTTTTCATCCAAATGGTGTCTCATATTTCTAACTTATGCAGATATGAGGAGCATGACGAGGCTCTCTGGCTACATTGCGTTCAATACTCTGGAACTGGATGGGAATACGAGTGTCCTTATCCATCTTGGGCATCCCTTTAGCTACATTTATTTGATACTGTAATTCTTGCTACAAACACTTGTGGCAACTGTATTGTACACCGGTTCGACAAATATGCTGATTAGTGCTTACATGGAAGAGTATCAATTTTAATTCATTGGAATCAAAGATTTTCTCATTTATCGATTCATAGTTGTGTCATTATCATTAAAACCGTGTACATCGAAAGAGGACCACAAAAATTGGATTAGAGAGCCTAAGCTGTAGCAAAAGAGTTTACATATTATATATGAAACGAATTCTAACCATGCCATTCCAAATTAGTTTGATTTTCACAAGGCTTTTCAAAAACTCAACGAGACATCTGGTTGTTATGTTCATTTCTGGAACGCGAGAATCTGTCTATCAAACCCTTTGCTTGCACCGGACAAGCTTGATGTAAGATCTTCCACTGTTCTGAAACCAATCTGTGCCAAAACCAAAACACAAGTATGGAACATTAGGATCCCACCCCAAAACTTGCCAACAACATCAGGTTACAATAAAAAAAGCCAAAACTACATCTTTACACAAACTGGTCGTGCTGCATAACAATTCTGATCTACAATTTGTCCAAAACTTTAGTATAACTTTGAACCACACTTATACTATGCTTGAATCAATTTACAGCTCAAGTAGGTGTATGGCCGAACTAAGGAATAAAATTGAGTGGACAGAGTACCTTATCAAGAAGAATTTCTTGGAAACTGTCTGGTCGTAACACAATCTTTCGGTAATTCATTGCAGTTGTCTGCAAACACACAAGCCAAAGAAAGACTCAAACTATATATCTAGCTAACTTGTTCAATTTGAATGACATTTGCATATATACACACCTCTGAGACACGACGATTGTTTTCATAAGATTTCCAAGGCTGAGGTTCCATTACAAAGATACCACCCTGAAAAACAAAGTCAACTGTCAGTTGCGCATATGAAAAGCAAATAATAAACACCAGTTTAAGTACAATATACTTACCGGTTGAAGAAGACGCCAAATTTTCGAAAATAAGGTGATCAACCCATCATCACCCCAATTCAAATGAACCCATTTGGTCACACTTAAACTGCATAAAAGATTAAAAAAAAAAAATCATCAATAAAGCCGTTATTTTCGATTCCAGCATTAGAAAACCAAGACAGACAGGCTTAGTAACATAAGATTGTTTAACTAAAAATCCTGTGAGTCTTTTCTCAACTACAGTTGGAATTTAATAAGCACTTTGAGGTATAAATATTACCAAATAGTGACTGTTCTTTTGTTTCTAGCCCTTCCACAAGGCAGAGGCCAAACACACAAGTGAGTAAAGGAGCAAATTAAGAAAGGAATATAGTAATTTACCATAGAATTGTATCATAACGATTCTCGTCAAGATTTCGGGTTAGAACAAAATTCTCCTTCTGAAACGACACAATCTGAGACAGGTCCTTAGTTTCTGGGTTGTCTGCCTTTGTCTCGCCATTGGAGAGAGAAGTAGATTGCTCCACTGAACCATGTGCTCCATCTTTGCCCTCTGAACTAGAATTCTTTTCACTTGACTTAGCAGAATTCTGCATTCTGACAAACTTCCTAAGATGCCAGTGAGCATCCTCAATGCGACCTTCAATCAAAGAAACTTTTGTTCAATGCACAAGTTTCAAATATATACGTATCAGGAAAATGATATCCATTGTCCTGTGTTGTCACTTGAGTTAAACTTAATATACTTGATTAAATCAGACAAAAAATTCAGTTCCTACATAAAGCAGAACTTGGAAGATAACATAACAGCCAATAGTTCTTACTTGAATCAATATCAACTCCAAGAATGCTCCGGCAACCAAACTTTTTAGCTGAAGAAGTGGGAAAAAAAAAACAGATATCAGTAAACGATAATATTAATGGTCTATGCTAACAGAGAGATTTCAGACACAATGAAAACCCATTCACACTCTTACTAAAGCATTCTAATAAGGACATGTAACTACACCTCACAAAAGGCCACATTTTCAAATTTGAACTAGGAATTGAAAGATGTGAAACAGTTTAAGAGTAGAACATACCAATATGGATAGTCATAATGCCGCTGTTGCAGCCAATGTCAAGACAGTCCTTTCCCTGAAACCACTCTTTCTTCAATACTTTAAGCCGAGGGTCCTCATCTGTGTCATTGCTAATCTAACACATTACGTTTTATCATAAGAAATCCAAAATCAGATACGAACCAATATTAACATCAAAATGATGAGCAGAGTACGAAGACCATCAAAATTAACAAGTGGAGAGAGACTTACTCGGTAGCCATAGTAGTTTCTGTAGTTTCCAAAAGGATAAACTTCTTGGTTCTTCTTCTTCTTGCTTTGATTACAGTTCCCTTGTTGCTTCTGCTTCTGCTCGATTGGGACCTTCTCTTCATTAGCTACAACTTTCTCAATACTCTTCTCATTCTCTTGCTTCGGCTTCTGCTGGGTAGGGACTTTCTTCTCTTCATTAGCTACAACTTTCTCAATATTTTTGTCATTCTCACGGCTTCTCTTTCTCTTCTTTTTATCCTTCTTCTGATCGTTGTCCCGACCCATTCTCTCACTCTCACACTCCGATGGTTTCATATGTGCGACAGAACAATCACGCGGAGCTAGGGTTTCTATGTTACCGGCGATCAAGTCAATGATTATAATCGAAAAAAAGCGATTAGTCTAAACAGAGAGACTCGAAGAAGCTAGCGCTAGAAAGGTTTTTCCGTAGAGATTTAAGTTAAGCGGCGCAGAGCGAGGAAGAAGAAGAAGAACCGTCTTTGAAAACTCGAAAAGGGTTTAGCGAGTCTCTTTATTAAGTTGTTATCCTTTTTTGAAATTATATATATTTTCAAGCCTATTTCTGTAAATATACGAAGTACTTAGCCAGACTTACCTTGTGAAGCCATAAAGGGAACAGTTACAGACAGTTTTAGAGAATCTAGTTAAACAGAATCGGTCTCTAAAAATATATTCTCTCTATTAGGTTGAGAAGCGAATAAATTTTAGTGTCCAATTTGTTTACAAGATCTTTAAAACTGTAATTGTTAAACAAGTGAAACGATACCCAAAAAAATTACTGCAAAAAAGTATATGTTCGATGAGCCATCAAATTTGGGGTGACCATGATAAGGTTGTAACGAACCTTTTAACGGTCATCCTAAATTTGATGCCTCAACATCGAACACGTACCTTTCTTATAGTAACACATGCTTTGTGTGAGTACATGCTTTGTGTGCATCAGTCTATATCATTCCTTTTCTTTGGTCTACACGAAAATTGGGTTGCCTGCTCGAGAATTTGGCAAGAGTTAACAGTATCTTTTTTCCTGGAAAATTAGTTTCGGAAGATTCAAATCTTATCAAAACACACAAACCTAAAATAAAGAGTTAAAAAAATCGCAGTAACTGAGTGGCAGTCATTCTCAATGGAAAGCTTACGAGTTTTTTATGAGACTCGTGTTGAAAAAAGGATAAAGAACAAGGAAACTCAAAATGTTGCTCTTGTCATCAAATATTGTACAGAAATTTCTAAAAATATGATTCCCCCCTCTCTCCTCTCTTCTGCCCATACAATACAATTCTTCTTCTCCAACTCTTCTCGGTTTTAATCGAAACAACTGCGGCGCCCCATGAACCAAGTTGAGAATCGAGTTGATGATGATAAACACTTCCTGAACTGAAAGGCAGCTTGCTACTTTTAACACCAATTTGCCTTGATCAGTACGGTCTGTACCGCATGGCCCGTCTGAACCTGGGAACTCTCCTGCACAAAACCATAACAACCATTGTCAATGATGACTCCTCTCACTAATATATATATACCGAATCAAACATATAAATTTACCATATCGCCTCTTTTATAACAATCATTAGTTTTATATATACAACCCAACCATTCCTGGTTTTGTTTAAAAGAGAGGAATGCAGAGAAGTTTCTGGAACGCACCCATAGGCATATGGAGGATAGAATGGAGGTCCTGGCATAAATCCCCTCATGGGTCTAAAGGGACGCCTTCCTCGAAATTGCTTCATTCCAGGGACATTAGTTCTCTTTGCAGATACCTGAAAATGATTGTAAACTCAGTTTTGTTAATGACATATATATATTTAGATACATAGCCAATGGACTCCATGACAGTAAACGAGTTTTCACCTTTATCTGACGACCATGCAGTTCTGACTCATTCAAAATAAGAGAATTCTGAACAGCTTCTACTTCCACAAATTCCACATAGGCAAAACCTTTAGGTTGACCAAACTTGTCAGTCAGAATCGTAACCCTATTCACTGTCCCACAGGATTGAAAATGCTGCTGGACTTCCTCTGGAGTACATGCATAGTCCACCTAGTATACACAAAACCACAGCACAGAAAAGCAAAAGGAATCAGCGGGGACTAGCGCTTCACAGATACTAATAAAATCCACAAAGATGGGAAATAATGTTTTATGAATTTAAAAACATTATAAGCAACAATCAGTGATACTAAACACTCTTACAAACATAAATGAAAAAGGTGGGAATATTAATGGTGGATGCCTTACATTGCCAACATATATTGAACGTGAATCCACTTCTTCCTTCTCAGCTGAACTGACACCACCTGAAGGATCTTCATTGATATACAACAATAAAAAGGGCATTCACACGATTAGCTAAAGGTATTCTTGCCTGGTAAATTGGAATCGCTTTTCATCACTAAACACACAAAAACTAATTATGATTCCTTCCTATACCCAAACCCAGTAAATTTCATGAGAGATTCGTTGATTCACTACAAGATTCCAATACCCTAATCTATCAATTTAAGGTCTATTGTGAAGCTGAGCATATAAAGATTCAAGATTCTAAGCATGAGTTATAAAGCACAAACCTTGACCAGCACCCATATCTTTCTCAGCTTTGGCTTGCATTTCACGCAAAGCTCCAGCTTCTTCCTCGATCTCCTTAATTCGTTTCTTCATATCCTCCAAGTCCTATCATACAAAATCCAAGCAAAAACAACATACTAAATACAGTGACAAACAAGGAGGTGTCTATATATCTAAAAATTAGATCAAATACAGATCGAAGAAGGAGAATCAAAATACCCTAGAGCTAGAGCCTGGTTCAAGCTCCTCATCTCCGGCGGCGGCTCCTTCTTCTCCGCCGTGCTCTTCGTACTCCTCCGTATCCATCTCTCCTTCTTCCTCCTCTGGGATCTCTCCACCGTACACCTCGTGCTCTTGCTCATCGTGCAACGGCATCTTCGTCTCTCTCTCTCTTACTTTTATCTCTCACTCGGCGACTGTCGTAAAAAAGCGAAGAGAAACAGAAGTTTCGGAATTTTAGGGCTTGAAATCGGGAAAGAAAGGGATGGGAAGGTTTGTTCGTAATTAAATATAACCAAAAAGGATAATTTTGGAAATTAAACAAAATCTTTGAATAGATTCACCAAAGTAGACAACCCAACAAATTCGTCGGTTGGACCTTCCAATGGGCTTAACGTGACGTGGCATCTGGGCCTCACTCGACTGTTTAGATGATCTCGCCAATGATTACGTGGCACATCGCCAATGATGACGTGGCATCTCACCCATTTAACTCCAGTGGTCGGTCTTTACGGCTCTTCTCTGAAACCAAGAACTTCTTATCTTCTTCGGAACAGAGCAAAACAAACACATCCCCCGATGGCCGCCACGTCATCATCACCGCCGTGTAACGTCTCCGTGTCATCCCTCCTCATCCGTAAACCTTCTTGCACAATCCTTAAAGTGTTCGGTTTACTACCGCCTGCGAGCAGGAGTAACCGTAAACTAGACCGGTTAACGGTGACCCGGTCTAATCTGGCGCAGGATTTTCTCGGTGATTTCGGAGCTCGTGACCCTTACCCTGAGGAGATAGCGAGCCAGTTCGGAGACAAAGTGTTGGGGTGCCAAAGCACTGAGCACAAGATTTTGATACCAAACGCTTCTGTTTTGTCTCTCTCTCAGCTTGAATGTTCCCCTGTTTCTCCTTCGCAGCCTCCTTTGTCCGCCGATGATGCCCGAACGCTCCTCCATAAGGTCTGTTTACTAAGCTTCACAATTTTTTTGGTTGATAAAAAAATGTCGTTAAAATTCTCGATCTTTACTATAGTATTGGCTAGTCTACTCATTGCTATGGTTGTCGAATCTGTTATCATTATAAATTTACAGCTATGCTTATCTAGTTCAAGAAAGATAGAATTTTTACATGACGGGTGTGAATTAGACATCTAAAACAATAGATTATTGTTTACAAGTGCCATGTGTTACTCTTCTCATTGCCATGGTTAAGTGTCATGTGTTACTACTCTCCAATCATATAGTTTATGAAGTAGTAGTGTTCATGTTGCTATCTTATTGTAAGTCATAGCCTTTTTAACAATCAAGTGAAATTGTTTTGGCCACACGAATAACAAGCATTGTGTTGTGTTCACATATCTCTTACTTAGATTTGATTAGCTGTGATGATTTGCTATCTCAATTTTTTATGATTATAATGTAAACGATCCAGGTACTGGGATGGAGTATAGTGGAGGATGAAGCAGGCGGTAGGAAAATAAGGTGCATGTGGAAAGTGAGGGATTTCGGGTGCGGTGTTGAACTCATAAACAGGATCCATAAGGTTGCTGAAGCTTCTGGTCATTACCCTTCTCTTCATTTGGAGAGTCCTACCCAAGTTCGAGCTGAACTATCCACCACTTCTATTGGTATGTCAAACATATACATATAGACTTTTAGTTGTTCGAGTTTGAGTTATAATATATGGTTTCTTATAAACAATGCAGGAGGGTTGAGCTTGAATGATTTCATAATGGCGGCCAAGATAGATGATATCAAGACTTCTGATCTTTCCCCTAGGAAAAGAGCTTGGGCATGAGACCTTCCTTACTTCATTATTTTTGTAACATTTTTGTTTGATAATATATATGTTATGTATGTGATGTATTCTTCTTCATTCATCAATGAAATGAAGCTGCTCTACTACTTGTTCATTTCATTCATAAAGGACAGATGAAAATGCTTAAAAGATTTTATAAATTGACAGAAAATATAAGAAACTGTTCATTCATCAATCAAATGAAGCTGCTCTACTACTAGTTCATTTCAAAAAGGATTAGATGAAAATGCTTAAAAGATTTTATAAATTGGTAGAAAATATATAAAAAAACTGTTCATTCATCAAACTAATAAAGCTGCTCTACTACTAGTTCATTTCATAAAGGAAAAATAAAAATGCTTAAAAGATTTTATAAATTGACAGAAAATATAAGAAACTGTTCATTCATCAAACTAATGAAGCTGCTCTGCTACTTGTTCATTTCATAAAGGACAGATGAAAATGCTTAAAAGATTTTATAAAATTGACAGAAAATATAAGAAACTGAACTTTATTATTATTAGATCATTGTTTCTTTCTTTTTGCTGTTGTTGTTCAAACCCAACAACATTCTGGGACTAACACAAATTTTGGAAAAAAAAAATAATGTCTCACATATGACATAACACAACCACTTGTTGCATTCTAGAGTGCGGTGGTTGGAGGAGGAGCGTTTTTCATGCACTGTTGTTTTAGCATAGGTGGGAAAAACGGGTTGAAAGGAAGATTTGGTGTGCAGTTAGCTTCAGCGTCTAGGAAAGCTTTACAACAAGCTGGACCAACGGTCCAAAATTTGCCGGTCATGACGGCTTGTCTGATCTCAGCCAAGCATCCTGGCAAATCCATAACTGTCGACCAGCACTTGGTCAGGTCGGGCATTCCTGGCATTGGTTGGAAGGGATTTGGAAAAGGGAACTGGATCGGTGGAAACTGCGGTAGCTGAGCGTTAACCGAGGCAGCGATGCATAGTGTAACCACTAGGAGAGGAAACACACTCTTGATAGACATGATGGGATTATAAGCAACAAAAGAAATATAAGACTTGAGAGAGAAGTTGCAATACTAGATGATTAGTAGTTTGGTTTTTTGTGTTGATGAAGTTTATGTTTGGCTATGTGGTCATATTTATATGAAAGTTATGGAGTAGTAGGAGCGGATACAAAATTAGGATTGTGAAACGTATGCTAGTTAAACTTTGTAATAAGTTTGGAAAGATATAAAAATGGTCAAAACGTTTTGATTATGGAGTAATTAGACACATTGAATCTGATAGACAGTACTATAAGACAGTAAAAGCAAAAGATATATTTCCTTACCAGTCTCGCTTTGGTTAGAAATGGATAGGAAAAGACAACTGTAGTCTGTAGATGACAGAAGGGAAACAATTAGCAAATTTTCTTAAAAAGCATTAATCATGATTTATATAATAAAATCTTTATTATATAATTCAAGATAATTATATAGGAGTATAAATCTTTATATATAAATCAAGATATTTATATAGGAGTATAATTTAGTAGTATATATTGAAAATAGGAAAATATCCTTAATACACCTAATCCTTGAGATTTATAAATAACTTTATGTTTAAACTTTAAATGTTGATTTTCTTTGAATGAATAAGTTTATTTTTGTTTTTAAGTTAAAAAAATGTTGATTTTTGTTTTTGAGCTAAAGTTACCTTTTATTCACCTCCTTATGTTTTATCCAATAGATTGCTCCATATCATATTATAGTAAAATTTAAATTAAAAAAATAAATAAATAAAACATAGTAAAATAAAATCATAGACAGATTTTTATGTGTAAATAAAGATAATTATATAAAATTAAATAAAAGATTTAGTAGTATATATGGAGAATAGGGAAATATTCTCAATACACCTTATCCTTGAGATTTACCAAAAAGTTTATGTTTAAAACTTTAAATTCTGATTTTCTTTTAATGAATAAGTTGATTTTTGTTTTTAAATTAAAAAAATGTTGATTTTGTTTTTTCAGCTAGAGTTTACCTTTTATTCACCCCTTATGATTTATCCACTAAAACTGTGCCATGTCATATTATAGTAAAATTTGAATTAAAAATTAAATAAATAAAACATACCAAAATAAAATCATTGACAAAAAAAAATGAACGATGTTAAACAAAAAAATGACAAATGATACATAATGAAAACATATTAAAATTTCAGGTGGGGAGACCATTGAATAAATTAATAATTCGGTTTGTGTTTAACTTTTAGTGATAATAAAAAAAAAAATTGATACTAATGAACTTTGACATTGGAGATAAGAAGACTCACTTATCTAAGCAAGAGAGGAGGGTTCAGTACATTTTGTTGCAGGACAGTCACAAATACGAATACATTAAGGGATATCAAACAAACATAATCAGAGTAACGCTTTGAAGAAAGACGATGATTGTTGCAGTGACAGCTTCTTCCTCATTTCTCTCCTGCTCTCCTCTGCTTCTTCCTTGTCAAGGTCTCTCTTTTTTCTATCTATCTTTCTCTCTATCTCTCCCTCTCTATGAACGAACACTTGTTTTTATATGGGTTTTTGGTTGGTGAATTACAGGGCCAAACCGGCGACTGCAATGGAGAAGAAACGATAAGGTTGGTTTTGCTACTTCTCTTTTGTCTCCTTGAAGTTCGAATTAGCTGATAAGTTCTACAAGGAACTTTTTTCTTTAGGTGGTACTGGTAACAGTGAACCATGCAGATATAGTGTTTGATGAAATGCTTCAATGAAACTTGAAGTACTTTGTTTTCGACTCGAATTAAAAATACACATGCTTTGTTTGTTTTTTGAATTGCGCCAGAGACGGTTAGCGACAAAGGTGGCTGTTTCCGGTGTTATTACAGCGGGATTTGAGTTGAAGCCGCCTCCATATCCTCTTGTACGTTTTCTTGAATTTGCTTTCAAGAGTTGAAAACTAGTAGGATAAGATTAGAAAGACACACCGTGTGAGAACTGTGGTTGCTAGAATTAGATTAGAGTTTGTTCTCTCTGGTGCTAATAGTACGGTAGTAATGTTTAATCGTATTGATACACTTATGATGTAGACAGTAGTTTCAATTTAAAAGACGTATGTAAGAAGAACAAACAGGAGACGATGTGAGTCGTACTTAATAAATATAAAAATGATGAGCTTCCTGCTTTGGAATCATATGAGAGATGTTGCTCACTCTGTGTTTGATATATGGCAGGATGCTCTGGAACCGCATATGAGCCGAGAAACCTTGGATTATCACTGGGGCAAACATCACAGAACTTACGTTGAGAACCTGAACAAGCAAATCGTAGGCACAGATCTAGATACATTGTCCTTAGAAGAAGTTGTGCTTCTTTCATACAACAGAGGCAATATGCTTCCTGCCTTCAACAATGCTGCACAGGTATATGCAATATTTCTTTCCACCATTTTTTCTTAAGGAAAATAACCTTTTTAGGCTGCTCATGTAAAAATATTAGACTGGAACCTGTAAGTACACGTTATTTATATAAATGGCAGTATCTGTGTTGAAAATCTACAGGTTATGTGAAAATATTGCTTAGATAGTAGATGCATTTAAACGTTACAAGAAATCACTTGGTTACATAAAAATACATGAGAAAGTGTAGTTTCTTGTGAACTATGGATTGGACAAGAAATAACATCAGGATAAGCGGGCAAACCACCCGACTATACATTCTGAATCAGATTAGGACCACTGGTCATAGTGGCAATTTGCTTAATGTGGGATGGGTTGGTTTATCCGGAATGAATGTGAAATAAAGATATATGAGGTGCTTGCAGGCTTGGAACCACGAGTTCTTCTGGGAGTCTATCCAACCTGGAGGTGGAGGTAAGCCAACTGGAGATCTCCTCAGATTAATAGAGAGAGATTTCGGGTCTTTTGAAGAGTTTTTGGAAAGGTTCAAGTCGGCTGCAGCCTCTAATTTTGGTTCGGGTTGGACATGGCTCGCATGTGAGTGTTTTTAACTTTTTTCCTCTTCCAAATATGCAAACCCCCCAACTTACAATACATACTTAAGCTTCTGGGGACACATTGATGCAGATAAGGCGAATAGACTTGAAGTTGCAAATGCTGTAAATCCGCTCCCAACGGAGGAAGATAAAAAGCTTGTAATAGTGAAGACACCAAACGCAGTAAATCCGCTCGTATGGGATTATTCTGTAAGTGTCTAAACTTCTAATATGAAGATCAAACGTTCTTTTTGGCTATTATGGCTGTTTATATCCTCACACATATGGTCTGTCCTTTTGTGCAGCCACTTCTCACCATTGATACCTGGGAGGTATAATATATGCTACTCATCCCTCTATATCTGATTTGACCTAGATAGATCAGTTTCTTAGTTCGCTAACTTCCTTTTCCTTTTCCTTCTTTTGTGCCAAACAGCACGCTTACTATCTGGATTTTGAGGTATTAATAAATTGCTGAATGATTTTCACTACATTTGAACGCAGTGGTCTAATATTTGTTGTGTTCTACGCAGAACCGGAGACCGGAATACATAAATACATTCATGGAAAAGCTTGTGTCATGGGAAACTGTAAGCACAAGGCTAGAAGCTGCAAGGGTTCGAGCAACCCAAAGAGAACAAGAAGGAACAGATACAGAAGATGAAGAGAATCCAGATGATGAAGAGCCAGAAGTCTATTTAGATAGTGATATTGATGTATCTGAGGTTGACTAAAACCTGTGAAGCATATAACATTAGCATCTGAAATGTTAATTACAGAGAGCAGAAAATTTTGCATTCTTAAGCCCCTTGCATTAACTTAAATTTTGAGACTGTTGGTGGGGAAAAGAATAACTACTTTAAACAAAAACAAAAAAACACAGTGACAAATTTACATTCCTCCTATGTATGGTCTAGTGATGAGTTACTACGAGGAGACTTGTGATTGGATATACCCAAATATCTTTCTTCAGATGGTGAATGTATGTACACCCTTTGTAGACCATATGGTATTTGTTGTTGTCCATGAGTTGGAGGAGTGTACTGTGGTGGATGTCTTCCATGAACCGGAGAGTACTGCCGAGCAAGTCTCTGTCCGTTACCTGGAGAGTAAGAATTTGGAGGCAGATGTTCATATGCATATACACTTCTTCCTAACCCACCAGGTGGAACCATATATTCAGGGGATCTTCTGAGACTTGAGCGATGAGGAAAAGATGATGAAGGGCCAAGGTAACTATTCACAAGAGCTGATATTTCATCACTGTCTTCGTCTCTTTGACTAGGAAAGGTTTGATCACGATAGATAGGAGTATATGATGAAGAAGATACTGGTGGCATTTCCATGGGTGACAACCTCGGACGTTTCATCTGTTCGTTATACAATCTCTTGGAGAGTAACTCTTCCTCCATTAAAGTGATGGATCTTGCTTTCTCTTCCATCTCCCTGTTGAGCTGACGAGTGACATTCTCCAGTTTAACAATTTCCTCTTTGATCTGCCACCCTGGTATTTCTTTCGCAGGGTCTAACTTATGAGTCTTCATACACTGCATCACTGACGATAATGCACCTAGCTGCTTTTCAGCCGCCTCTTTCTGTTAAGAAATTTAAAGATAACAATGGTATGATTCAGATGATAATAAAGAGTTCATAAAGGTACATAATATGCAAGGAAGGGTTCATACATATGCCATCGGTGACTGGGCTTTCTGTTTTTCCCTCTCAAATGACTCCTTCTTCATCCTTAAGAATGAAGTTAGTACTGTAGAAGCTGAAAACTTATCCTCCATCCCAAAGGTATACACCATCTCAAGAGCTTCAATATGCATTCCACGCTTGATACTTGATTCAACTATACCTATGATTCAATAGAATTTTGCGTCAATTCCTATTATATTAACCTTAGTAAATTGACATTGTTTAAAGCGTAATTAGTATTGAACAGCAAAATCATATGATTTCACTTGCAATTCTACTCCAAAGCTTACAGAAAAACAAAGATGGAACTCGACACTTACGGATTCTATCAACAAAAGGAACCACCTTTGCAATGAAATTTATCGAGCGAAGACAGAACATGGTACCTGAAATCATAGGGGCAAGAAAAGGTGACCGCCTCAAAGCACCCACAATCTCATTGGAACCACTCGTCCGTATCAAATCCAACAGGTCCATACTCCTAAAGTCCGAAGGAACACCATAACAAGCAATTAGTAGAAGCAGACCCCTTGCATCGATTTGCTCTGCCACAGCTAATCCTCCTTCACCCATCAGTCTTTTCTTCCACGCAACAGCTGCCATCTCTGCCTCATCTTTCACAGAACTCTCAATCTTGAGCTTCCCTTTACCAGGATCAGGCATTAGAAGAAAAGACTCCAGAATGAGAAGCGAAACTTGTCTCGCAGAGATCATAGGCGAATCCTTACTATATGCTTTACGCCCTTGTAAGTAAAACTTGCCAATGCATTCCAACACAAACTTCGCTGGTTCCTTAGCCAACTTCAAAGCTGCAGGAATCTCTTCCATTAGCTTAGCTCGATGAGAGATATTCCCGCAGATGTATCTGCGCAGACCTTTGCTACACATCAACTCACATAAACGTTCCCCCTCCGGTTTATTCGACGTCTCCGGTACAGTCTCAGCAGGCTCCTGAGACGATTGGCTCACTGTCACGGTGGTCTCAGCAGAAGCATTGTTCCGCGGAGGCGACAACGGCTGATGCGAATTGGAAGAAGCGGCGATGTCAACGCCGTTACTCTTAAGTTCTGAATCAATTGCGTTCTCAACTGACTCGATGTGCTTCCGCAAATCATCGAATTGGCGTTTGAAAGCTTCCACCGCAGTTGAAAACGCAGCCAAATCATCGATTGATTTAAAAAACTCCGGCTGCTTAGATTCACCGATCGTAATATGCTCTGTTTCGAAAACCGCCGGCAATTCTCCCAGCCGTCGCTCAGATTGGTGAGACTGGTGCAGCCGGGGAATCGTCGCCGTAGAGGGTTGCGCAACCCCGGGGATCATAGAACCGTTGCGGAAGGCCATGGGAATGTGGAGAAGAAGAAAAGTTCTAAAATTAAAATAAAAAGCCCTAATTAAAAGTTCTCCATCTGTACTGAGTACTGAAAAATAAATTTTATAATTTTATTATGGATTTAAATTGTAAGATTTTCCATATCATAAAAAAACATTAATTTTGTGTTAAAAAAAAAACATTAATTTCTTAGCAAAATATGAGAAATATTTATTTATAAGATAATATTATAATGTATTGTTTAACATACCTTTGTGTTTATTTTTTTGAACGAAATTAATTAGATATTTGGATTTATTTTTAAAAGGAAGGTTTGTTGACTTTTTGACATTTTAATAATTTAAAACTGTATAAAGCTGTAATAATTTAAATTAAATATTCATAATAGTTAAATGTATGTAGTATTTTTCTTTTTGACATTGTTTTAATAAAAATTTATACTATTAGTTAATAACTTAATATACCTCTTAAATGTTTTAATAAAAGGAAGGTTTGTTGACTTTGTTATCCCTTTAATTTGGTTTTAGATATGTGGTTTCATGATGAACCAAAACCCAAAAGTCCCAGACTGAAGATAATGATTGATTTTTGAAAGACTAGATTAAAGTTTATTTATTTTTGGTTTGCATAACACATCTCCATATGCATGTACGTCGAGCGAATTATCACTATTAAATTATAATTACGGTTTACGCATGTATGTGTTTTGCATTTTACACTTTTGAAGACAAATTAATTAGTGTTTTGAACGTTAAAACTATTCTACGCTGTATAATGTATAATCTCCTATTAATGTTTTTTTTTTTTATGTTTTATATCAATACTACTAAAAGGCTAAAAACGTATATTGATTTATAAAATATATATGCTTAACTAAAATTGTAAAATTGCACTACATAGAAAATGGAAATACACATAACATGAATTTGTTTGTTATTCAGAATGTTAATATGAAGCCCTATTAACTTTGAAGAGAAGATCATGCATGTATAATTATAACAAACAAATATGCAGCCGTATTCACAATGTTAATATACACATAACATGAATTTGTTTGTTATTCATAAGGAAAAATAATTATACATGATCTTTAAGTAAAAAAGAAGAAATTAGAAATTGACTTTGTATATATCAGTTCAGTTTGATCCCCAAATGAACTTTACTAATAGAGACTAATGTCAAAAAAAATCAAGAGATCTTTCTTGAACAATGAACGATCCATGTAGTTAAGGATGTAACAGTCCATGTTCCATACTACAAAATTGCATTGACTGAATCATCTAGAAACGTTTGGTGCAGAGCTTTTCAGTATTAAAGTACTTGGAAAAAACGAATTCTTCTAGAACGTTTCTTCTGGCTTCTTTAACATTTTCTTATGTACTTTCGCCAAATAAAACTTTTGCAGATAGGGCAGATCAGACCACAGAACTAGAGTTATTTTAATTATTAGGTCTACTTTGTATATAGTTCAGTACTAGAACAATAAGGCTATGTCTGCCAAAGATTCGAAGAAATATATATGTTGAACTAAAGTATGAGTATTTGCATTCATTGATGGTTTCATCAAATTCAAAATTACACATGAGAAAAAAAAAAAAGAATTAAAAGATTATAGTTTGTGGTCCAAACCGTTTTTTAATTCTTTAGAGTATAGTTGTTAGTTGGAAAAAGAATGTAGCTTTAATTTTTAGAATTTTATATTAATCTGAAGTATATAAATTCAGATATATACAAACCTAAAATTTAGAAATGTCAACGGAATTCTTATTATTATTATTATTATTATGATAAATTACTGAATTCAAATATTATATATATTACATGTATTATTTAATTTATTGACTACACATATATAAGAAAAATGTTATGGTTTGTATATATTTATAATGATCAAAAAGTACAGCAAATAATTAAATTAGAATCGATGGCATTAAACAGTGACTTTAGGCAAAATAAAATAATAATTTTTAGTAATATACTGTGAAAAATAGCATGATGCACATCGTCATATGAGAAAAAATAGCTCAAATTAAACAAAACAATACGTGTTGGAATCAATGCATGCACACCGTTATAATTATGTTATGTAAATATTTAGCTAAGATACTTAATTATATGTAACACACTGACTACAAGAGCAATTCATGTGTGGTATGGTCGTATGGATAATGGATTCATTATTTTAATCGTGTTACCTACACGTGTGTGTACAAATCAAATCACCCAACCGATTACACTATAACCATATAAAATTTGAAGAGCATAAATATATTATTTATGCATGCATGCATGCATAATCTATTATTTAATATGTTGATATGCATCTTATTACACTACACTTATACAAATTAAATACTACTTAACTATATATGTAACTCATAATCGATCGGCAAAGAAAAATTCGAAACCTATACATAAAAGTATGGTGGAGAACAAGTATTTGTTTGCATATGTACAAATCTGTTTTGACAAAGACACATTTTGACAAAGACATTTTATTAGTTTGTTTGAAACAATGAACTTGGCTAGGAAATCATTATATGAGGGAAATTAATTGATAGAGTTAAAAACTTTAATATGAGTCGTTGAGCATTGATGAACAGAATTAACAAATTTATGCAAATGACATAAACAGGAATTAAGGGTTTTTTTTTTCATTTCTTCGTACAAAAATATATTATAAACAAAACTAGAAAGAAGGGATAACACAAAACAAGTGGTAATAGTTTTTTTCCTTTTTCTTTTTGAAAACAAACAAGGTAATAATTAAATAGTAGAATATCAATGAGAAAAATGAAATAAATCAAACAAATGTATACCTGAACTATTAAAAAATAGGGTCAATAACATCTAGACCCACTTTAGTGGAGTTTGTTCTCGCGTACACCTACTTACTACTCTTACTATACTTTTCTCTAGTTTTTATAAAGGGAGACAAACTTGTGAAGACGAAATCGCCCCCCCCCCCCTCATTTATTTGACTGTTGGATTTCAACTAAATTATTATAGTCCTACGCTCCTACGGCTGGGAAAGTGTTTGTGTTTGTGTCAATAAGCAACACGACACACACACATATATATATATATATATATTGATCTTTCTATTACGCCAAACGAGTTTATCATCTCTGTTTTGGAGATCTATGATTATTTTGGGACATTTCTGTGCTAATCTTATGGAATTTAAAGGGTGCGGTGTTGGATTTTTGGTTTCGTCGGAGTTGACTAAGCTTATGGAATCTTTTTCGGTATGAAGGCTCACCGCAAATGGTAAACCCAGAAGAACGGCCACAAAAACCCAAAAGTCTATGTCGCCGCCGCGGTAACAACAAAGCAAGATCTCCGTCGTTTGCTTCTTGCAAAAAGTTAAAGCACATATTGCTGCAAATTAAGGTAAAATTATCAATTAATGTTATCCACCGAACACTGTCCACATGATTAGAACACAAAGAGACACCACATCTTACTTATATTAGAACACTGTCCACAATTAAGGTAACATTGAAAAATATTGTCCACAATACTGTCACCAAACACCAGATCTTACTTAGATTAAAACATTGTCCACAACATTGTCACCAGAGACCAGATCTTACTTAGATTAGAACACTGTCCACAACACTGTCACCAGACACCACAACACTATCACCAGACACCACAATACTATCCATTAATGTTATCCACCGAACGCATTAGGTATCCACCAAACACTGTCCACAATTCATAGTCATATTCAACCGCCTAGGGGAGGCTTCAGATTAATAGGGTTCCGGCAGAGGAGTAAAGGAGATGACTCTTCACTACCAATCCGGAGGAGGGAGGGTGAACGGGGGATATAGAGTTCCGGTGGGTAAGGGAGACGACTCTTCACTACCAATCTAGAGGATAGAGGGATATTGCTGGGTAATTAAACTTAGTGGCGGCGGAAAGACAGAAGGTTAGAAGGGGGGAAGTGTTGATGGTGGTGAAGTTAACACCGAAGTTGCGGCGGTGGTTCGATGAACGCAACGGCAAAGTCGAACCAAAAACTATGAAACTAGAGTTAGGGTTTGGATGAAAAAGAATGGGAAGCTTCTCTTCTAAATTAAATTTTTTACTAAAATAAAAAAAAAAAAGTAAAATTGAGACAGTAACGAGAGATGGTGTGGAAGTTAGATGGTCTTAAGGATTGATTTTTAACCACAATAAAAACAAAAAAGGTAAATTAAGAGAGAAAGTGAAGAAGTTAGACAGCAAAGAGAGGAGTTAAATTGTTTTGAGGATATGATAGTCTTTTTATGAAGGAAAAGTATAGGTATAGTTGAAAATGGGTGTAATGGTGAATAGTTTAGTTTGAAGTAGGTGTAAATGCTAATAACCCTAAAAAATAAGTTGTATAAGAAGAGTTCAAGTACTTCCTATTTCTCTATTTAAAAGGATCGACCTCTCTCTTCTACTCTCTAATTTATTGATTACTCATAATATCTCATGTATTCTTTAATTTATTATTTTACACATAATGTTACATTTAAATGAAAAAAATGCATAATGTTACACATAATGTTACATTTTTAGTGCCTGCATGCATCTTATTACACTTAGGACAAATTAATTACTACTACTCGATTTGTGACTCATAATTGATCGTTTAATAAAATTTCAAAAACCTATATTGTGGAGAACAACTGTTTGTATGTATCCTTACAAATCCGTTTTTGACAAAGACATTTTATTTGTTTTTTTCAAATAATAAACTTGGCTCTAGGAAGTTATCATAAGTGGGAAATTAATTGAAAGAGTTAAAACTTTAAGATAAGTTGGTGAGCATTGACGAACGAAAGTAACAAATTTGGAAATGAAATACAATGAATTAAGTTTTTTTTTTTCTTTCATATCTCATCATACAATAATATATTCATAATGTACAGGTAAAAATATTAAAAAGAAAGGATATATTTATTATACATGAACTACTACAAGTATTTCACATTTCTCTATTTATAAGGATCGACCTCTTTCTTCTATGCTCTAAACTCTAAAGTCATCACAAAAGAGAGAGAAAACTAGCCTCTTAGCCATGGCTATTCTTCTTAACTCCAAGCTCTTCATTTGCATTGTTGTTCTAATGTCTTTTGTTTCTCATCCATTTGCTTCTGATCTAATTAAGATGGTGGTTCCCTCAGCTGTTTGTGATCTTGATGATTCCAAGGTAATGTAAAAGTACTTCTTTTGTATACCAAAATTTATCAACATCCCTTTAGATATGCTTTTCTATTTACTAATCCCACTTTTTAAAATGTAAACTTCTTTCTTTCATGGCAAAAAGATGATATCAAGTCCCTATGATCTCAAGGAGAAGGTGATTCCTTCAGCTTCTTCCTTTGATGTCATTGAAATGGTGGTTCCTTCAACCTCCTATGATCTTGACTCCAAGGTAATGTAAAACAACACTTCTTTATTGATCTATAAGTAAAATGTAGACATGTATCCTTTAGTATATACAAAACTTTATTGACGTCCTTTCAAATATGTTTTTCTATTTGCTAATCCCACTATTAAAATGTATATATTTTTGTATGGCAAAAAGATGATATCAACCAAGATACTTTTTTCTTTTATTTATAAAAACTGATATTCTAAAAACTGGTATTTTTTCAAGTAAACAACTATTTTCCGGTTGTTCTTAATTTTTGTTAGTGATAGAGTTTTTACATTACTACATTTAAAAAAAAGCTTAAAGTAGCAATATTCAAAATATTATTATTACACAAGAAAGAACTGATCATGAACCAACATGAACCAAAATATCCGAGTATGTAACCAAAGTACACACATTGGTTTGGTTTCAGTTTTAGTTTTTGTCTTTCTTGGGTTTTAGAAAACTATTTTGATAAATGTTGTAACTAAATTTGTGTAGTACTACAGATTGTAGCCTATCATGTTTAACAAAAGGCAACGATAGATTTAAATTTTTATTTTAAAATATAACTTTAATTTGTACAATATGTTTACTCGGATTAGAGGAGAGATGTTGTGGATCAATTTAATTTATTCCTTAGGCTTAATCTCCTTGTCTTTATTTACGAGTGTTGTGTTCTGTTTTTGACTTCATGTTCTGTTTTTTTTTACGTTTCCGAACAATTTCAGTTTTTCAATTCGCATTGATTTTTACAAAACATATAAACTTTACAATCATACATAGTTGGAAAAAGGCCGATATTTTACAATTGTCGCCCAACGTAGATAATTGTTGACACTTTTAATATATGTTTTCCAATTGCTAAGGTTATTAATATTCCCTAATTTTCTTTATATGGTGCAGTCACTCAAGAGGAATCCCGACCTTGTTGTTTCAAAAGACGGTACCGGTGACTTCAAGACCATAAACGAAGCAGTTGCGGCAGCACCAAACTTAAGCAAAACACGTTTTATCATATTCGTGAAAAAGGGAATATACGACGAAATCGTTAAGATTGGCACGGAGAAAACAAACCTAAGCCTTGTTGGAGAGGGAAGAGATTCAACAATCATTACTGGAAGTTTAAACGTGAAAGACGGTACTAAAACATATGATTCGGCAACACTAGGTAAAATATCTCTTTTATCTTTTAAAAATATTATTGATCAACCAATCTTAATTTGAAGAATAAGAGAAAATCATGGATGATAATAGTAACATATACATTTTAAACTAAGGTGAAATTGATGATTTTTAATATTTGAATTTAGCTAAGTTAAAATGTATTATATGTTAGATTAAAGTAAACTATGCACCTTTAGAAAGCAGAATTATTCTTTGTTTGTTTATTTTAACTTACCTAAATCTGTTGATTTTCAAACAAAAAATTCTGTTTTTAACGCATTCAAAATAATACTATTTTGGTAGAAAGGAAAAAATTAGTTAAATGGATTTGAATCAAATTACATAGTTTTTAGTTTGTTGGGCCTTAGTCTTTTGTTTAATATCCCAACTTTATGCAAGTCTTAGATTTAGATTATTTAGGCGAGTAAACTGTCGTGTGATACAGTTTTTTGATTACCAAGTTTAGTAGGTTTTGGCAAGTAAAAAGTATATTCGGTAGAGATTGGTTTGAGAATATATGATAGTTAGCATATGATCTAAATTCGTAAGTATCCTTAATGAATTGAGTGTCATTGATGTTTGGTGTTTGAGTTTTTTTGGTCAAACGTGTCTACAATTTTTTTTAATAATCAAAATGTTAAAATAGATATTTACCATTTGACTATACTTTATCTAGTTTAGAATATTTTTTTTGTTAACGCATATATATACGATGGGTAAGGTTTTATTGAATTCGTTTGTTTCTCTAAATAGAAAAATAGGATTGGAGGTTTGGCATTGGTAAACATAATGAAATATTAAACCAAATAGATTTTGTGAAAGTTTCTCTAACGTCATTCTTTGTTTCTCTAAAAGAGAATATTAAACTAGTTTTATTAAAGTGTAATAGATTAGTGAATTAGAAAGAAACCGAAGTAAACCAAATGAATTTAAGGACTTAATCATGAAGCGGTTTATCAATCAGAACGCATTAAACATATTTGTCCCGAGCTGTATATGGTTGTAATTTTTTCAAACTCTAATGTGATCTATTTGCAGCCATCGATGGTAGTGGGTTCATAGGCCAAGATCTTTGTATCCGGAACACGGCTGGTCCGGAGAAGGATGCGGCTGTCGCCCTTCGAGTGAGCGGTGATCAAGTTGTCTTCTACCGTTGTGACATTGTAGGGTACCAGGATACGCTATACGCCCATTCAAAAAGACAGTTCTATCGAGATTGCTACATCACGGGCACAGTGGACTTCATTTGCGGTCAAGCATCGGCCGTGTTCCAATATTGCCGTATCGAGGTCCGAAAACCAATTGCAAAACAAAGCAACGTGATAACTGCTCAAAAGCGTGACCTCAAGAGCTTAGAGTCGTGTTTTACAATTCAGAAGTGTAACATCACGGCTAGTAAAGATCTTGTTCCAGTTAAAGGAACGGTGAAGTCGTATCTTGGAAGACCATGGGGTGTGTTGTCAAGAGTAGTCTTCATGGAGTCGTTTATCGACGATCTTATCGATCCTGCGGGTTGGATCCCATGGGACAGCGACATTACCCGCCTATCCACTCTCTATTACGGGGAATATGAGAATACCGGACCTGGAGCGGATACAACAAAGCGAGTTCAGTGGAAGGGTTTTAGAAAGATTACTGATCCAAAGGAAGCAGCAAACTTCACGGTAGGAGAGCTCCTTGAGGGACATTTGTGGTTGAACTCAACCGGTGTTCCTTATGACATAGGTCTTTAGTTACATCGTCTTTATGATGTTGTCGACGTTGTTTTAACGTGTAAACCTACTACTCTATATAATGAGTGCTATCTACTAGGAACAAAAGATATGTGGTACCCATATTATCATATAATTACTCTGATTTATAGTAATATGGTATGATCTTGTCAACTTTTCATCCACTCTTTCTGGTAAATTGCTATTTGCCTTATTTAATGTTAGGAAATATAACTTATTACCTTAAGTGGGAGTTTTTGTGGAATCGTTTCTTTCGAGTGACCTGATTTTATTTTTGCACTAACTTAAAGCGCCATAGTGCCACACAATCGTTCTTTGTAGATAACTTGGTTAACCATTGAATACTTTGACCATTTGAAATCTGATATATTGCTCTTTTAAGATTCAAATCATTTTTTTATGGTACATAATATGTTAGCATTTACAGCAAAAATTGAGCAAAATCCGTTATCATTTAAATTTGAAGATATGCTTCCACCCTATAAATAATTTCAAAATTTTCCCCAAAAGAAAAAAATCAATCTCACAAAAGTACGTTGTCTAGGGTTTGGAAAAAAAATTAAAAAAAAATGGTTGCATACATCAAAAACCACTTTTTGTTGATTCTTATAGTTGTTTTACTTCTTTTTGTGGGATCATCGTATGGAAGATTTACTACAAAAGTTACAAAGAGCGAAATCAGCGACATCTGCACACAAAAAGATAGTGACTTCAACGAATCAGTTTGCTTTAAAGTCCTCGAATCAATCCCTAATATTGCATTATTGGATTATTTTAACCTCACCAAATTTTTGGTTAATTATGATTCTCGAAAGTTCTTAGATATGCAGAAGCAATTCCAGTCACTCACAAACAGCACAACCGATCGAAGTTCTAAAGGTTCCTATAATGTATGCTCTGAAACTTTTGCCCTTGCTATCAGTTCTTTTGATACCGCTCTCACATGTTTGGCGAACAAAGACTATTTTACTTTCAAAGTTAACATCGGTAGTACGGTGGACATGGTCGTTACATGTAGAGACGAGCTGTCAACAGTCGTCACGGCTAATCCACAACTTTTTAAAGGTATTTCATTTGTCCAAGACATATCTATGATTATTCTGCTGATTCTAAAACGTTTTCTATGTAAAGGATTAACAATATGTTAGTTTTCATTATTGGGATCTATGTAAAAATAATAATAATAATAATAATCTATAAATTAAATTTGAGAGTTATTAAAGAGTTTTTTCTCTCTCTCTATGTCCACATCATCAAAAGAACATTAAATTTAAAGATATTAACAATTGTGCTAATAATAATAATAATAATAATAATTGGTGTGTTGTTGTTTTTTTTTTTTTGGGGTAACATAATTGGTGTGTTGTTATTCCCTCTTTTTAGTGTATCAATTCATGAAGACATACAAAATATTGACGTATCAATTTTGTGAAAGTCTCTCTACAATGATGAACTAAAAATAGTTAATTTTGACTTCCACCAAATTTTTTAAAATTTTTTTGACGTACAAATAATATCGTTAATGATGATCAACCAAATACCACATCGTTTAAGAAGAAAATAAAGTTGTAAATTTTGAACCAAAATTTACAGTAACGATGATATCTGCTAATTTTAGAAGTTATCTAAATTACCATAAAAGAAGAATATTGAATGCTTTGACCATATGAAATTTAATATATTGCTCTTTTGAATTCAAATCATTTTTTATGGTACATAATATGTTAGCATTTACAGCAAAAATTGAACAAAATCCGTTAGCATTTAAATTTGAAGATACACCTTACACACTAAAAATAAATTCAAAATTTGTCCCAAAGGAAAAAGCAATCTCACAAAAGTTGTCTAGGCTTCTATATATATATAAAGTTAGCTTTTGCTCTCTTCTCATGATGCTACCTAAGCATTCACCTAAGCCACATTTTTGTTTAAACATTAAAATAAATTTAAAATATTCATTTAGTGCATATTTATGTTACTTATTTAATTAATAGAAAGTTTATATAAATAAAAATAAATTATGTAAAAAAATGAGATGTTAAAATAAGAAAAACAATACTTTAATTTTTTTATTAGTGATAATAATATAATTCAACTTTCATTTTAAATTGATCATAATTTAATATTTTAAATATGTTACTGAGTTTTAGAATGGAAGTAAAATTTAAATTTATGGTAGACTAAAACAACATTTATGTAACTGTATATATAAAATTATAAAGAGGAAAAAAAAGTAAAATATTAGTTTATAACATGATAAAAAGAAAAAAATGATATTTCATAAATTGAATCAAATGCTTTTAATCCAAATTTGAGTATTGAAAGATAATAATTAAAGAGAAATAATTATAATATTTTTTGAAAATCAATTAAAAATAATAAAATATCACAATATGAATAAAAAATCAACGAAACAAAATTATAAACCTCCCGCGCGGAGCGCGGGTCAACTGTTAGTTGGAAAATAAAAAATGGTTGCATACACCAAAAACCTCTTTTTGTTGATTTCTATCGTTGTTCTACTCCTCTTTGTGGGCTCATCATATGGAAGATTTACTAAGAAAGTTACAAAGAGTGAAATCAACGATATATGCACACAAAAAGATAGAGTTTTCGATGAATCAGTTTGCTTTAAAGTCATGGAATCAATCCCTAATCCTGCATTATTGGATTATTCTAACCTCGCCAAATGTTTGGTTAATTATGATTCTCGAAAATTCTTAGATATGCTGAAACAGTTTCAGGCACTCACAAACAGCACAACCGATCACAGTTCCAAAGGTTCCTATAAGGTATGTTCAGAAACTTTTGACGTAGCTATTAGTAATTTTGATAACGCTCTTGAATCTTTGGCAAACAAAGACTATGTTACTTTCGCCGACCACGTTTCTAGTACGGTGGACATGGCGGGTACATGTAGAGACGAGCTGTCAACTGTTGTCACGGCTAGTCCACAACTCTTTAAAGGGATTTCATTTGTCCAAGACACATCTGCCATTGTTCTGCTGATCCAAAAACGTTTTCTATGTAAAGAATTACCAATATGTTAATTATCATTATTAAGATCCCGTAATAATAATAATATTTTTTAGATACAGTATGTGGTTTCATGATGAACCCAAACCCAAAGTCCCAAACCGAAGATAATGATTGATTTTTGTAAGACTAAATTAAATTTTATTTATTTTTGGTTTGCATAAAACATCTCCATATGCATGTACGTCGAGCGAATTGTCACAATTAAATTATAATTGCGGTTTACGTATGTATGTGTTTTGCATTTTACACTTTTGAAGACAAATTAATTACTGCTTTGAACGTTAAAACTATTCTACTTTGTCTATATCTAATGTTTATATATAAATATATATTATGTACCTTTGAACATTTTCTTTAGTTTTAAAAACAGCTATATTCACGATACTTCACAAAACAGTGGCGGAGGCAGAAAAATGACTCAAGGGGGTCACAATTTTTTTATTATATAACATATATTTTTTTTTATTTTAATTTTAATTTCAGCGGATCAAAAATATAAAATTTTCAATCAACTTAATTAAGTTTAGCAACAAAAAATTTTTTAACTACGTTAAAAGGCTATTTAGTTTGTCAAAAAGACACAACAATATTTTAGTATCTTAAACCATAGAGAAAATTAATTACATATTTCTCTTTTTAACTAATTTGTGACACAAAACCATTAATTAAAGCAATAATTAATGCTCAAATTTTTTTTTTAAAACAGTATATTTTAATGCATGCACATCATTATAATTATGTTATGTATATTGGTAAGATAGTACTTATTCCCTATGTAACACATAAGAGCATTTCATCTGTGTAAGGATCGTACTATCTATAACATGTGTATAAAAATATTTGTATCAATCACCATACCAAAGCATAAATATTTGTATCAATCACCCCAAAAATATAAAATTTCAAGAGCATAAATATTATTTTTATGCATGCATGCATCTTATTACACTTAGGACAAATTAATTACTACTCGACTGTGACTCATAATAATTGATCGTTGTAAAAAAAAAATGATCGTTTAAGAAAATTTCAAAATCCTATATTGTGGAGAACAACTGTTTGTATGTACCCTTACAAATCCGTTTTTGACAATGACATTTTATTTGTTTCTTTCAAACAATAAACTTGGCTAGGAAGTTATCATCCTCTAATGTCATCGAAATGGTGGTTCCTTCAGCCTCCTATGATCTTGACTCCAAGGTAATGTAAAACCACTTCTTTATTGATCTATAAGTAAAATGTTAGACATGTACTATCTATGGCGCTTAAGAGAGATGGTACTATTTGCAGCCATCGATGGAGATGGATTTATGGCACAAGATCTTTGTATACGGAATATGGCTGGACCGGAGAAGGGTGTGGCTGTCGCCCTTCAAGTGAGCGGTGATCAAGTAGTCTTCTACCGTTGTGAAAACTATGGGTACCAGGATACGCTATACGCCCACTCAAACAAACAATCCTATCAAGACTGCTACATCACAAGCATAGTGGATTTCATTTGCGGCAAAGCTTCAGCCGTGTTCCAGTATTGTCATATCGAGGCTCGAAAACCAATTGGAGCACAAAGCAAGGTCATTACTGCTTAGTCTCGTGTTGGTAAGAGCTTAGAGTTGTCGTATTTTACAATACAAATGTATAACATCAAGGTTAGTAAATATCTTGTTCCAGTTAAAGAAACGGTGGCACTAAAACATTTGATTCCGCAACACTCGATAATATCTTGTTATCTCCTAAAAATATTTTCACCAAAACTAAGAACTAGATTAACTCAAATTAAGAGATAAATTACTAAACTAACTCATAAAATATAAGGATTACTTGAGTAGTTTTCGTGCATAAATATATTTTTTCCTTTGAGTAATGTAAAAGCACTTGTTTATTGGTCTCCCAGGTTCTTACATTGAGTTATTAGCTATTTTAATGTTTTCTTAGAATTTTCAAGTTTTTTTAGCACTTATTCTTAAGAATCTACTATCAACAATTTCCTAATTATTTTATTAACATATTTATAAAATTAAAACCTAAAGTTTTTTACACTAGTTATATATCTATCGAGAAAATGATAAAATTTTGAAAGAACAATGTCAGAAAAAATGAGAAACAAAAGCAAAACATAAGCAAAACCATAGCAAAATGAAGTAATAATTTTTTCAAAATTTAATATAATTAGTTTAAAAACATATATTATTAAATAAACATATAATGACTATGCTCAAAAACTATTTGAGATCCACCACTATACTAGTCAAACTCAAAATTCCACCATTCTTTTTTTCTTTTAAAATATTACTGCTTTTTATATATTTATTAGGGTTATATAAATGTATATAAATCCATAACTGAAAAACAAAGAAAACAACCTTCCTAATTTTTCAATTAGTTCTCTTTCTTTTGACTCAGTTAATGTTACAATTACCCTTTGCTACATATACATATGATAATAAACAACTAACATATAAAAAGTTAAAATTTAACATCAAAAAGTTGACCAAAAAAATTATCTAACATCAAAAATAAACACTGTTCATTACACTATTCCTCACCAAATACTACTAAGATTTTTGTGGTTATTTTGATTAACAATGTAAATCAAATTATATCGCGAAATATTTTGTTATATGCAAATTTACCATGTTAATTTTTTTATTATACAATTGATATCATCAAACTTATATAATAACATCTTAGTTACTTTGATAATTTATGTCTTACCGTTAACATATACCTTATCTCATTTATCAAATCAAAATAATTTAATTGATTTATCGCCGAAGGTAATAGAGAAACACTTATTTTTGCAATTATTTTTTTGATTATCATTGTAAATCATATTATATCACATTAAGTTTTAATAAATTCACTGATCAACAAGCATCAAAAATAATATTTATCACTAGTGACGGTAAAAAGATAATAATATTTCTTATTCTCTTTAGATTCGATATAGGTTATATATCTCTTTGTAAATCTCATTTGAAAAAATAAGGATATAAATATGATAATATATAAGTTAACAAAGATAAGGGTATAAATATGATAATGTATAAGTTAACGGTAATAAATAAATCATCGAAGTAACTAAGATGTTATCGTTTAAGTTAGATGATATCAATCGTATAATAAAATTTTTAACATGGTAAATATGAGTTTGCCATGTAACAAAATACTTATCCTGATATAACCATAAAATTCTCTGTTATATTTGGTGATGAATAGTGCAATCGACGACGGATGAACAATATTTACTTATACCATTAGATTATAATTTGTTATCTCATTAAATTTTTGTTAGTGCATATATATAATAAAGGGTAGTTGTGGCATTAAGTAAGTCGAAAGAGAGAGATGTAATTAGAAAAAAAAAATTAGCAATGTTGTTTTCATTTTTTCAATAGAGAGTACTGTATATGCATTAGTATTACCCTATTTATTATTGTACTAATTAATCAATTCTAACTTGAATTGCTAACGACGTCGTTTCTTCTAATATTAAACGAAAAATACCAAAATTGTCCTTTGCTCCAATTCTTGTACCCTACAGAGCCTCTCGTTGTCACCGGAAACACCCCACTCAAGCAACTCCAATCACTACGCCGACTAGAAACAGGCCTCCTCCGGCGAGCTTTTCCCTCCTCAAAAAGCTTCTTTGGTATGTTGTCTCTTCTTCTCTTTCGATTTTCCCACTTTTATCTTATTAGTGGTCTTTGTTCCAAAAGTGTGATTTTTATAAATAGGCTATTAGCTTTAGTGTTTCTTCGATGACAATATATAATCCTAGACTATAGTTCGTTCTTGTCTCCTCTGTAGTTAACTAAAGTTGTTTGCTTTTTTGTTTCTTCCATAAATTCCAGTACTGTAACTACATTGTAATGAAGTACCTGTCTCGTGCTCGTTCATACATTTCCTTGGGGCTGTTTAAGAAGTCCAGCTATGTCAGTTCTCACATTCCTTGGAATCAGTGCTTCTCCTATATGCCTACAGAAGCCAGTTTAAAGCCTTCATGTGTGAGTGTGCTTGGACTGTCTAGTATTCATTGCTATTCCTCAAGATCAAAGACTGCCAAATCAAAGTTGTCAAGCGCTGTTTCTGCTCCAGATAAAGATAAAGACGCCTTTTTTGTTGTTCGGAAGGGTGACATTGTTGGAATTTTTAAGGATTTAAGTGATTGCCACCCTCAAGTTGGATCTTCGGTGAGTTCATCTTACCTTACAATCTGTTTGTGTATATATACTTTCTTTAGGTGGTGGTTATAACAGAAGCTGCTGCTTTGTTTTCTTTTCCAATGGCAGGTATATGATCTTCCGGTTAACGTTTATAAGGGATACTTGTTGCCCAAAGACACAGAGGAGTATCTTAATATTGTTGGGATGAAGAAACCACTCTATAGTTTTAGGGCTTCAGACTTGAAAGAAGATATGTTTGGAGCTCTCACCCCTTGTCTTTTCCATGTGAGATTACATTGTAATATGCAATTGCCTTGATTTGTGATGTTGGATCGTGAGTGGTTATTAACTGTCTCTCTTTGAATATCTTCTCTAGGAACCAACTTCATGTAAAGTCAAAGTATCTAAAGAGGAGGACACCCCAGTGATGAAGTCTTTAGATAAAACCAAGACTAAAGATAAGAAAACAGTAAGCTAAAAGAACAAGGATTTTTGGACTATTAGATTGTAGTTTGAAGAACTAGCTGCAGTTTTATGATTATGTGGATTCAGCTCAATGCATGTCTATTCATTTTTTTCCAGGATCAACTTCTTTCAGCTTCCATGTCAGTTGATCCCTTGGAAAAGCTTGCTAAGCTGAAGCCATCTGCTGATACCTCAGATGTGAGTGTTGTGTATATTTTTGTATATACTCATACTTCATAATTTCAATGGACTGGATGCATAATCTTTTTCTCATGTTGATCTGTTTCTGTTTCTCCTCATATGGTAGGAAACTTGCATTGTTGAGTTTGATGGTGCATCAAAAGGAAATCCGGGTCTCTCTGGCGCTGCAGCTGTACTGAAAACTGAGGACGGAAGCTTCGTATGAATCCTTTTGAACCACGGTTGTTAATTATAGAATGCAGTTCTGTATCTTACTATCCATTTTCTGAAAACAGATTTGCAAAATGCGTCAAGGTTTAGGAATTGCCACAAACAATGCAGCCGAATATCATGGATTAATCCTAGGATTGAAGCATGCTATTGAAAGAGGTTACAGGAAAATTAAAGTGAAAGGTGACTCCAAGCTAGTCTCTATGCAGGTTTGTCAGTGAAATTTATATATCTTTGTGCAATTAGGTGATTTAATGAATCATGGATGCTTCTTTGTATCACCTTCTTAACGGTTTCTGAATACAACAGATGAAAGGTCAATGGAAGGTAAACCATGAGGTATTGTCGAAGCTCTACAAGGAAGCAAAACAACTTAGTGACCAGTGTGTCTCATTTGAGATCAGTCAAGTACAAAGGGTATGTTTCCATGCACTTCCCTCTCTCCCTTTGTAACTGAATGATATTGTATAGTTCCCGTCGCTTGCTTGAGAACAATAATTCCTACATGGCCTTTTTCTAATACGAGATTTTCCATTGTGTTTCTTTATAGAATTTAAACTCTGATGCGGATGAACTGGCAAATATGGCTGCTCGTCTTTCTGGTTAGATAGCCTAGTCTCCCTTTACTCTGCATATGACATTGTGGGATCAAATATTGCAGAAAGCTAACCAAGTCTATGATGGCATTATTTACAGAAGGAGAAGTTGAAGTGGCTTAAAGGATTATCGATGAACCAGTATAGAGAGATTTGTTTTACTTTCGGTCCACGATACATCCAAATCTGAACAGCCGTATCTAACTGTGAGTTGTGTCAGGGGTCAACCACTATGTAAATGATTTTCTTTTTCTTGAGCATAGGAACATGACCCTTAATGATTTTCTGCTTTAGTGCTTGCTTGCTTGCATGTCAATGTAGAAATCTAATGGTTCCAACTTTTTTCTTTATGAAAAGGATTGACGAGGGAATAAACAAAGACTATAGAGACACTGAACTTTTGTCTACTTGTTCTGATTTGGACCTCTACCAAATTCCCACTACATAAATTTGTTAGTATTATTTACAAAGTTGGGGAGAATACAATATGTCAATAGCATAAAGGTTATCAATTAATGTTACAGCCATTTCCAATTGAGTAAATCCTGATTCACATTATTCTCATCTTTTCTATCACTCATTCAAATGCATGACTTAATTCTAGAACACTAAAAGCATAAGATTACTTAGCTCAAGGAGTAACAGATGATAATAATTAAATAGTTGATACAATTACCTCAGGTACTACTAATCACTATGTATCTTTTATATATACAGGTTTGCAACAATCAATTGAAATTCGAGTATAAAAAGAGTGACTATAATCAAAGAATCTTTATATACAATCATCCAATGGTGAAAACTATGAGATTGATGTCTTGTCTGTAACTCGTACAATGGACGAATCTGGTTTTGTCCGAACCGATGGGTTTCCGGTATCATCAAGGACTACAAAAGCCGTGTCACCAGGCTTGAAGCTCCCAGCAAGAAAGGCTTCGCTGAGTGGATCTTCCACAATCTCTGTGACTGTTCTACGGAGTGGCCGTGCACCGTACGCCGGATCATAGCCCTGTTTACATATAAGTTCCTTGACAGCTTCAGACACCTCTAAACCGACTCCAAGTGCGACGAGCCTTGACTTCAAGTCTTGTAGCATCAGGTTCAAGATCTCCATCATCTGCAAAATCGGAGTTTCAGTTTTATATATTAACCACCCTTACTTCATAAAGTCTCTGTTTTCAGTTTTTATATACACCCCTCCCCTACCATATAAGGTTAGGTGGAGAAAATAACTAACCTGAGCCTTCTCAAGCTGTCTGAAGATGACGATTTCGTCTATCCGGTTCAACAACTCTGGACGGAAATAGTTCTTGAGTTCTTCGACTACCATAGCTTTCATTCCAGTATAAGATGCTGCCTCTTCATCATCTTCGAGAATAAAACCAATTGAACCGTGTCTTCCTTTTGCAATGGCTGTTGATCCGACATTAGAGGTCATTATGATCAGTGCGTTCTTAAAAGATACTCTCCTTCCCTGAAAACAAAGATTCCAGAAACAGAGACAATATGAATTTCAATATCGCAGAAGACTGAGCAAACTAAATCAAACATATGCACAAACGACTTTCAACCCTATACGTCTCTTGAAGTTAAAAGTGTAAACATGAGACAACAAACCTGTGAATCGGTTAGATGGCCATCTTCGAACAGCTGGAGAAGAATATTGAAGATATCTGGATGGGCTTTCTCTATCTCATCGAACAAAACCACTGTAAAAGGACGTCTCCTGATAGCTTCAGTGAGCATTCCACCTTCTTCAAAACCAACATATCCGGGAGGTGAACCTATCAACTTGCTCACAGTATGACGCTCCATGTATTCACTCATGTCCAATCTCAGCATGGATTCCTCCTGCAATAACCAATGAAAAAACCGGGGTTGAAGAATCGGTCCAATGACCACATCATGTGTCAGCATTACATTGTTAAGGAAGTTGTACCGATCCAAAATAATTTGCTGCGAGAGCTTTTGTAAGTTCTGTTTTTCCAACTCCAGTTGGTCCACAGAAAAGCATAGCGGCAATTGGACGGTCAGGATCTTTCAAGCCGACCCGGGACCTCTTAACAGCTCTAGATATGGCAGCTACAGCCTCATCTTGACCAACAACTCTGTTTCTAAGCTGCTCTTCTAAACTCATAAGAAGCATTCTTTCATCTGCAGTGATTTGCTGAACTGGAATTCCAGACCAAGCCGATGCAACGGCTGCAATATCATCAGGTCCCACAAGTATAGGCCTGAAAGCACGAGCAAACTAATGTTATGGAGGTTCCTTCATTTATATTCTTAAAATTATATTTTGAAGGTTTTCCCCTCAAGACCTAAATATGTAAAAGAGTGAAGTCGTACTCATCATCGCCTGCTACAGGCGGGAGCGAAGACTCCTCATCTAGTTCACCAGACTCATCTGCAATGGAATCACCACCATCCTGCTTTAGCCTGCTTGATAGAACCTATATACAGGAACAATTATCAACGCTGTTAATAGGTAATATGATCAACATCTAGGAGTACTGTAGGACAAATGTCTAGTTCTTTTACCACTTCGTGCATGGCCTGAACTGTTCTAATCTCTTGCCAGTAATCATCAGGTGGCTTTGAAAGGATACAGATTGCATCCTCCTTTTTCTTCCTAAAAGCTTCAATACGAGCTCTGCTTCCTGCCTCGTCAATGAGATCAATAGCTTTATCTGGAAGGAATCTATCAGCGATGTATCGTGATGAAAGGTACACAGCAGCATCTATGGCTTCCGCAGTATATTTGCAATTGTGATGAGCTTCATATTTTTCTTGAAGGCCCAACAAAATCTTCACTGCATCTTCCTAAAATTTTGTTAAGATGAATATACTAGATAAGAAAACAGGTGTTGGTTGGTTAATAGTAATACGATAGAAAAATCTGGCTTGGAAACATACCTCACTTGGCTCGTCAATCAACACTGGTTGGAATCTCCTCGCTAATGCTTTGTCCTTTTCAAACTGACTCCTAAATTCGTCAAGGGTTGTGGATGCAATGCACTGCAAATGGTTGATTGATGATAGGCTTAGCACCATATATATTATAGTGTCCCAAAATTTTGAATTCTTCTTCATAGTTGGCATATGCTTGAGTAGAAATTTTGCTTATGAGCAAAAGCCAAAGTGGTAAGATTCATTCAGAAATAAGAGCAGCAGATCATCGATTCATTCAACATGCGTACCTGTAGCTCACCCCTTCCAAGTGATGGTTTCAAGAGGTTAGCAATGTCAAGCCCAGACCCCTTGTTTCCTCTTCCGACTGTGCCAGACCCAATAAGTGTGTGCACTTCATCAATGAAGAGAATGACCTTACCTATGAGAAAACAAAAAGAAAACAAGTGTTAGGAACGTTCTAGGTTAACTTAACAGTCTTTGATGCATTTAGAGTTGAGATCAATAACCTGAGTTTTTAACCTCGCTTATCAAAGCAGTGACCCGAGCCTCCAGTTCTCCCCTTTCTTTTGCACCTGCCATTAACAGTCCTATATCCAGGGACATGATGCGTTTGGTCTACATATAGTAACAAATAAAACTGGTCATGTACATGGCTAACCAACTTTAGATTTAAAAAAAAATATATATTCCATCGGATTAGATGCAGGTGCGCACCAAAAGAAATCCAGGAGCATTTGCTTCTGCAATACTAATAGCTAATCCTTCAGCAATGGCGGTCTTCCCAACACCAGCTTCACCAAGAAGAATTGGGTTGTTTTTAGTTCTACGGCAAAGTATCTGGATAACTCTTTGAACTTCTTTTTCCCGGCCAATAACAGGATCAATAAGGCCCTCACTAGCACGAGCTGTAAGATCCACACAGAACTGTTCCAGTACATTTTTCGCTGATAAACACAAATTTGGATAAAGGTTTATCAGTATCCTTCTTTTCAAACCCATAAGAAACAAATAAAAAAGAATTTCATATTTTTACAAACCATTACCTTTAGTTTTTCCACCAGCTCCAGAACCAGCAATTCCACTATTAGAGGAAGCATCAAAACTCCCTTTAGATGAAGAAGATGGTTCTCTGCCATCTTTAGCCATCTCTGATTTAAGTCTCGTGAGTGCTGCTGCTGTGAGCAAATTCATATTTGCTCCCAATCTATAAATTATTATCACACAATTAATTTTTAAAAATCAAAACATTTGTTGATCGTTCATCTACACAATTTTAGCATGTTCATGGATTTACAAACATTATTTATGAAAATTGTAAATTTCTATAACAATTTAAGGTGAGATTTTACCTCTTGAGGACTCGACCGGCGCTACCGTCATCAACGGTGAAGAGTCCGATAGCGATATGTTCTGGAGCGATATATTGACAATCCATATTCCTAGAGTACTCAACGGCAGCTTCGAAGACTCGTTTGGTACTGATAGAGAAAGGCATGTCCGTGGATTTGGAGTAGGAAGTGGAGGAAACTTCCTCCTGTTTGGAATCGGGATTAGCTTCGTCCCAAATACTCCAAACAGCTTCACGAGCCTTGTCTATGGTGATTCCCGATCCAAGGAAGCCTTGAGGATCACGATCCTCAGCGATCAGACCTAAGAGAAGGTGCTGAGTGTAAACCATGTCTTTCCCCAAGGACTTAGCTTCCTTCTGAGAGAAGATTATAGCTCTGATCGCTCGTTCGGTGAACCGTTCGAAAACAGCCGAAATCGGGGTGAATTTCTTCCGTTTTCTACCGGGAAACCGTCGGAAGTTCGCCGGAGTGGTGGAGAAGCGGTGGATCGTGCGGTTAGAGAGGGAGATTCCGAGATAGGATGAAGCGAAAGAAGAAAGTGAAGAAGCTGCTATGGAGGCAACAGGAGAAGAAGAAGAGGAGGGGAGGAGACGTCGTGAGTGAAGAGTTAGAGGTGAGGAAGTAGTTAAAACCTCCATGATCGTCGTCGTCGTCGGTGAGAAATTTCTTTCTCCGGTGAGATTTTTTTTCCGATTGTGACAAAAAATGATTATTTAGGGAAAAAAAAGGGAAGTAAAGGGGAAGAAGCAAAAGGAAGAGATGGAGTAAGATGACACGTCAAGGCAACCTTTATTTTTTTTTATTTTTTTTTTGGTTATTCGGTTAGTACTTGGGTTCATATTTATATTAAGGGACTGTTTGGCTGGTTACACAGATTAGTCACGTTTGCGTTTTCTTTTTCAGTATTGTGTTTGTATGTATTATGATTACTTGCTAGATACGTATGTTTTTTAATTTTTTTTTTTTGGTTTTTTGACTGAAAATCTCAAAGTTCCATTGCAAATTTGCAATTTCATAGAAAAATTCAATAATATAGTAATTTTTTTTTGATAAATTGATGTTAAAAAGTTAGTTATAATTTTTTGCTATTATTATGATGTTTTTATTTTAAAACTCATATCTCTTGTTCCAAAAAAATTAGTCTTTTTCAGTAAATGTCAATGTCGTGAACTTTTTAACAAAATAAATACAGTATTGTAGTAGTATTTGAATTTTGTTGAAGCAAAGTGATGATACATAGTACCGCGTAGTCATTTATTAATTACTCATAAATACTTGATTTAAACTGAATATGGATAACATTTGTAGTAGGTTTAGAGGATTGCTATATATGGGAATGGGATTTTGAATTCTCTTAAAAAAAGGAAAATCAAAGCATAAAAATCAACAAAATGTTGAAAACGCAGAACGTGAGAAGAAAAATAAAAACAAGAGAGAGAGAGACCAAACACAACACAGCACCATCGGTGGTGAAAGAGAAGCTCAAGTTGCACACGGAAACAACGAAACAACGGTCCCAAAATATACAGAAAAATATAGGGAAAACGAATTTGGTTTAAGAAGAGAGAGAGAGAGAGAGAGCCTAACAGTGACAATTTAGTGTTCCTAATTGTCTCCTCTTTTTTACTTTTCGTTGAAAGTTTTCTAATTATTTCTTTCCCATGTAAATTAGACCATTCTCATTGGGGTATTTTATGAGGTTAAGATACCCCCACTTTTTCAAAAAAAATATGTTATATAAGGATTTTCTTTGGAAAAATGAGAGTATCTTAGCATTCTAAGATACCCCCAATGAGGATGCCCTTATACAATTAGAAAGAAAGAACATACCAAAAATATGTGAGTGTCAATTTATTGGTAACCCAAAATAGTCAACACCGCCATGCATGTGAATTCACTTGTAAAGGTACTACGATGCGATTGCGAGGAATACGTGTGTGTGTGTGTACCCTTCTATTATCTCGTCTTATTATTTGACTAGTTATTTTGGTTTATTAATTAGCCACGTCCTATATGAGTAAGTACTGATTCAATTGCGTAACAAAGGTATAAATTTATATTTTTTCAAACATTAAGAGAAACACCGTTACAAGGCCTCAGGCCCAAACAGCCATAATAACAAAACCAAGGAACACGACCGTATCTGAGAAAAAAACAAAAACTTAGAACCAGAGCAAATTAACTTTGAAAGAACTCAAACCAAGAGCTGAGATAACATGAATGTAAAATATCACTAAAACTGTAAAAAAAGTTAACGTTGTCATAGATGTATATAAAAAAAAAAAAACATTCATGCGATGTACGACATGTCTAAACCTATTTTAACACCAACGACTAGATTTGTACCTTTCAAATTACAGATTTTGCAGCAACAAATACAAATAAATTGTCTTATATATGTACTTTTAAATCTTCCAAAATTGATGAAACGTATATACAAATCATTTCAGCATAAAGTATAAATTCGATATTGTTATTTTAATCTGTTAAAAAATTATTGTTTTTATAATAGTTCTAAATTATTAATGGAGGTCAACATTATCACTAGTACACCCACAAATGACAAATTAATCTTCTTTCTACATCATTTCAAATTTAACATATTCTCTTTCGAAATACAACAACTAAAACACAAACTGTATAATGTATAATATGAAGAAGAACAAAAATATTACACAAAAATAAAAGCAATTTCGAACTTAAAACTTAATAACTATAACTATTAATTAAAACAAAAAAAAAATTAAAATTTGTTCAGCCGTTTCATATTTTGAGAAAAAAATATATACATATATATATATATATATGTATGTATATATTTTTATAATAAAAAAAAAAGTATTTTGTCGAGGGATTCAAACCTTACCAACCAAAACCGTTAATATGGGGGTGGATCATCCATGTTCTGTGGACAGTGTCTTTTAAAATGCAATTTGTACAATTGTTTTGATCAAATAATTACTTTAATATTTATCAAATCCTAAAAACCGAATATAATCTATAATTCTTGAACTTCCAAATATATTATTTTAGATTTCCCATCCAACATTCGCTATGGACTTGTTATAAAACCGTGGACTATTGTTTTAGAAGGAAAAATAAAACTCAACTCTGTTATATATTATTAATGTATAGCATTACAAATGCACGTTACAAACTCAATCAATCAGTTTCGGTTTTTAATTTGTTTAATTTTGGTTGATATTTTTTGCATCATAGATGACAAATTTGGTGGGACAAGCCCGACCACGTCTCTCTTCTTTTATTCAAATTTTTTTTATACTCATCTCCTCTCCTCTCTCAACACTATACTTATATATATAATTCCATCTCCTCCTCTCAAAACTACTCAAGAACATCAAATATTTTCCCGGAAAGTTTCTCTCTTTTTCTTTCTTCCCGAGAAAACCAACTAAGAAAAATGCAAAAGATGAGTTAATCATCGCTTCTCTTAGGCGACATTGAAACTAAAGATTCGTCATTATACTCAGTTTCTTGTTTTTTTCCGGTGAATAGAGAATTTTTCAGGTGACAGTGTTTCAAGAAATGCAAAGAGTGAGCTTTGAAGTATCAGGAGGAGGAGGAGGAGGCTACCACTCTGACGCGGATTCCGGTAACAGCGGTCCAATGAGCGGCGGTGGTCAATTACCACCGATCTATAAAAAACCAGCGAATGCTACTAACTCGAGATTCGCGGCTGAGAACAGTCAGAGAACGCGTACGGCTCCATACGTGGACCTCACGGTAGATGTACAAGACGACAGAGTCTCTGTACACAGTTTGAAAATGGAAGGTGGATCTAGCGTTGAAGAGAGTCCCGAGCTTACGTTGCTGAAACGGAACCGTCTCGATAAGAAAACTACGGTTGTGAAGAGGTTAGCCTCTGTTTCTCACGAGCTTAAGCGTTTGACCTCCGTCTCTGGTGGTGGTGGTGGTGGTGGTGGTAGAAAGCCACCTCGAGCGGCTAAGTTAGACCGGACTAAATCTGCCGCGGCTCAAGCGTTGAAGGGGCTTAAGTTTATTAGTAAGACCGATGGTGGCGCGGGTTGGTCTGCCGTGGAGAAGCGGTTTAATCAGATCACCGCGACTACCGGTGGACTACTTCTTCGTACAAAGTTCGGAGAATGCATAGGTAAAAGACTACAACTACATTGGTCCCTGAGGAGATCCAAGTATGTGAAATGTTATAGTTTTGAATGTTTGAATTGAAATTTCGATAATGCAGGGATGACTTCGAAGGATTTTGCTTTGGAGTTGTTCGATGCATTGGCTAGACGAAGGAATATAACAGGAGAAGTGATTGATGGTGATCAACTAAAGGAGTTTTGGGAACAAATCAACGATCAAAGCTTTGATTCTCGGCTTAAAACATTCTTTGACATGTATGGTCTTCGATTTTTGTTTGTTTTAGTTTCTCTTCTATGTATGTGAATCTGAAAGTGATGAAAATGCAGGGTGGATAAAGATGCTGATGGTAGACTTACAGAAGACGAAGTTAGAGAGGTGAGTAACAGAGTTACCTCTGCTCTGCTTTTACTGTTAACTCTGTTTCTTCTCTTGTTGCCTCTGTTTCACTCTTAACTCTGTTTCTGGTCTTGTTGGCTCTCTTTCACTATTCACTCTGTTTTGGTCTTGTTGTTGTGTTGTGTTTCACAGATTATCAGTCTTAGTGCTTCTGCGAATAATCTATCTACAATACAGAAGAGAGCAGATGAGTATGCAGCACTGATCATGGAAGAGCTTGATCCAGACAATATAGGATATATCATGGTAAGTGATTAGCTTGGAATCCAAGCCTTGGATTGACCATATAATGATTTATGGATAGAGTCTGAAATAGTTTCGGTGAAATCTTGAAACAGTTGGAGAGTCTTGAGACTCTGCTTTTGCAAGCGGCAACACAGTCTGTGATAACAAGTACTGGGGAGAGAAAGAATCTGAGTCATATGATGAGTCAGAGGCTTAAGCCAACGTTTAACCGCAACCCGTTTAAGCGATGGTACCGTGGTCTTAGATTCTTCGTGTTAGACAACTGGCAAAGATGTTGGGTCATAGCTCTATGGTTCACGGTTATGGCTATCCTCTTCATCTACAAATACATACAATACCAGCGTAGCCCTGTGTATCCAGTGATGGGAGTTTGTGTGTGTGTAGCTAAAGGTGCGGCAGAAACAGTTAAGCTGAACATGGCTTTGATTCTCTTACCTGTTTGCAGAAACACAATCACATGGCTTAGGAATAAGACCAGGTTGGGTGTTGTTGTCCCATTTGATGACAATCTCAACTTCCACAAGGTAATTAACAAACATATACTAAAAACCTTTTATGTTTGAACTTCTTATAATAATACACCAATGCTTGAATCTTTAAGGTTATAGCTGTGGGGATTATAGTTGGAGTAACATTACATGCCGGGGCACATTTGGGGTGTGATTTCCCGCGGCTACTAGAAGCAACTCCAGAGGCATATAGGCCTTTAAGACAGTTTTTTGGGGATGAGCAACCAAAGAGCTACTGGCATTTCGTAAACTCGATTGAAGGTATAACAGGACTAGTAATGGTTCTGTTAATGGCAATTGCATTCACACTAGCTACACCTTGGTTCAGAAGAGGGAAGCTAAATTATCTTCCAGGACCATTAAAGAAACTAGCTAGCTTCAATGCCTTCTGGTACACTCATCATCTGTTTGTCATAGTCTACATTCTTCTTGTTGCACATGGATACTACTTGTATCTCACCAAAGACTGGCACAACAAAACGACCTGGATGTATTTGGTGGCACCAGTGGTTCTATATGCGTGTGAAAGGTTGATAAGAGCATTCAGGTCGAGTATCAAGGCGGTCACTATTAGGAAAGTAGCGGTTTATCCAGGAAACGTGTTGGCAATGCACATATCAAGGCCACAAAACTTCAAATACAAGAGCGGTCAATACATGTTTGTTAACTGTGCTGCTGTGTCTCCATTTGAATGGTACGAAACAAACCAATAACTTCATGTTTCTTTACAATGCTTCTTTATATATGTGTCTTATAAGTGTTTGAATCCAATGCAGGCATCCATTTTCAATCACCTCTGCACCTCAAGATGACTACCTAAGTGTTCACATTAGAGTTCTTGGGGATTGGACAAGAGCTCTCAAAGGAGTCTTCTCTGAGGTTATTACAATAAAGTCTCTTATCAAATATCAACCAACCTTTTTTAAAGTTAAAGAGATTAATATGAGTGTTTTGTTCTGTGTGTTGTGCTCAGGTGTGTAAGCCACCTCCAGCAGGAGTGAGTGGTCTACTCAGAGCCGACATGATGCACGGTGCAAATAATCCCGAGTAAGTATATATAATCCCAACCACTATGTGATCCATGCGTCGTTATCATACTTCTACACGTAAATGACTAAATCATGCTAAAGAGAGGACATGTTCTAGAAGTTTTTTTTGAGAGGATGAATCATGAATCGTGAGAATCGTGATATCCACTAAATGAGTAACAAAATTCAAACAGTGTATACCTAATCCATTATAATAAGTGGTGGGAGACCACAACTTCTATAAAAAAAAAAACTATGTACCTAATTAACCAAGTATCACTATTTTATTATGCTAAGGTGGTGATTGAGACGCATTATTTGGTTTATATCATGCAAGCACGATGTGTTTTGCTTATCCATGTGTTCTTTTGTGACCGCGTAAAATTGTTTGGGGTTGCAATATAATCTTATATTTCTCAACCTTTTCGTTAAAACAATTAATGCTAAGGTCAACATTACTATGTACTATTGTACTTTATCAAGTTTTTTTTCTTTTAACAAGTAAGAAAGTTGAAAGATGATGCTGACCTTTTGAATGGTATTTCGTAGTTTCCTATCTAAGTTTTGGGGTCACATCACATGTAGATATGTACAGATCCAGGTGTATACGAATATACTCTTAGATAGTTTTGGTATCAAGTGTTCACATGCCGGATTAGAATGTATTAAGTTAGGAATATATATGGATTATTCTACTTATTCACATCTTCTACCTAGTTTTGGTTTTTAGTGTCACATGCCACAATAATTTGTTTGGATAGGCATGATTGTTCTATTCATTTAAGAATTCCAATTTGAAACTTCTTTGTTTTTAAGTGTTTTCTTTTGGTGCTACGAATGTTTAAAAAATATCTAGTAATTATATCTTCATATAGTAGAACAAAGAAAAGTCACAAGATCAAGAGGAAGTGAACATGACATGACATTAACTAAAAAGATGTAATATTGTGCCGCACGTAACTAAAAACAGTCAGTATATTATTTGATCTAACTAACGTCGAATGATATATTGGATTTCTATCTAGGATATGTGAAAGACAATTGTAAAATTCTAACCCCAAAAAATAACTTATATTTTGACCTTTGACATATTATTTGGCTAGGACCAAATTGTTGATATCTAAGTTGGTATCTTGTTGAGCAATATGTATAACAATATATCATAGAATAATGACCTTTGCTAATAGCAATGACTTGCATGCACAGCTTCCCAAAAGTCTTGATCGATGGTCCTTACGGTGCACCAGCACAAGACTACAAGAAGTACGAGGTGGTTCTACTGGTTGGTCTAGGGATTGGAGCCACACCAATGATCAGTATCGTCAAAGACATTGTCAACAACATCAAAGCCAAAGAACAAGCCCAACTCAACCGAATGGAGAACGGAACAAGCGAACCACAACGAAACAAGAAAGAGAGTTTCAGGACACGTAGAGCTTACTTCTATTGGGTTACACGTGAGCAAGGCTCTTTCGATTGGTTCAAGAACATAATGAACGAAGTCGCGGAACGAGATACCAACCGTGTCATTGAAATGCATAACTATTGTACAAGCGTCTATGAAGAAGGTGACGCTCGTTCCGCACTTATACATATGCTTCAGTCACTAAACCATGCAAAGAACGGTGTAGACATTGTCTCTGGAACAAGGGTTATGTCCCATTTTGCTAAACCTAATTGGAGAAATGTTTACAAACGCATTGCCATGGATCATCCAAACACTAAAGTTGGTAAGTTCACATTCTTCATAGAATCTTGATTTGGTATACGTAGGAGTATTAAGTAGAGAGATGATATATCATTTGTAATGTATATATAGGAGTGTTCTACTGTGGAGCACCAGCGTTGACAAAGGAGCTAAGGCATTTAGCTTTAGATTTCACTCACAAGACAAGCACCAGATTCTCCTTCCACAAAGAGAATTTCTAAAAGAGGAGACGACACAGAGTCCGTAAAAGGCATATTATAAACAAGAAAAGGAAAAAGAAAGAAGCATGAGTTATATGTTTCTCGTAATTTTCACTTCTTCCCTTACTATTTTTTAAAGAAATTAATATTTGTATACATATATACTCTCTTGACTGTAGATTTCTATTTATGCTTTTTTGATCGTATGTTTAAATTGTTTTTTTTTTAATCTTTGGAAAGTGTAACCAACGTTAATTATATTGAAACAGTACTGCAAAAAGAAGCAAATGTTTTTTTTTTTTTTTTGTAAGAGAAGATATACGTTTTAGGAGTGTTGAGACTTAGCTCAAAAACTCAAAAAATTTGTTTTTTATTTGTCATCCGATCCCTCAAACTCTTGTAACTCTTATTCACGTTTTGGTAAAATTTAGAGTAATTTGAGAATTGAAAGATATAAAAACTTACAAATGAAATAAATAGAAGTACAAAAGAAATAAATTATATTTTGTAGCCTTAAACAGTTAAACTCTTTGAAGTTTATCAGTTATATAGGTTTCTCCGGTCCATGAATTAATGAAGCATTCATTTACAAAGCCGTTTGATTTTTTGAATATGTACAAGAAAACCATAATGGTGCGTTAGTTAATGTTGTTATGACTTATGACATACAAAAACAAAAGCAGTGAAGCGTGTAAATAAAAAAAAAGCCCACATGATTTCTAGTCATGCCCGATAACCACTCCGGCACGTCCACTTTGATGTCAATGGAAGCATACTTAATTTATTTATTATAAGTTCTATTTTACTAAACTATGACGTAGTGCTATATTTCTATTGCACGTTTTACTAGCTTTCCTCATTCTGTGTGTGTGTTCCCATTACTTTTCCTAGTTTTATTGGTGATCTTTATAAAGAGTCGAAACCGAACAAGAACGAGAAGATGTTCTATTTCAGTAAACACCAAAATGACAAGACGTTACCTAACTTGCTTTCATCCTCCACTACACCCAAATCTATCCCAAGACAAGAACCTCTATTATTAGTTTCCCTTGTAGATCACAACTGGAATCATCAAAGCAAAAGTCAAGAAGCATCACTACAATTTCCTCAGCTCAAAAGTAAAGATTAAAGTGAGCTTTCTACACTTACAAAAAATTCTGAAAGTTTGGGGAAACAAGAATATTATAGTATTTATATCTCGTACAAATGATGTTTACAAGAATTATGTAATGTTAAAGATAACTAGTTTTTTTATAGGTTCTCCTTTTATTATTCCCACTCTTTCGTCAATATCAAAATCAAGTGATGAAGCCACTAATCAATCAAGTTCTAGACTCTTTTTCATAGCTTCGTAAACCATATATGTAATGCTTGCAGCAGGAACAACCTTTAGAAGGTTCGGTAGAAGCCCTTTGTAGAGTGCTTTGTAACCTTCTTCACTTATTGTCCTCCTGAATACTCCCGACATCGAGGTCCTTTCCCGTTCCGCTTGCATTCTGTGTGACAGCAACATATTTTTTTTCATATACCCACGAGAACAGATATAAGTTTGTGTATGGAGTTTGTGAGGGAACAGGAGAAGTATATAGGCCGTGGAATTACCTTGTTCTCACAACCTGCAAAGGATAAACACAGGTTGCTCCAAGAGCTCCTGAGATTGTTCCACAACCTAGTTGCACAAGTGGACCTGGTTCTGAAGACCAAACCCGAGCCCAGTTTTATGAGTCTACGTTCAAGCAGAACAGTAAAATATAGCAATTAAGAGATTTACCGGCATCCTGAAGAATATATATCCGGGACAAGTCCTTTAATTTCTCATATGCAGCAAGGTCGATACCCGCATAAGGAATAATCCCAAGAAGAGAAGGGAAAAGACCTTTGTAAAAGGCACGTGGACCCTCATGAACCAATATGTCTTTGGTGAGTGTTCCAAGCTTGGGAACAGCAACACCTGCTTGGCTCGTGCAAGTCTGCAACCGAGTTTTCACAAGATCCAGAGGGTATATAGAGGCTTGAGCCACTGCACCAGCCATGCCTCCAGCAAAAAGTCTAGCGGTTGTGCCTATATCCGCTTTGTCTTCACCCATGTTTTCACCAATAGCATTTTTGAAAAGCTCATACGCATAGAACTTGATGGCACTCTCTGGTGCTACCTTCACAATATTCAACCCATTACCTCGGAAAAACCCCCGTACCCCATCCTGTTTCCATATCATCTTTATGGCTTCTCGGATTTTAGCATCAGTTTTCTGAATCTGCAATAGAACTTTTAAGCGATCTAGAGGTGCAGTTGCCGTCCTAGATGCTGCACCGGCTATGCCACCTGCGACAGTACTATTTTGTTGTCAAGAAACTTCAAAACCAAATCTTTTTTACATTGTTCAGAGAAAATAAGGTCCTAAAAATTAAGGAAGCCCACCTGCGATGAAATAGTTGCTCCTTTTTACATGTTTGCTAATGCCTTCTGGAATAACAGCTTGTTCTCCAATATCAACAAGGCATACTCTTTCCCAATGGTGGTATATATTTTCAATGGTAGCTTCATGAGGGTAGAGCAAAAGAAAATCCCTCCATTCTTCAAACAGAATGATTCCATCATTGTCCTTATCAACGTGTTCCACAAAACGAGCTAGCTCCTCATCATTTATCTCAATCCCTGAAAAATACAAACTGTTGTGGCTTATAGGACGAAAACAGAGCATAAACACAAAGCCAGTGGTCAATCGTTTCAATGTTACGCATAAAACTGAGACAAGATTTGAGCAAATTGATAAATATAAACAAGCCTTATTCTTAAAAATGCACAGAAATGAGAGTGTTAACTATGGTACACCAAATTGAATCCATAGGAAGTGTTCATAAGTACGACATACTCAAAGAACCGAAAACTATAAATAAATTCTGATTTACATAACCACTCAGATTCACAAAAATCTCATCTAACCAAATGATCATACATACATAAAAAAAAATTAGCACAATCTTATCAACCTACACTGCATGCGAACCATAAATCTCCTTACCTATCATTCTCATCCTTTACTTTCCAAGAATGCATTACCAGAGACTCTAAAAACTTCTCCAAAACTTTGACTTTTCTGCTAACGACCAACTCACTACAAAGTCATTTTAACATGCAACGGTCTAATAACTAATGAACAACAATATGATCTGCAAGTTCGATTCTTGAACACATAGGGCTCAGAGAATAAGGATTTGTAGCATGTAAACAAAATTATACCGGCCTTAACGAGCGAGTCCCAGAGCCCCTCAGGAGAAATGCAACCATTATGTTCAACATCAATAGCTTGAAATATTCTATACAGCTCAAGCTCCTTATCATCCATATATCTACGAAACTCATGATAATCAACACGCCCGTCTCGATTCGCGTCACAAACCCTAAACAACTCCTTAGCGTATTTATACCCACTCGGGATTTGAAGAGCGCACAAGCCCTTCTCGATTTGAGCACAATCCAAGTAACCAACATTCTCAGAATCAAAGAAATTGAATAAGCTCCTGATTCGTAAATCCCTTTCCTCTCTCGTCTCACGGAGAGCTAAGAGAACATGATCCATTGAAACGGGTCCGGGTTTCTTAACCGGGTTGCAACAACCCTGTTTCGATTTCTTCGCTTCCATTTTCGTCGGTAAACCAACATGCTCCACGCCATGAGTCGTCGTCGTCGACATGATCAATAAATCAGAATTGCAAAAAAATCAGATTTTTCGTATCTGGGTTTGTGATCATATCATCCTCTTATTCAGATCTGCAATGAATCTACCAAAACGCTCAACATTTAAAACCCGAAACGTCAGAGAGAATCTCAAAATCCGTTATTCGAGTGAAGAGAGATGAATCGAATACAACAGATTGAAGTAAGAAAAGAAAGGATCTAAATTTGAAAAAGGGATTGAGAATTTGTGCTGATGCAGGTGAAGCTCAATGAAGAAGAAGAAGAAGAAGAAGAAGAAGAAGGAAGAAGAAGAGAGAGGTGTGGGAAGGGGCCAATCTCTCCAATGGTGCGGAGTTGAGATTCTCATGGGATATTCTTCATTTATTATTATGCATATGGTTTTATTATTATTTGATTTATGACTTTCTTTAGACTGTATTAATTATATATATCACATATTATATACTTTAAAAAAATCAGAAAACCTTTATTCGTATTCATAGTTTATTATTTGTCTGAAAGGTTTATTTTTTTTGGTGATTGCTGACAGGTTGGTCCAAAGAGGGACTAGATTTTTCTTGAGTGATGCATATATAAATTGAGTGATGATGATGGGTCCAAATTTGAAAAGGTTTATGTTCAAATATCCCATGTTTAAGATAATGGCACTCATTGGGTGTATAAGTGCTTTGTTATAAAACATTGAAAAACACTTCTTTTAGAGTTGACTAGTTGTGATGTTAAGTAATTTAAGTTGGGATGAAGTGTTAAGAGAGTTTTTTCTATGTTGTAGAGATGGCTTTTAGTTTTTTTTTTCTAGACTCTTTAAGGAAAAATAAAATAAAATAAGCTCCGAAGTCCAAATATATTTTAGGACATGAAGAAATGTAAGATATGGAACCAATGTTATATAGTACTAATTAAAAAGATATTTTCACTGTTTCCAACCATTCAAAATCGTTGAGTTTTTAAAACTTCTTCCCGTAAACGTGAAATTGGTTCCAAGGTCTCATACTTACAAACTCGGCACATATATTAATAGAACCAAACCACAATCCCATGATACCAATATTAGTAGCAAGAAACTTTAACAAACAAGACACAACACTGTAATTATCTCAACGTTATCGGGACCTTCTTCACGGCCTAGTTCTTTTATTGATACAATAGTAAAAGTAATGGTTGCTACGATTTTGGTATCTGTTCTCAGATACTTTACATTAATGTTTTTGCAGTTTGTTACTTTTGTAAAAGAGGAGTTTATGTTTACTGATTCCCTGAAATGGGAGCATCACGGCCTCTCTTGAAATCGTCCCAGCCTTTGACCCATGGCTGTCCAGCGGCTGCGCGTGTCTCTGGTGCTGCATGCTTGTTCAGATTCTTCATGACTTTCTCGTGCAACGCCGAGAACACCTTTAACATATCACAACAAGGATTGTTTTAAACCATTGAAGTAAACAAAGGACGCTCTATAATACAATGTTTAGACATAGGCTTGATTAAGAGAATTTTGGTTACCGGATTTGAGCTCACTGCCTCCGGAGGCTGTTCCTGTTCAGTTAGCCATTTCCAGAGATCAGGATTTTCCTGCATAATTGCCAATTGCAAGATTAATCTTACGAATTCCTGATTCCCACTTTGAGATCACTATGAACAGAACAAAGTTTTCAACATCCACTCATAGCAAATCCATATTAAATCAGTGTTTCACACCTAGTTCCGCAGAAAAGCCATTACTTTGCATGTTCTCTAAACTGATATCAACGAAGAAGAACATTCCCTAACTCTTAAATGGATCATTTGAAGCTTAAATCACAGGAACAGCCTCAATCTAGCTAAACAATACCTCAATACAAGTAATTTGGCAGCTTCAAATTCTACAAAACCAATGCAGATTCATCATATGCGCATAAGAGAGTTTCAATCAAACATACCAAATTCAGGACATGGATTAGGGATTTGACACCACTTTCATCCATGGATTTAACATTCTCCTCAACCCAATTTCCCAAAACAAGATCAAGTTCCAGAAACCCTCTTTGCTTGCTCCTATACAACAATCTATCACCAAAACCCCAAAAAACAAAATCAGTCCACCAAACATATGATTCTTCCAAATTAACGTAAAAGTCCAAAAATCAAACCATACCTGTTGATAGTTCTTCTCTTATTCTCTTCGTTAGAGAGATCAATATCAAAATTCTGTGGTGACACACAGAAGAACCTGGTCCCTAAATCAACTCCATTCCTAGAAATTATCAATTCCAACTTCAGACGTGTTCACGAACATTACAAATATCATTTTTACGGTGGAGAGAAAGAAGTTAGATTACCGGAAAATAACAGGATACGTCTGGTTTGAAGGGGTAGGAATAACGGAGCTCCGGCCAATGACGGCGGTGGAGCGAATGATCCGGTGAACGTTAAACAGAACTTTTCGGCTAGCCATTTTTATTTGTTTTCTCTCTCTCTCTCGGCGAATAAAAAGGTGGTACTTATGGATCCATTAATGGGCCTATACTTGTCGTGGCCCTCTCTTGACCACAAAGGATTATATAACTAATTTTTTTCTTTCTTGACTTAACTCTCTGATAATTTTGTTTAAACGTTTTTTTTTGTTTAGAGGTTTATGAAAAAAATAATTTCACTGCTTTCACTTATGCAATATTTAAAAATATTCTGTTTAAAAAAAATTGAGAAATTGTAGCTCAATCAGATTTATAGCATTCGATACATAAATCACAAACCACCATATAGTTCGAATTTGTAAATCTCAAAATAATAATAATGGGTTAGTGAGTTACTGGCTCATCGATTTCTAAGTACTAGTTGAAATTCAGTGTAAGTGATGTTAATGATTCATGAAACAAAATAAAACTCTTCATATATATATACGAAAATTCGAATCTAAAGGTAAACCTTGTTATTTTAAAATGTACATTTCTGATTTATAAAATGTACATTTCTGATTTAAATATGTAACGATTAATAAGTTCATGAAACAAAATAAAACTCTTTATGTGAATATATATATATATATATATACACATATAAAAGTATTTTATTTTTGTTGTTTTTTAGAGAAATTTGAATGCATGCATATTCATGTGTGTTTTGGAGGCTCTAACAAAAATGTCTTATTTTGACAACACCAAAATACGAGTCTTAGAGAAGTACTAGATCACAGTGAGAGGATGCGACGTCGTCGTGACATGTGACTCTGTGAGTGACACACGTAACCGTGATAGAAACCAAACGATCAACTAATAATTTAACAAATGATACACAACTTTGGTCCGTATAAAGTCCACTCTAGGCTCCAGCTATATTGTATATGTTCCTATAGAAACAAACTCTACACCTAAAAATAGGAATCAAATGAAAATGAAATGAGAGGCCACGAAAAAAGTTGGCGAAAAATTGGGGGAGGATTGAACTTTGACCCACAAAAAGGAATGAGAAGAAAACTGTGAGAAGGATGAGATGACAACGACGACGAAGCTGTGTGTGTTTGTGTCTGCCTTGTCTCTTTCTTACAATTCAAATCGTAAAAATATACAAACTTAGAAATCTAAAATTAATAAGTTATAAAACTCAGAATCTTGAAAGAGAGAAAAAAGGAGATCAAGAAATTAAAGAAGATGGTTGGAAGCAAAGACAAATCTAAAGAGAAACGAGACAAGAGACTCCAAGAGATCTCCCTCCTTCGTACTATTCCCTACTCCGATCATCAGAGGTACCAATCAATTCCATTTTCTTACAAATAAATATTTTGGTGAAATATTTGATGTCTCTTGATCTTTTGTCACACTTATATGTTCGTACAAAAAGATGCATGATATGTGATTTTTGTTACCATTGTATTTTGATTTTTTTGATATCTCTTTTTATGTTCTCTAATAGGTTGGAAGTTTGAATACATTTTTCCTAGCTAGTACATTTGATTTTAAGAGATTCAGCTGATCCATGCATGTTATTTATATAAGGGTCATGATTTTAGTTATATTCTTTAGATCCTCAGTTCAAAATTGGTTTTATTCATTATATAGGTGGTGGACCTCTGAAACCGTGGCCGTGGTAACTGGTGCAAATAGAGGGATAGGATTTGAAATGGTGAGACAATTAGCTGGACATGGATTAACAGTTATCCTAACATCAAGAGACGAGAATGTAGGCGTTGAAGCCGCCAAGGTCCTTCAAGAAGGTGGATTCAATGTTGATTTTCACCGCCTCGATATCTTGGATCCTTCCTCAATTCAAGACTTTTGCAAATGGATTAAAGAAAAATATGGATGTATTGATGTTTTAGTAAGTTGATTCCTTTGATCATTAATTCATGTAGTATATCACATTTGAGTTTGATATATAGATGTATAGGCTTGTAACGTGATGAGTTATATAATATGTGACATATTTGTTTTTGTCATGCAGATAAATAATGCAGGAGTAAACTACAACGTTGGATCAGATAACTCAGTTGAGTTCTCGCAGATGGTTATATCCACCAACTATTATGGCACCAAGAACATAATCAGAGCCATGATTCCTTTGATGAGACATGCTTGTCAAGGTGCTCGTATTGTCAATGTAACCTCAAGGCTCGGTAGATTAAAAGGCCGACACAGTGTACATACATCTCTCTAACTCAATCTTTATTAACTGCTCTAACATTGTGTAGCAACAAAAAGTATTTTGACCTAACTCTCCTCAACAGAAACTTGACAATGAAGCCGTGAGAGCGAAGCTTATGGATGTGGACTCTCTTACAGAAGAAATCGTAGACAAAACAGTCTCGGAGTTTTTGAAACAAGTGGAAGAAGGGACATGGGAATCTGGAGGTTGGCCACATTCTTTCACAGACTATTCTGTCTCGAAGATGGCTGTGAACGCATACACAAGAGTACTAGCTAAAGAACTGTCTGAGAGACCAGATGGAGAGAAGATATATGCAAACTGTTTTTGTCCCGGTTGGGTTAAAACCGCAATGACGGGTTATGCAGGGAACATCTCAGCAGAAGATGGAGCTGACACTGGAGTTTGGCTTGCATTGCTTCCTGATCAAGCTATCACAGGGAAGTTCTTTGCCGAGAGACGTGAGATCAATTTCTAAAGAGAATATTTGATGAGACTTGTTTGGTGTTCTACAAGAGTTGATATTGAAGTTAGTTTTGTTTTGTTTTTTAGTTTGATTTGCTCAAGATACAAGAGTTGCTATGAAAAAGAAAAAACCAATTTATTTTATGAAAATATTTAGATTCTTCTCTTCTTTTCCAATTTTTATCTTGTGATTGTGATTGTGATTGTGATCATTTTTTTTTTTTGTTGATAAATATGTTCAATTGTTCATAGTGATAAAATTAATCCTATTCTCTGGCTTTTAACAATAATTATTCATCTTGTTTTATGTTCATTAGTACCTTCAAACAAAAATCTAACAATTGCATTCAAACACGATTCTAATTTACAAGAAATGGTTTGGTATAGCTAGGTTCAGCTTCGGTTCAAATTCGATATTTAGTTAAATGTGCATTTATTTATTTGAAAACTTTGAATTTATAACGTCTTTTATAATTTGTTTTGATTAGAATTCGATTTCTCGGATAGAAAATTAATAATTTTGTTTAAGTAACTAATAACCATATTAAAATAAAGTTTTTTATTCTTTAAAATTCGTTTTGGATTGAATTCGATTTGTCTGATGTAGATTATTAATTTATTTTAAATAAATACCATATAAAAAACATAATTTGATTTTCTCATTCGGTTTAGTTCGGATCGGATCGGTTTATCCGGGTGAAAAACAACAGGTGAAGAAAAAGAGATGGAAAGGTTACACGTGGCAAACAATCTCCCCACTGGTTCGGCGACACAAAAACGTCGATCGTCACAAAACCTTACTCCTCCTCCTCCTCTTCGCGACGTATGCTCCTGAGAAACAAACAGATAGATACTAAAGATGGAAGCTTTAAACTAAATTCGAAAGCTTTGAACTAAATTCGAGAGCTTTAATGGGTACAACCGAGTCGGGTTCGGATCCGGAATCAAGCTCGAACGGGTGGAGCCGGGCTCGTGGTCTGGTGATTAAAACTCTGGTTCTTGTTGGCGGTGCTCTTCTCATCAAGCGTCTCACTAAATCCACTACTCGTAGGGATCACGCTCGCGTCGTCTCTCGTTCTCTCACCGGCGAAAAGGTTTTTTATACCCACACAATTATTTCCAAATGCTTTTGCAATTTTAGGTTTCTTCAACTCTGATTTCAGCTAATAAATTTCTGATTTTGATGTTCTTTTCACATGTGTTTGAAGTTCACGAGGGAGCAAGCGTCAAGGGATCCTGACAATTACTTCAACATAAGGTTTATTTATCATGTTCTTCTTTATCTCAAAACTTATTTCATCATAACAAAGGATCCTAAACCCTTAAGCTCTTCTTAGTGTAGAACTCTAGTTGGTTTATCAAGATTTGGTTAGAAATTAGTTTCATTCCTCTTAAGTTTAGACACCTTGATACTGTTTAGGATCTTGTTTAAAGATTGAAACTTTTGATATCTCTGTCTCTGGTGTGTGTTTAGAATCTGAGTTTGTAATAGTTGTACAGAATGCTGAGTTGCCCAGCTGCTGAAATGGTGGATGGTTCAGAGGTTTTGTATCTCGAACAGGTGTTCCATCTCTTATTTCTTTCTTGCACTACGCAGATAGATGTATAAGAAATGTGTTTTTTTCACTCATGTTTAAGACATTTTTTTATCTCTTTCATCAGGCATTTTGGAGGACTCCGCAGAAACCTTTTCGTCAAGTATGCATTCATTCCCTTCACTGATTGTCTTTTGTTTGATTTCATTAGGAAATAGTATTATGTTGCTGAAAACTGATGCATTGTCTTACCATTTTTTTGTTTTTGCTTCCAGAGATTATATATGGTTAAGCCGTGTCCAAAAGAGTTGAAATGCGATGTTGAGGTGAGGATATGAGTTGTAGTGATCTTCTTATGTATTCCAATACAGTAAGAGTTTTAAGCTGTGTTTAATGTTAGGTAAGTTCATATGCAATTAGAGATGCTGAGGAGTACAAAAATTTCTGTGACCGCCCTAAGGATCAACGCCCTCTTCCTGAAGAAGTTATTGGTGTAAGTCTTAATGTTTTAGATTGATAGAGGTGTGACGAGATCTTTGGTTACTGGAAATTAAGCTTAGTATGGATCAAACTAACAGGACATAGGGGAGCATTTGACAACTATACATCTCAATTCTTGTGACCGTGGGAAACGCTGCTTGTACGAAGGCTCAACTTCACCCGATGGATTTCCAAATTCATGGGTATTGTTCTTTTCAGAAAAATCACTACCTCTTTGTTTTATCTTCTTTCACACTAAAACACTCTTGCTTCTTTCTCGGATTGCAGAATGGGGCAAGCTATTCTACTTCAGATCTTGCAATCCTGAAAAACAATGAGATACACCTATGGGATCGCGGCTTTGATGAGAATCGAAACCAGGTTCATCCATTTTTCTCACCCTAATCATATTGTAGCGTTGGAGCTTGTCAAGATATTACTTACTACTGACAAATGCTCATAAAACTTCATTCTGATATGAAATGGGTTTTGGTTTGGAACATGGCAGGTTTGGGGGCCAAAGCAAGGTCCATACGAGTTCAAGCCAGCGACATCTTCGAGTGTCAGTGAAAACTTGTCTGCTTTGAACATCCTTTATCAATCTTCGATCGATAAACCAATTCAAGGATCCCTCATCTTGCAAGACTAGCCATTTTACCTCCTTTACGATTGTTAATTTACTCTGTATCACTCTTACCCTCTTAATTCATCTTGGCCACTTTCAATACAGTTTTGGTACATAGAAAGCTGAATACTTTACTAGTTGACTTCATTACAGTGTTCACAAATAGAAGATGAATGTTTATACAAAACAAAAATATGTTTTCAGAAGCAAAAAAGTGTAGCTGTCTTGATGCTGCATTCATGAGGTGTTGTTGACATAGAAGTAAAGAGCCGCAAGAGCTAAAACCCCAACCGCAATTGCTATAGGTAAAGCCTTCCTGCATAATTACCATAACAGATATGTATCAAAACCATAGTGCCAGAGATTTGAAATTGACGAGAAAGAAGTTGGTCCTTAATATATTATACCCGACAGCTTCGTCTCTTTGGAGCTCAGCTTTTCTAGCCTTTCTAACATCCTTGTCATTGACATTTTTGCTCACATCCGGCATGTACGGTCTAAACCGCCGTTTGGGAGCAGCACACACTGCAAACAAAAACTTTAAACCCATTGAAACCAAACACAATTCCTACAAAACTGGTCAAAACAACAACTTGCTTGTCAACTCTTTACACATGAATCACAATACCTGGACAAAAGTAGTTATCAGGCAACTTGTCAAATGGAGTTCTGTCATTGTAAATATACCTGCAAAATTCAAGAAACAGAGATGATGATAAATAAGTTTTGTCTGTTAAGAAACACTGAAGAAGGGAAGATCAGGGTTGAAAAAGACCCGCAATCACGGCAGATATAGGCTTGCTTGGAGGAGACACGCATGGAGAATCTAGGAGCAGAGGATGAGGATTTGGAAAGAGACTTCTTGTTGCCAAGTAGCCTCATCGAGTAATAAGGCAAGAAAGATGATCTGTGGAGATTTGGAGTCGTCGGAGGTAAGACCACGGAGGATCTTCCGGCGTAAAGAGTCGTCGGAGGAAGCTGCATCGCCATTTTGAGAAAAAAGGGTCAAAAGCGTGGTGGGATCGGAGGGAGAAGAGAGGAAAGTGATAAGAAGGAAGAGTGGGAAATATGTGGAAGAGTGTGCTCCTCACAAGCCCTCTCACTCGCCACGTCAGATTTTATGTTTTAATAATAAGCTTTATGAACATATATGTTAAAAGTTAAAACATGTTTTAATCTCTTGTTTAATATGATGATGATGTCTCCATGAAACAAAAATCAACTCATTCTAACTTATGTTATTCTTTTTGTTTAGCTCATTGACATTATGTTTTATTTTAAAGTATATATATTCAAGGTTTTTTTAATACATACAGAATCTATATTAAATATGTATGTAATTTTCTGTTCTTTTTCTCACCAAAATATTTTTTTTTATAGTTCAATATCAATTCTTAATAATATAATATGTTTAGAGTATAACCACCAATTTACAACAAAAGAAAAAAAAATCTTCTTAAATAAATATTTTGATTAATTGAATAGTGATAATTGTTTAGAGGAAAATGAGAAAAAGAATAAGATTAGTTTAAATATGGAACCCTAGACAATATCTCCTCAACCAAATCATAATTAGTGATTTAAAGGTTTGTTTAACGAGCGTCAATTCTCATAACAATAAAGACTTGGTAGATCCATTTATAAAGCAAATAGGTAAATCTTAAACAAGTGGAAGTTTCTTTCGTCGACGAAAGAAAGTGGCAGTGAATTATGATAAAGAATTTACAGGCTACAGCGAGGGGAAACATCAAAGCTTGCATGGTCGGAGAGGAACAAGTAGTTCTCATGTCTTTTCTTTAATTTATTAACGAGAACTTTCAGGGTTTTCATGGTTCTTGAACAGAATCTTGTATTTGTCGTTGTCGTTATGATCTTTGAGAATTGCATTCATCCATTCCTCCTCATGTTCTCTTTGTGGTTATGTATAACATGTTAAAGCCAAAACTCTGGATATAACGTTATAACCTGTGATGTTGTTTAAATACCAAGACTAAACTTGAGACTTTCATCATTGTGTCATCTTCATATTGCATGTGAATAATAAAGAATCAGCTTTTGCATATTATTATAATGGTGGTTGAAATATTTGTCAACTTTTATGGAATAACGAAATTAAATCTGTTTGTTTAGTAGAGTGTTTTGTTCTTTAAGAGAAGGAATTGAGTTTTTGCCAAGAAGATGTTTGCGAATACGGGTAAAAAGTTTTACTTACCACTAGGTCCACTACTATATTGTATAAAATTATAAAGTTAACATAACCTAAGTATTATAAATTATGTAGATGAGTAGTCATTAACAATCCGACCTTAGCTCAGTTGGTAGAGCGGAAGACTGTAGTTGTTTACAACAGATGATCTTTAGGTCGCTGGTTCGATTCCGGCAGGTCGGATTTTTTTCCCATTTTTTTTTTCCTTTTCCCATGGCTGTCACTTAGTTTAGAATGGAAATTACCAAGTTTACTAAACTTTTATTCTGATATAGTCCATACAACTTTAAGATTCTCAAACAATCCCCAGACTTTCTCAATCAAGATTTTCAAAGATAGTTCAAAGTGTTGTAATCTGATAACTCAGCTTCATGGTTCAACACGATGTATGTACCATCAAAACAGAAACTTTACTGGACAAAATCTCAGCTTAAAAGTTCCAGATTATTCGGTTTTTGTTCCTTTTGCGAGTTTGTGAACAAAGAATGCAGATAGAAAGCTTTTGTAGACTTGTCTCTTTTACCAATAATCTTTGCAAGAACACAACCCATCTTCAAACCTATGAAACCTTATCCGATCCCGCATTATTATCACTCTATTCAATAATTTAGATACTGCTTTTATCCAGTTGTGGCAATCACTGCACATCCGTATATTCTTCTGAATTCTAATCTCTGAGCCTGGACTACTCTTCAAGATCACATAAGCCAACGCGAGCTTTTCGCTGTGGTAATTCAAGTTCTCTTCCTTCTCTTCTTCAGAGACATCCATCAATACCAAATCAGTGTCAGACACGAATCCCTCAGACTTTGCTTTCTGTATCAAACCTTCCAATACTTTGTATATAGCCTTTGTATCTATATGAGATGTATCTCCTGCCTTAAACCGATGTATCACCCCTCCAAATTCCACCCAACTCTTTCCTTTCGCTTTACGGATTCCTTCCTTAGTCATCAACTCTCTGACCTTTTGAGCGTTCTCCCATTTCTTCGTGGAGCTATAAATGTTTGAAAGTAACACATAGTCTCCGCTCTTTGCCTTTGAAAGATTCTGTATCGCGATTTCTCCTAGCTCAGGATTCTTATAAGTTCTGGCAGAACTAAGAAGAGACCTCCATATCACCACATCTGGCTCGATCGGCATGGACTCTATCAAGTCATACGCTTCCTTTACTTGTCCTGCTCGGCCTAGCAGATCTACCATTGCCCCGTAGTGCTCTAACTTTGGCTGTATTGAAAACCGCTGACTCATTAGACCAAAGAACTCTTTCCCTTCTTCAAGCAAACCGCAATGGCTACACGCTGTTAAAATCCCAAGAAATGTTATTGAGTCTGGTGAAACATGTTCCGCTTCCATCTCTGAGAACACTCTGATTGCTTCTGTGGCTAGCCCATGAGTAGCAAAACCCGTGATCATCGCATTCCAAATCGACACATCGTTCCATTTCACACTATAGAAAACCTCCCTGGAAGTTTCTATATCTCCACACTTTGCATACACGTCGACAAGTGCAGAAGACAATATTGTATTAAGTTCAATCCCAGCGTCAATCATCAGAGAATGCACCCACTTTGCATGGTGTAAATCCCCAAGACGGGCACAAGCTGCTAAAGCGGAAGCGAAACTGAACTTATTCGGTTTAATATCCGAAAAACTAAGCATATTCTTAAGAGTTTTCAAAGCTTCTTCGTACTGGACATTTCTGACATAACCACCAATCATCAAGTTCCAGGTGATCACATTCTGATCACTTGCTCTACGAAGAACCTTCTTGGCCAAACCGTACTCTCCAGTTTTCATAAGACTCTCAATGATGATGTTCGTGTTAGAGACACCAGGAGACAAAGAGAGGAACCAAAGAAGAAGCCGGCGAGCAAAATATGAAAGGTTGCAGCGTCTGTAAGCTGCAACCATGGAGACAAGAAGAGATGGGTATGTTCCATATCCAAGTTTAAAGACCTGAGCATGTGCTTGAAGAACACATTTAGAATTTGAAGGAGTTTTGCATGATTCAAGAACTTGTTTCAACATCCGATGATCTAAAAAGAAAGAATGAAACTTTACACAGTGAATTTGCAGCAAAATTTGCAGTGACAAATCGAAAATCATCAAATAGTATTCACCAAATATGAATCAACATAACCCATGATCCCCAAATTTCAAAAAGAGAGAAACTTTAAACACGAATCAACCCAGAAAGCTAGATAAACCCCAGAAAAACTGGAGATTGGTGATATTTAGACAAACCTCAGATCAGAAAAGTAAAACCCTAACAAAAACCAGATATGGATTCCACAGAAATGTTTGATCCCGATACAAAAAATAAATTTTTACCAGTGAGGTTTGAAGCGGAAGATGAGGTGAGCGAGGTGACGCAGAATCTTCTGATTCCGGAGACATTAATGGAGATTCTCTGCATTGGGAGCTAAAACCCTCTCTCGCTCTCACATTGGGAGCTAAAATCTCGAATTAGAGCTTCTTCTATGTTTTGGCCAAAAGGTTGAGTTTTTATTAAGTTTTTATGTTTTTTCTTTCTGAAGTACTGTCCTTGGGTATATCAATACTTGTGAACTCACAATTGCTAGATGGGAAGATATACAAAGCCAATTCACTGGAAAGAAGCAGTAGTTAAATAAACGAATCATTTATTAAGTTGAATGTAAGAGGGATACAAGTAAATGATGTTTATGCCTAAAACTAAGAATTGGTATGATGATTGATGACTGATCAAATATTACGCCACCCTGAACCTGTATACTATACTCAGATGATGAGAAATGAGGAGCAAAGACATGTGAGAGGTCAAAAGTTTCATGAGATCCTATGAAGACCAATGTTGAGATCAGAAGATATGGAGATAAGAAGTGGCTGAGAGTAGTGCCATTCTGCTTTAAAC